GGGCCCCGAAAAATGTTTGGATTCTAGATGCTCTGTGGTGCGATCTGAGGCAATTTCTTACCACTTTAACCAATTTTTTTTGAGGAAAAGATGGTGGTGTACTCATTGCCTGCCTTTATTGCGATGTCACATTAAAAAAAAAAAAATTGGTTTCGTTTTGGGGGGGGGCCATGGCCCCCTTTGGCCCCCCCCCCTGGATCCGCCCTTGAAGGCGTTCTGCAGTGCTTTAAAAAAAAGTGACAAGAAACTAGTTTCCGTGGTAACACTCCTGTTTACGGGTTGCAATCAACCATCCAGAATGAAGTAGACAATTTTAATTAGTGCAGGGCTAGCCTCTGCGCTTAGGCCGACTTGGCAACAAAAACAGTCGGTCAGTCATGACCTTGTCAACTTAATTGTACCGCATAGTAGGCGAAATCTGGCACGAAGAGGGAGATACTACCTTTTTACATGAACTCTCACGTTTCATTTAATCTCACGCGGCGTGTTATTAAATTCGCTAATAAACAGACACAGTTAAACAACGCAGTGAATATCATCGGCTATTGTTCCAATTCATTTCCCTCTCTCGGAGGAAGTTCGGTAAGAAACGAAAAGTTAGGTCAAAGAAAAGGTGTTATTGAATATCATCGGCTATTGTTCCAATTCAGTTCCCTCTCTCGGAGGAAGTTCGGTAAGAAACGAAAAGTTAGGTCAAAGAAAAGGTGTTATTGAAACAAATTGAGAACATTAGCGAGGCTTTCGGTGGTGCATTAGAATTAGAAAGGGGGAACTTTTATTGAGAGTGAGGACTTATAGTCAAATTGCTGGATAAATATTTGATGGCAAGCTAGTCCAGTATGATACCCTAAAGATAATCAACTGAACTGTTTTTCCCATCATATAGATACATGTGCAAGCGACTTCTTTTATATTTTAGTTGGTACAATGTCAAGACAGACAAACCACACCCAATACCCACTATTGTACTACAATAGTGGGTATTGGGTGTGGTTTGTCTGTCTTGACAGACCGCCACACAAAGGAGAAGTAAGGCAACTCCTTCCCTTCATAGTCTGAGGTAGTGCCTTGAGCAAGCACCAGCTACCTCTTGCTGCCCTGCCAGGGTTACGGTGCAGCTGTGGGTTGCAGCATAGTGAATTGAGTGGCTGCTGGATGACCATGGTTTGGCAACATTGGCGGCTACATTGTGTCTGGCAGATGATAACTCTTGATGGTGACAGTGGTAGAGACCAGAGAGTGGAGGACTGCACACTGGTGGATGAGTTGTGCCACGCCATTGTATAAAATGCACAAACACCAAATCCTCAATATGAAGGCTCAATCGCAAATGACAAAAGATCCCCATCCAGATGCTTCTTGGGCCCCTAAGCGCTTCAGCGTACATGCAGTTGCCACCGGCCTTTCTTCCTCCCTTTTTCTTTTTTTATTATAGAGGTGACCCCAAATTCGGTTTTGCTTGGCCTGATAATTTTTAGGGTTAAACAGGACACTTGCTGGCTGAAAATTACCCGGAAAATGATCAAAAGAAGCATCACTTTGACCCAGATGTTTGACCCTGAAAAGTATTGGGCCAAATATAACCCATGTCATCCGGGTCAAAATGACAAAGGACTTATCCCCTCTAATATAATCTGAGTGCCCCGTATATGACATTGTCATCTCTATTATTCGGGCGGGAACAGCAATAATTTTCGGAAGTGCATATCAATTTCAGCAAATTTACCCACAATTTTAAAATATTAGTTCCACTGTACGTAAAACGGGTGCTATATGCGCCCCTCGGGTGTTCAAACGTCGACATATCCCACATCACAACAGTCAGCAATTGTTTTGTTATATCTCTGTCTTGGATTCTTTGGATTTTAATGTAAATCACGAAAACAGACAGCAGTAAACACAGCAATCATGACAAACGAACGTTAACTCTAATGCATGTCGCGTGCTCGAAACAGCTGATCGTCTGCTAGTTCGCTGCTCCCACTCATTCGTGAATGCATGGTGAAACTAACGTAGGCACCAACGATACAAGCGTTTCACACCGTACGTACCGTACGTACAAAGTCATAGCACACTCCCTGTGGGATATCACGTACATTATATCCCACAGGAAGTGACTTTTTTATAAACTTAACACGTGGTCGTTCTAGGCCAATGAAAATACAGTTTTCAGGACAGAGCTATAACAATTAGTGGTGTTACACCAATAAATGATTGATATCCCAAAACCCATTTTACGTAAACTCATGTGCTCTGACACAGTGCCCGCCAAATGCGTACGTGCATGTTTGAACAGCGCCACCTACAGTCAGGTTACCCCCAACCTCCCTCGCTTTTTTGTTTTCAAAGTTGAAAGTCTATGTTTACAAGAGATCACCCTCCGCTGTTTATAATAATATACGGGGAAAACGACGGGGCGGGGATGTGCACACTGCTGGTATCATTGAAGTGCTATTTTTGAATATAGTTGATATGCCATGGAGTGCCTTATTGCAATTTGATGCCAATGGGATAGAAAGATGTTCTGTTCATAATATTATCGGGAAGGGAAATTTCTGAAGAGCTTATTAATTTCAAATTAAAGGGCAGCCATTCTTCGTGAAATTTATATTTTTTTGGTGTGCCTGAAGGTACATCCCATCACAGTCTAAGAAAATTCACCTGACCATGCCCTTCCTGTTTCCCATAGATCACCTTTAATTGACTATAAATAACAAGAAACTGTGAGGTCTTCATGTTTTGTAACTACAACACGAATTTGTTATTTATTATGAAGTAAATTCTTATAAAAGATTACAGAGTTGTGAGACTAACGTTTATGTAGCGATCACATTTTAACATCCACACAATTTGAAATCTTCTAAATGTGGTTTGCACTTGTCAACAGATTATTTTCTTCCAATATAAAATCAGTTTTCAAAATCACAAGGGCAAACACAAAACTAGCAGTGGCATAAGTAAAATATCTACAGATAGCAGTAAATTAAAAACAATTAGGTGATGGATGTAACTTTCTTCTTTAAGATGTAAAGCTTGTATCATTGGGTTTTTTTTCTACTAATTGCTTGATTTTCAAATTGATAATGTAAGTCCCAAGATGTTTTGAAATCTTTGGAGAATACTGAATGCTATAAAATCTGCAAGATTAGGTCCTAAATAGCAGAGGGGGCGGGGTTATACACCCTCTCTATAGGGGCGTCAAACTGTGAGGTTATCAAGATTCATTTACAGTAAGTTGTTCATCAGTGACTTCTTGGTAGCATGGTAGAGTTGTTGATATAAAATTATCCATATTTTTTTTCCCAACACGATTCGACCATAATGATTGTGGTTTCATTTCGGGATATTTCAGCGCTTACGAGACCTTGCTGGTACGAACAGTGGGTGCATTTTTTTTTACAAACGTGATTCAAATCGAGTGCAAAGCGATTCACAATATCTCTTAACTTTCTACTATTAAAGTCAGAAACACCTGAAAATCTACTGGATCTTTAACAGACATAAGACTTTCGAAATTGGAACCCACATCGATCATACATGTTAAAGTTGCATTCCCGTGCATACACAAATTACATTTGTTTTGTTTTGATAAATGTTAAACTTCAATGTTTCATTTTAACCAAAAACATTCCTTCTTCTTTTTTGGACGTCTGTAACCAGTTGACTAAAGGTTTTTTATTTTACGCAAAAACGGAGCCGCTTTGAGAGCCGGCTGGCTCCCGGTCCGTACACTATCGACACTGATTGTGAGGCAGGAACCAGCGTACTCCGCGAGAAGGGAACTTTTTTCTGGCAGCTAAATTATTCGAAATCGTAAAGTAATAATTCAATAACTAAACGTGGGTCGATTGTTTTTGGTCGGCGATGTCTCATTCAAAGTTCATAACTTTTCTATTGCTAGAAAAATAGCAATTTAGAAAAAATAAATCTATTTCTCGGGGTAACATTTTAAAATAGCTTCACTAAATGCAACATTAAACACACTTATTCATTTCAGTATCTAATGAAACCACTTAATACATGTCAAACTCGCACATTTAGGCCTAATTGCAAATATACGATGCATAAACAAATGACTTTATAACTAACTAGCGTCAATTTTCCATGTCAATTCACAGGAAAGCTAGTACAATTAATCATAATGTTATTAAATGTTCAACGAATTGGCCATCTATTGGCTCTATTATTCTAGTAAAAAAGAAATTTAGCTGACGTTTGTTACTCAAAACCTACATTTTGAAATCAACAGTCCGTTCCTCATCAATCTAAATCTGTGCATGATATGCAGTAACAATCAAACACCGTATTTAATATGTATTTAATATGCACATTTTGTTCTTAGAACTACAACGATCTAAAACACATTAAAATAAAAAAATCAGGCGAATTTGCAAGCAGACTTGGCTCTAAACCAAATAAAATTCATTCCTTTTTCTCTTTCCCTATAATTCTAAGGTTGCCATTACGCATTTTCAACGCTTTTAGTTATGTACTGATATAAATAACACAGAAATTCAGAGCCAATTTCAAAACGCATACTATTCAATTAAATTCTCTATTCTTCAAATTCCTTTCTTCGTTGTAATGAGAATGAAACATTTGCTTACCCTGCTTATTTCAAATGAATCCCGGCCGTTTTGTTAACTAAACATACTCCGATGCAGTGAACATTTAGTTGTAAAAAGTATATTTCCCCAGCAAGTTCAAGTTCCGTTTTGCAGACATCTCCGTTATTGTCCCATTGATTTTAATGACCAGCCGATACATACAGAAATACCCAGGGTTTTTTTAAACATGTCCTTGATAGCGGAGCTTGTACAGTATTGTTTAGATGTCATATTTGCTTCAGGTCTTCAATTTCACCGATCTAGAAGGAGTGACATCCGTCCACCTCGACGCAGGCCACGACACAGGTGTGTTCGGTGACAAGGCTCCTGGATTTTGTGGTCGAGGAGGCAGGTTGACTTAGGAACGCGGCCGTGGGTGTCGGTAGAGATGCATTAGTGACGGAGCTGGATCAGGCCGTACGTGCAAGCAGCTCGACGAATGCAAAAAGCCATATGGGGGTGCGTACTGTCACAGCCGACGTCATTCATTTTGTTATCATGTTTCATCTCTGCCATATCAGCGCAATCTTCATTGTTATTATTATCTGGTTGCTTATCAGCCCATGCCAGGAAGGGCTCACTTCCTTCCTGACCGTCACACTCCCAGGTTCCTTCAACTTTCTTGTCATTACAAGCAATCCAGCCGGGGTAGGCACCAGTGACGTCAATCTCTCGTGTCATATTTGCCATGAAGCTCATTTCCTCCAGCGAGCGAGGAGCGGCCATCTTGCCGCTCATGTCTTGGCAAGCCGACTTGGCCTGATCCCAAGTTTGCTGTATCCGAGGAGTGAGGCGGTAACAGTCTTTTCCCCACCATTGCCACTGTGGCGGGCAAGAGCATTCGAGAGCGAGCCGAGAATGGCAGGTACCTGACCCAAATTGAGCATTGATCGTCAAAGTTATTGCTACAATGCCAAAAACTTTTAAGAAGAACATGATGACACGTTCAGACGATGATTTGCAGAGGATCTGTTTGCTATAAACCCGTCAAGGCAGTAACACCATCGAGGTCGAATGATGCGAAAATGAAAAGTGGTGGTCGCGGCAGAAAGTGGACGATTTTTCTCTGACGCAAACTACCGGTATGGTATGAACAAGAGATCTTGTAGCCATGGTTACATTATTTCATCGTCCGTTAAAATTTACAAAGGCGACGAGACACTAGTTTCCATGGTAACACTTCCTGTTTACTGGTTTCAGTCAACCATTTAAAATGAAGAGGACAATTTTAATTAGTGCGGGGCTGGCCTCCACGCTAGGCTTTTGTTACACTTGCTGGCTGACTTGGCACTTTTATCTTTTATCTTTTATCACTTATCGCTTCAAAGCCAACAACTTTGAAGAAGTACAGGATGACTCATTCAGACGATGGTTTGGAGAGGATCTGTATGCTATAAACCCGTCAAGACAGTTTCATCATCGAGGTCGAACGGTGCGAAATGAAAAGTGATGGTCGCGGCAGAAAGTGGGTGAGGTTTTCTCTGACGGTTTTCTCCGAGGTTTTCTCCGAGGTTTTCTCCGAGGTTTTCTCCGAGGATTTCTCTGGGTGTCAACAAGAGATCTTGTCGCTTTGGTCACAGCGTCCGTTTACATTTAGAAGGGCGACGAGAAACTAGTCTCCATGGCAACACTTCCTGTTTACTGGTTTCACTCGACCATATAGAATGAAGTAGACAATTTGGTGTAGTCCTACGTGCGAGGCTAGCCTTAACACGAGGCCTTTGACGCGCTGGTATTGATTCGCTTATGACCTGACAGGTAGTACATCGCAGTGAAATTCACCGCCTATTGTTCCCTTCCAACTGGTGCGAAAAAGGTTTCAATTCCCGCTCTCGGAGGGGAAATGGTCAGAAAACGACGAAGTAATATCAGGTCACCGGAGAAGCGTCACTGGATGTGTTCATTCAGCGAAGTGAACTGCAGTGCTTTAAAAAAAAAGTTTCCGTGGTAACACAACTGTTTACGGGTTGCAATCAACCATCCAGAATGAAGTAGACAGTTTTAATTAGTGCAGGGATATCCTTTGCGCTAAGGCCGACTTGGCAACAAAAATATTCGTTCAGTCATGACCTTGTGAACTTCAATGTACCTCATTGCTGGCGAAAGTTGTCACGAAGTGGGGGACACTAGCTGTTTAATTGAACTATCACGTTTCATTTAATCTTACACGGCGTGTTAACCGGTTATTGAACTTTTCAGTTCGGGCGATTCACGATGCAGTGCGCCTCCTAGTGTTTGCGGCCTCGGCGAGTTCATTTTTCCCGTTGCTTCGTGTAAGATATAAGTTCGACAAATTCGCAGCGCGGAACATTTGAAATTGTTCATTTTCCGGTCAGTAGTTTCGTATTAAGCGTAATACAATAAATATGATTCGATCTAGGAGATGTTTGCCCTTTTCTTTTCTTTTCTTTTCTTTTCTCTTATCAATATACTAGGTTTTTTTGTAAAGCGGCGGAACGCTTTGCCAAAATCAATAACATATTATAGCTTAAGTTGTCTTCTGACAGTGACACGCATTCAAATGAGCCACGTTTTGCCGACCTTACACTTGAAAAAAGGGACTCTCCATGGCAAACTCTGGGTGGCGCACTGCATTGTGAATCGGCTGGATTTCCTCTCTTGGAGGAAGATCAATCGGTACGAAATGACAATTTTAGGTCTCAGGAAAAGTGCTATTTAAACAAACAGAGCATTAGCGAGGCTTTCTATTATGCATTAGAATAAAAAATGAAGGCTTATTTAATGAGAGTTGGGACTTATAGTAAAATTGCTAGTTAAAGGTTGATGCCCTCTATGAAAGCCTAAGAAAAAATCAACTTAACTGTTTCCCCATCATATAGATACATTTAGAATTTTATGTTTATTGGTCCAAAAATGCAATCTACAGTGCTGTGTATACATATCACTCTCACTAAACACACTTGCCCACTGTCACTATGGTGACTAAGACCTGTTTAATCCTCACCCCAAGATTGGCCAAAAGTTGGACTCAGATGACTTCTTAGACCCCTTTGACCAAATTGGTTTGGGGACCAACTTACTCGGCTTGCAAGCTAGTCTTTTTGTATTTTAATATGGCGTACGTATGACCATAGATATGATGGCTATCATGGTTTTAAGGAATGGAAATGAACCCCGAGAACAATTTCATTATGCGGTCCAAAAACGGAGTCGGCGTAAAATAACTTTTGACATACGCATTCACCGTTGACAACACAGCTGCATAAATGGTAGGAAAACGAACTGAAAAGGGCAACATATCCTCCAACAGAAGAACCCATAAAATCAAACTTCATATTCAAACAAAAATAGACAGTTTCAGGCACTGGGGTCCCCCCTGCAGCGAATCATGACGTTACAATAAAATGTAGAAATTACACCCAAAATACGTTTGTTTGCCTACGCGTGCAAAAATGTACTAAAGCGCCCTGTTGTGGTCACCATGATATTATATTAAATTATGCAACAGCGGCAAGCCAATATTCCTAGCAAATTTAAGGAAAATCGAAAATCTCATAAAAAATTGGATTTGTGACACGGTCCCCCCCCCCCCCTTGAGAAGACCAAAAATAGCCCGGCTTAATATTTCACAAATCTGTTCAGAAACGGGTGATGCCTTTGTGTGTGTATTACATTTAAGCAACTGAAAACAATCGTCTTGACGCCCTCTTGAATGATAGAGTGTGTTACCCTCTAACGTTCATATTCAACTTTGAATGTTATTTAATAGAATAATCAGTTACCACTTCAAAGATTAAAGCAGATTTATTCTTCTTTGATATAAGTTTATAATTTCATAAGCACTTAATTTCTACATGTTTAATATAACTTCAGAGTTGAATTAGCTATTGACTGGAAACCCAAAAGCTAAAACGCATTTTTAAACAAAAAGTGCAATTGACATTTTTGTTGCAAAAACAGACTCCTGAAGGATTTGATTGCGAATTTGGAATGCAGACAAATTGGACTAAAACCCAAGACACAATATTTTTTTTTCAAACTCCCGGCATAAACAAAATAATTCAATCTTGCAGAAAGTCACAAAGTTGCGACAGTAAGCGATGAACGAGAAATCAGAGTCGAGTCGGTGTCGCCACTTAACTGTGGTAATTAGCTGAAATTGATTTAATGGCACCCAATTTCTGCATGCGTAATAAAGGAATCGAAAAAATATTATCGACTTTAGTTCAAAGCAGTCTGATTTAACTTTGCGGGTTTTTTGGCTTGATTTATATTTGCATCTAAACCTGTTATAAAATATTAGAATTTACTTACCTTGTGGATGAAGACATTTCTCTTTTTTACCTTAATAACACACAGCTGTCAAGTGACTTGAATATACAAGATAAGTCTCGCGAATGTTTTCTCATCGTATGAGAACCAAAAACAGCGCCCCCTATAGTCAGGATACCCCCACTCCCCAAAATCTGTAAAGTATTATTTCCACTATGAAATGAATGTATGAACCCCTACAGAAAGGTTACGTCCGCGCTTTTCGGTTTTCCAAGTTGATGGTCCATGCGCTCCCCCCCCCCCCCCCCTCCACACCTTGTTGGTAAGAGATCACCAACCGCAGTTTATAGTAATGGGGCGGAGGATGTGCCCACCGCTGGTATCGTTGAAGTACTCTTTTTGAATAGTTGATATGCCATAAAGTGTCTCCTTGCAAGTTTGTCACCAATGGGATAACAAAATGTTCTGTATAGCATTATCAGGGAGATAAATTTCTAAGGAAGTTATTTTTACAAAAGTAGGTTTAAGAGCCCACATCCGTCGTTAATTTTCTTTTTTTGTGCTTTTAGATCATGACGGTACATCCCATCACTTTTCCAAAGATCATCTTCCGTCACTTGAGCTGCCTAAAAAATAACAAGAGACTGAGAGGTCTCCATGTTCTGTAACTGCAACACCATATGTTATTTTATTATGAACTAGATTCTTATAAAGTATACAGATCTGGAGTTTTGAGCCTAATGTAGTGATCATGTGATGTACATTTTAGTGTCCGAACGATTTGAACGATATTCAAAATGTAATTGTCCAGACAAAATCAGTTTTCAAAACCACAGTGGCAATACAGCAATATAATACTGCCATAAATATAATAATGTGTACTGTACATGTAGCTTTACATTAAATAGGCCTAGACCAAGAAAACAGTTTGAGCGATCGATGTAACTTTCATTCATTAGGATATATGCCTATACTGCCTAGATCATTCATTTTTGCTATAGATAACGAGATTTTCAAATGAATGATGTGGGTCTTAACATTATTAGAAATATTTGAAGAAATATTTTATTTAGGTCTGAAATGAAATATTCAAAAGTAGGTCGCAAGTAGCACAGGGGGCGGGGTCATACACTCTCTTAGGGGTGTCAAACTGTGAAATTATCAAGATTTATTTAGAGTATATTGTTAATCAGTGACTTATCTTGGTAGGTTAAGTTGTTGATATAAAACTATCCATCAATATTTTTCAAACATAATTCGGCCATTGCGGGTATATTTTGAGATATTTCAGCGCTTACGAACCCTTTGAATATTAAAAGTCGGTGCATTTTTTTAATTTAAAATTCCAATTATACAGTCAAAACTAATTCACAATATGTATTAACTTCCTACAATTAAAATCAGACACATCTGAAAATCAGGTGGATCTTCGACACACATAATACATTCAAAATTGGTACTGACATCGATCATACATTTCTAAATTTGTGTTCCTCGTGCTCTACAAGAAATTCGAATGTTTGTTTCAATTGTTTGATGTTTAACTTGTATGTTTTATTCCAACTAAAAACCTCCTTCTTTTTTTGGACGTCTGCAACCCTCTGAAAAAGAAGGGTTTTGTTTTGGGCACAAGCAGATCCGCTCTGCGAGCAGACTGGCTCCCGGTCAGTACATTATCGATACTGATTGTGGGGCGGGAGCCAGCATACCCCCCGAGAACGGAATTTTTGGCCAGCAGCCAATTATTTGCAATCGTAAAGTAATAATTCAATAATTAAACGTGGGGTTTTGTTTCTTGGTCGATGTCTCATTCAAAAATTAATTATTTTGGTGATGCTAGAAAATTAAGAAAATAAGCAATTGAGACAAGGAAATTTTGTTCGGAATAAAGCTCGTAAATAGCCTCGCGGAACGCAACTTTAAACACGCTTTGTCACTACAGCATAATGAAAACACTGAATACATGCCCGGCCCCCAATACCCCCGCATTTATCTATAGACCTAATTGCAAATGTACAATTCGTTTGCGCCTAACAATGACTATACATAACTGTTAACCTTTAATTTTCCATTTTCAGTTTACAGGAAAGATACATACAATTAACCGTAATATTAAACAACAACAAAATTAACGAATTCACAGTAAGTGAAAAATAGATGTTCCAACACTTTCATGTCTGATGAATATTGTCAATCAACATCGGCCAACAAAATGACTCTACCATTCTTGTAAAAGAAATCTATAGCTACTGTTTGTTACTCATAATCTAAATAGTCCGTTCCTGATGTAAAATCTCAATTTGTGCATGATATACAATAACGATCGAACACCAAATATTTTGTACATTTTGTTCTTAAAACTACATCGATCCTAAACACATCAATCTCAAATAATTTCAGGCGAATTTATAAGCAGACTTGGATCTTAAACAAGTAAAATTCATCACGTTTACTCATATTTCTAATTTGCCATTACGCAGTTTCAACACATATGTATTGATATAAATGACACTAAAACTCAGTGTTTGTTTACCACATTACAAGAGCGTAATGCAAAACGCACGAGTTTTTTTTCTCAAATTAATTTCTCTTTTAATCCAATTCCTTTCTCTTTTGTAATGAGAATGAAATATTTGCTTACCTTGCTTACTTCATATACATCCCAGTCGCTTTTTTCTCTTTAGAGCGGAAACAATGCCACCTAAACATTTTCTAAGCAGTGAATGTTTTGTTGTAAAGTCATGTTCAAGTTAAAGTTCAGGTTTGCAGACATTTCCGTGATCGTCCCGTTGTTTTTAATGACGAGCCGATGTATAAAGAAACAACCTTTTTTTTTATAAACATGACCTTGTTACCCGAGCATGTACAGGTTTTTTTTAGCTGGCATATTTTTTTCCTTCTTCCTTTTCCTTTTCTCGAGCGACGCGGGCTCCCTCGACGCAGACCGAGTCCAGCACCAACACACTCAGTGGCTCAATACTGAATTGTTTTCGGTCGGGGAGGCAGGTAGAGTTGAAAACACGACTGTGGATGTCAGTAGAGATGAATCAGTGTCGGATTTGGATTAGACTGTGAGTGCAAGCAGCACGACGCACACAAAATGCAATGAATGCGCGCAAACAGCCAGCATCATCCATTTTGAAATCAAACTGCGATGCCATCTCACCACAATCCTGGTTGTTATGATTATCTGGTTGCCCGTTACCCCATTTCGTGAAGGGCTCTCTTCCTTCTTGACCGTCGCACTCCCAAATTCCTTCAACTTCTTTGTCATTACAAGCAATCCAGGCGTAGGAGTTATTGTCCACTTTTCGAGCCAATTCTGCCATGAAGTTCATTTCCTCGAGCGAGCGAGGAGCGGCCATCTTGCCTCTCATATCTTGGCAAGCCGACTTGGCCTGATCCCAAGTATGCGGTGAAGGAGTGAGGCGATAACACTCGTTTCCCCGTAATTGCCACTGTGGCGGGCAAGAACACTTCACAGTGAGCCGAGACTGGCAGGTACCTGACCCAAATTGAGCATTGATCGCCGAAGTTATTGCTATAATGCCAAAAACATTGAAGATGTACATGATGACACGTTCAGACGATGGCTTGGAGAGGATCTGTTTGCTATAAACCCGTCAAGCAGTTTCACCATCGAGGTCGAATGATGTCAATGAAAAGTGATGGCTGCAGCAGAAAGTGGTGAGCTTTTCTCTGACGACATATAAGTATCAACAAGATATCTTGTTGCCATCGTTATATTATTTCAGCGTCCGCTCAAATTAAGAAGGGCGATGACAAACCAGTCTCCATGGTTACACTTCCTGTTAACAGGTTTCAATCAACCATCTAGAATGAAGTAGATAATTTTAATTAGTGCGGGGCTATCCTTTACGCTAGGCTTTTGGTACACTTGCTGGCTGACTTGGCAACCAAAATAGTCGTTCAGTCGATCATCATGACCTTCTTAACTTAATTGCACCGCACTGTTGACGAAATTAGGGCGAAGTGGGAGATATTAGCTGTTTAAATTGAACTCTCACGTTTCATTTAATCTCACACGGCCGGCGTGCATAAACGTATAATAAACTGGCAGAGTTACAGAACGCAGTGAGTGTCATCGCGTATTGTTGGGTCTCCTACTCGGTATACCCATGGCAACTCCTCTCTTCTTCCACTGATGACACGCCTCACAGATCGACTCTCAGCTCCAGCATGGACTCCACATCGGCATGGCTCACTGATTAAAGTCCAGCATCCCCTGCCCCAACTAAAACTCCACACAGGCCTGCACGCGCTTCACTGCTTCCAGACTACAAAATGGCTAGCCTTCGTCAAAGCGTTCGTCTCTAATCGTCCGTACGCGGTAAACGATCGGCGGCTTATCCTTGCTATACATAGTGCATTAAAATACAGCGCGAACAGCGTTCTCATGTGGCCATTATTTTATGCAAATCATTTGGATCCAGACTATACGAACGCCTTGGTCTTATCGTCCGCGAAAGCTCATGTTTTTCTTTATTTTGCACTAGATTTCCAGCGCACGACCGCTTATATGCGAATACAGATAAGCGTAGGCGGGGCTAATAATGTGGAGTTCCAATCACTTCTTCTTCTTCTTCTTCTTCATTCATTCATTTTCTTGATAACTTGATGAGTTAGGCCCAACTGTCCCTGTCGGGCATAGTGTTGGAAAGAGATGTACCACTCAGACCAGTTTCTAGCTCGATGGATGTTTTCAGGGTCATGTTGGGACGACCTTTTCGTCGAGGGGCTTCAGGATTCCAGAGGAGAACTTGACTAGCTGGCTCATTATGTCGATAAACGTGACCGGCTAGCCGAAGGCGACGCTGTCTGATGGTGGTGGAGATAGGGGGAAGGGCACCATACAGAACAGAGTTAGCGAGATGTTGTTGCCAAGAAACATTCTGAACAGCCCGCAACATCCGTGTACATCAATGGATGCAGAGATCTGTTTGGTCAGGGTCCAGGACTCGCAACCGTAGAGGAGGATGGATTCTACTGAGGTCTTGAAGATCTTAAGTTTGGTGGTCTTGGAGATCCAATCACACCTCGGTAAATTTCGACGTCATCAATTTAAATTGACGCTCTATCTATACTTTTTGCTACCATCAAATTCTTCCAAAGGAGGGCGCCCTACACAATTACTGGTAAGCACCATGAAGACTAATCTGTCAATGCGGATCACGATGCCCACTAAACAAAAATAACGCTCTTTTTGGAGACAATTACCGCAGAAAAACACATTGCATTGCATTGCAATAACGCCCGAATATTGGCCATGATATTTGACACAACCAGTTGGAAAATTGACGCGAACCGTGAAAGAATAATTTTTAATATGATTAAAGAAAATATAGTGCTTAATCACGAAAACTTCATTCCGAATCTTAGTCACTTTTCATTGAACAACAATATAATACCCTTTGTGGAGACAATAACCGAAGAACAACACATTGCATTGGATTGAAATTACATCTGAATAATGGCCATGACATTTGACACAACCAGTTTGAAAATTGACGGGAACCGTGGAAGAAAAATTTAATATGATTTAAAGAAAATATAGTGTTTTATCACGAAAAATTCATTCTGAACCTAAGTCACTTTTCATTGAACAAAAATATAACACTCTTTGTGGAGACAATAACTGAAGAAAAACACATTACATTGGATTGATATTACATCCGAATATTGGCAATGATATTTGACACAACCACTTTGAAAATTGACGGGAACCGTGGAAGAATAAATTTAATATGATTTAAAGAAAATAAAGTGCTTTATCATGAAAAATTCATTCCGAATCTTAGTCACTTGTCATTGAACAAAAGTATAACTCTTTGTGGAAACAATAACTGAGAAACAACGCATTGCATTGAATTGAAATTACACTCGAAAATTGGCCATGATATTTGACACAACCAGTTTGAAAATTGACGGGAACCGTGTAAGAATCAATTTAATATGATTTTTTTTTTGAAATACAGTGTTTTATCACGAAAAATTCATTCGGAATCTTCCTTTTTCATTGAACAAAAATATAACACTCTTTGTGGAGACAATAACTGCAGAATAACATATTGAGTTGGATTGAAATCTTGTCCAACAATTGGCAATGATATTTGAAACAACAAGTTTGAAAATTGACGGAAACCGTAGAAGAATAAATTTAACATGATTTTAAGAAAATATAGTGTTTTAATCACGAAACATTCATTTCGAATCCTAGTCAATTTTAATTGAGAAAAAAACACTCTTTGTGGAATCAATAACTGCAAAATAACGTAATCAATTGGACTGAAATCTCGTCCAAAAGACCGTTGGCCATGATATTTGACAGAACAAAATTGAAAATTGACGTGAACAGTCGAAGAATAAATTTAATATGATTTAAAGAAAATACAGTTTTTTTCACGAAAAATTCATTCCGAATCTTAGTCACTTTTATAATTAACAAAAAAAAACCCCTTTTTTTTGGAGACGATAGCTCAAGAATTACATATTGCATTCCCCTTTCGATCATCAGTCGTGATTTAATGACATAAAAAGTTTTAAAAATCGACCGTGGAAGAAAATATACACACAGCGACAATAAAACAACAGTATGTGGGACGCACCGTACTTTTTGCTGCCATAACGTTCTTCCAAAGGAGGGCGCCCTACACAAACACTGGTCAGCGCCGTAAGGGTACACACCGGTAAATCGATCCGCCAAGCTCATGAATAAAAGTTATTCCCTCAAAATATTCTATATTAGAGAGTTCTGAGCGCCGTAAAATTGGGGAATTGAAGAGATATGGTAGTGAACCTCTGGCCCGGACTTGGGGCTTCCAATTCTGAGCATTTTGGATGCTATTGGGCTCGAAAGTGGCGCTATTTTGCCATGTTGTGGAGGGATCGTTTTTCAAGATGGCTACTTTTCCGCTTTGGGGAAAATAGGGGTCGTCTTCTTTGCGTGAAAATATCTCGAAAAGTCAATGGTCAACCCACCATAAATTGAAAAGAAATTGAAAGATGACACATTGATCATCATTTTTCTGTGCAGCTTGAATACCTGTGAGAGTTTTGAGTATTTTTAAAAGAATTTTGAAGTACGGGCATTTAGCACTAGTGTCTATGGGAGTTTATTTGCAGGTATGCACCCGTAAAGACTTCTGTCAATGTGGATCACGATGAGACCACAACTGCAGAACATCACATTGCATTGGATTAAAATTGCGACCGATTATTGGTCATGATATTTGACACAAAAATTTGCAAATTGACGTGAACGGTCGAAGAATAAATTTAATATGATTTAAAGAAAATATAGTGTTTTATCACGAAACATTCATTCCGAATCATAGCCACATAGGTCTTTGTGGAGTCAATAACTGGAGGCAAGTGGCATCCTTCCACTTTCACAGGCAAATAGGACCCATTTTTCATCCGTAATTTGATCAAACCTGCCCTCGGATTGAAGCCCCAGGGAGTTGATCCTTGCTTGGGTATAAAATTATTTACACAATTCCACCGTTTTTAAAGCAAAATGATCTCCGGTTTCAAAAGAAATTGTGTGGGCACCTTTATGCTAATGACTCGCGTAGAAATTCTCACTTGAATTAGTTCATTGCAGTTCAGTGCACCTCAGCGTTCGCGAGATGGCAAAGCTTTAGCCGCGACATTACCAGCACGTTGTCGTAAAAATTGGTTCCTTGATCCGGTCTTCACTTTTTCTTTCAAATGGGGCTTGCGGTCGCTGCCGAAATTAATTGAACGTGATGGGGAGTAATAAATAACCGTCTGATATTTTCCACACAAGCCCCCGGTGTACGGGGTTTCGCATAGAAATTTTCAGATACCAACTTTTACGACAATGTATTAATAATGATTTGTCGCGCTTAAAACACTGTATTGTTACGGTCAATACTGCTTCATTGTTTGACGGTTTCTTAAGAAATTAAATCTCGTAATGTTAAACAGGATGACAAATCACTAGACGAAAATTCAATTTAAAAAATCTTGTATTTCTGGAGTTGTTGCCACCCAAACGAGTTTGGTGGCGGATAATTATCGAGACCACTATTTATGTGGCGCGCCCTCTATTAAATAAAAGAATATGGTGCGGATGCTGCACTATTGAACAAAAATAACAACTCAGTTTCCGATCAATAACTCTAGAAATACAGGATGTATTAAACTGAAATTACTTGCAATTTATTTCCATGATGTATAACAGAGGTGTATTGAATATCATGAGAAGCAGTCCAACGATAACAATAATATGATCATAACAATGTAGTGTTTTACACGCGAAAAATACACATTGATTTTCATTCGGATTGCATTGGTCGCCCTTGAAACACTGTATTGTTACGGTCAATACTGCTTCATTGTTTGACGGTTTCTTATGAATTTGAATCTCGTAATGTTAAACATGATGACAATTCACTGGACGAAAATTCAATTTAAAACAACTTGTATTTCTGGAGTTGTTGCCCCCCAAACGAGTTTGGTGGCGGATAATTATCGAGACCACTATTTATGTGGCGCGCCCTCTATTAAATAAAAGAATATGGTGCGGATGCTGCACTATTAAACAAAAATAACAACTCAGTTTCCGATCAATTACTCGAGAAATACAAGATGTACTAAACTGAAATTTCGTGCAATAAATTTCCACGATGTGTAAAAGAGGGGTATTGAATATGATGGGAAACGGTCCAACGATAACAATAATATGATCGTAACAATGTAGTGTTTTACACGCTAAAAATATTCGGATAGCATTTGTCGCGCTTAAAACACTGTATTGTTACGGTCGATACTGCTTCATTGTTTGACGATTTCTTATGAAATTAAATCTTGTAATGTTAAACATGATGACAAATCACTAGACGAAAATTTAATTTAAAACGTCTTGTATTTCTGGAGTTGTTGCCCCCCAAACGATTTTGGTGGCGGATAATTATCGAGACCACTATTTATGTGGCGCGCCCTCTAAATAAAAGAATATGATGCGGATGCTGCACTATTGAACAAAAATAACAACTCAGTTTCTGATCAATAACTCGAGAAATACAGGATGTATTAAACTGAAATTTCGTGCATTTAATTTCCACGATGTATAACAGAGGTGTATTGAATATCATGAGAAACAGTCCAACGATAACAATAATATGAGCGTAACAATGTAGTGCTTTACACGCGAAAAATACACATTGATTTTCATTCGGATTGCATTTGTCCGACTGTATTGTTACGGTCAATACTGCCTCATTGTTTGACGGTTTCTTATGAAATTAAATCTCGTAATGTTAAACATAATGACAAATCACTATTCGAAAATTCAATTTAAAAAATCTTGTATTTCTGGAGTTGTTGCCCCTCAAACGAGTTTGGTGGCGGATAATTATCGAGACCACTATTTATGTGGCGCGCCCTCTATTAAATAAAAGAATATGGTGCGGAAGCTGCACTATTGAACAAAAATAACAACTCAGTTTCCGATCAATAACTCGAGAAATACAGGATGTATTAAACTGAAATTTCGTGCAATTAATTTCCACGATGTGTAACAGAGGGGTATTGAATATCATAAGAAACGGTCCAACGATAACAATAATATGATCGTAACAATGTAGTGTTTTACTCGAGAAAAATACACATTGATTTTCATTCGGATTGCATTGGTCGCGCTTAAAACACCATCGGAAGGATCATGTGTACCCACGAGGATATGTCACCAGTCTAATAGTCGAGAAACTGCATGGTACTTGTACGTCTAATGCATTTAGCGTACACGATGTGTGTTCAACAGACTATTCTACAGGACTTTTGCGAAAATGGCGCATGATTTGGAGTTGGCGAACCAAGCTTGGCAGACAATCACCGCCAGATTACTTGCTGGCAGTCAAGAAAATCATGCCGAGGTCTGTAAATTGTATGGAAACATTTGGTCATATCGATGTAAATTCTAATTATAAAAGGTTTGGGAAAGAATGTAAGGTAATGGTGTAGTTTACGACACCTCCCTTTTTTCTTTTTCTTTTTTGACAAAAGTAACTTAAAATTGCAAAATGACTAGTCTCAGTCATTTGCAAAAGTCATATTTTCCAATGTGACGTGGAAAGAATCCCATTTGGCCATCACTAAGTTTTCCCTTCAGTGGCCTATCAGTACCCTTATCAGCCATCAGAAAGTGATAATATGTCTTAAAAAGTCAAAATTAGCAAGGATAGTATAGTACTAGTAGTAGTAGCTGGACTAGCCCCACTAGTGTGGCGGAAACAGGTCAACTCGTACGCGAACCAACTCGTACGCGAGTCAACTCGTACGCGGATTGGTCAACTCGTACGCGAGACAACTCGTACGCGAACCAACTCGTACGCGTGCCAACTCGTACGCGAACCAACTCGTACGCGAGCCAACTCGTACGCGAACCAACTCGTACGCGGGCCGTTTTAGGAGTGGTTTCGAGGATTGGGTTGGCATGGTTGGGAAGAATTTGGGAATAGTGTGACGGGTAGTTCGTAGTTCAATGTGTGACCGTTGTGTGTGATTGGGAGTGAACCCGTGAATGATGATAATAAAGTAACTGATTTTTGTAGTTAGACGAGTGTTGTATCGTTTTGTGCATACCTGTAGCCTTGTCACGTCAAATTTAATTCCATATATTAATGCAACGATGTACCAGTTGCATTTTTCGTGTTTTTTTAATCAATGTACCTGTCATGTCAGTAATAATTAGGACTAAAAAATTATCGGACCCAAGCAAAAAATTAATTTTCTGACCCAAGAAAATCCCATTTGACCCAAGAAACCTCGCATTTCCGGTGAAATTATATAAAATTCGGATTTAAAAAAAAAATAAAAATCAACTCCCCATTATTTCTTTTTTTACAAAATATTATTTGGATATATAATAATTAGGACTAAAAACTATCTGACCCAAGCAAAAAACTGGCGGACACTGTCCGTACAAAAGTTATGCATGCGTGATGCTATATTCCTTTTTTTATAGTAGCTCCTTTTTATACAATAGACCTCGCAAAGATCGGTGTTTTCTTGTCATTTTACTTGTCTAACCAACCAGCAATTGTACCGCGGCATACACAGGTTACAGCGATTCAATCATGCATTCTTTATACAGTGCGCGGTGCGGCGGGAACCAATCATACTGGTTATCGCGAAGACAACTTCCCAATCAATCAAGCGAACTTGTAAAAAAAAAAAAACCGCAGAATTCTTCTCTAAAAAATCGCGAATGTAAGTAGCACTGGCGGATTCATAAATCAACTACATTTAATTTGAAAATCTCAACCTTTCAGAAAAGGTAAAATTATGCCGACCTACCGTACGTACCGAACCTAATTTCATCTGTCCATGTGAGCTAAACCAATCGTCTAAACTCACGCGTACGAGTTGGTCCGCGTACGAGTCGGTCCGCGTACGAGTCGGTCCGCGTACGAGTCGGTTCGCGTACGAATTGACCCGCGTACGAGTTGGTCGCGTACGAGTTGGTTCGCGTACGAGTTGACCTGTATTCTAGTGTGGCCGTCGGTATGCTGCGCTGAACCTAAGGCCACACACCGTGGTACTGCGCGCTACTGGGGACGAAGTTTTCATAAAATTCAGGGCAGTTTCTTACATTCTCAGTTTCTTACTTTCTTATGGTTGTATTCTATGATGTCTCACCAATCACTTCTGGAATGCTAAGGTCTAATGATGTTCCATTTTCCGAGATATTCTTCAATCTTTCTGGAGTCCATATGCACTCGTGAAACGTCTGGTGATGGCAGCCATTTTGAATGGGACAAGAGATGACCTCAAGCTGTGACGTCGCGTGTATGCAATTGCAAATTGCTTGTCGAGCGCGCGAGGGCGCGAGTTGCAAATGCGACGGCTGTTTCCTGTGCCGTAGATCCTGAATAGAGATCGGTGCACGTGGCCCCCTGACGATAAATGCATGGTACAGGAAACAGCCGTCGCATTTGCAACTCGCGCCCTCGCGCGCTCGACAAGCAATTTGCATACACGCGACGTCACAGCTTGAGGTCATCTCTTGTCCCATTCAAAATGGCTGCCATCACCAGACGTTTCACGAGTGCATATAAGGTTTATCGCAAATACAAACCGCAAAGGATCATGGGGCTGCAATCGGAGCAACAGCGCCATCACACGGCGGTGGGAAAACGTACACACGGCATGCACGGCATTGCACGGTGCGGTGTGTACGATATTTCTTGGCTGCCCATTTTTCTGACGTATTGTGTTCGATGGGAGGTGATTATTGTGCTGTTCTGGGTTGCAATAATGACTGTTGTTATCCACAAAGGTATGATCTTTGTTATACATAAATTAAAGTTGTTTTGTTGTACAGAAAAAAAATGTTCTCACGACAAAAAGTAGGATAGCGTGCAGTTAAGTTCTGACCCGACGCGATCGCGATGTGCCGACGACCGGCACGCGACCGGGGAAACACGGGACACTCTGCACTGTCATGACTGTGTCGGCCAGTGCATTTAGAGTTTCTGTGCCCCTCAAAAGCTCCATTTTATGACTCTTTTCTTATCGGAAAAATATGTGGCTTTTATAATGGTTTAATTGTTACTTCTGTCAGCGAACGATGTGTGACTTTTACAGACAATTTCATGATTGTTTATTTATAATAAATTATATTCTGTTCACAAAAATGTAAAAAAAATATATACATGTACACATGTATATATTTGTCCTAGTCAGCTAGTAGGCCTAGCTAGCTAGCCTACTCCATTGTTTTACTCATACAAATAATTGCGAAGTCTTATGTGGTTTATTTTTTCTCCGTCATTAAACAATAAATATCTCTATCTTACGTTTCCCCTTCTCTTGATAGATGTCATCAAAGAGCATGTAAACACACTCGGATTCCACTCATGCAGGCATAAGAAACTCTTCCCTCTCTGGACTCAACTGACCCAACGGCAGGATTTCAAAGTAAAATCATCGACTACAGTCTGCAGCAACCACTTCAAATACGGCCAGCCATATCCTGATGAACTTCACCCATCTTTATTTTTGAGAGGATACGACCTTCCTGAGACACTGAAAAGAGCACCGGTGAAGAGTCGAGCATTGGATCTCACTACACCACTGCCGGCCATCTGAGAAAATCAAAACTTTGCTGTACCTTTTCTTAAGTTTTTATTTATTTTGTTCATTCTTACTCAAGGTTTGTATGCAAAATAAACCAAATTATAAATGGCATTAACCTACATGTACATGAACGGTCTTCACTTATGATAATGATAATAGAAATTATATCAATTGTAAAAGGTTTTGCAGGTTCATAAAAATAAGAGACATGTTTTATTAAAAATAATGTATATAAAATTTGGAACAAAGTTGCACACAATAAGGATGTAGAAAATGCAAATTGAAATGATCAAGTCATGTTTTATAAAAGTACATGAACATTGTTTAAAAATGCAATTATGACCTGCGTCTCTTGACGAGAATTGAATGAATAGTAAAAAAAACCCTGGAAAATTGAAAATAAAACTGGCAAATGCAAGCCTACTCGAGTGTCATAACAAGAGTTGTATGAACAGTTGTCAAATATCAAGGAATGCGCCTACGTCCCTCAAATAAAAAAAGCCGAGTCTCAAAACAACAGTTGGAATAAATAGGTGAAAGTAATTGGCAAATATGAGCCGTGTTTCTTAATTAAAAAGCTGGCAATATTTGAGCAGATTCTCGTAAAAAGAGTTGGATAAAGTTTAAAAACTTGGCAAATATGACCTGTGTTTCTTAAATAACCGGTAGCCCCAATATTGGCACAAATTTACTTGGACGAATACAAGAAAACCTGTTTAACATAAAAAAAACAATTTATAAAATACACAACAGTTATTTACATACATGTACACATGTAACTAGGTAGGCATGTTGGCTTAGAAATTTTGGCGATCGTGAAGCTACGGGCCCGCGACCTGTATTAGGGAACAAAATCCACTTTTAAATTATTTGACCTACCAGTACCAAACAAGTTTGCGATATTAAAAACATTCAGGTATGTCATAGATAAAGGGCAGGGTTTTTAATTTTTTAGGGAATTTTTTTTGGGGGGGGGGGGATGAAGATGATAACGACAAAACGCAACACGAAAATAAAGATGCCGATCGCTGCGCGATGTACCGTGAATGGCAAGGCGCACTGAATCGCACTGCACCACTGTAAACCGCGCAGGAAAATCATCATTTCTACTCCGAGAAACTGTTCAAAAATTACACAAAAGTGTCATTATATTGAGAGAAGTCTGCTCTAGGTTGACAAGGTCATTTTGAGTAGTAAAAAAACACTCTTGACTCTAATTTTATCGAAACCAAACGGGCCCTACACTACACGATCGCTGAAAGTTTTCGTGTGTGATCGCAGCCATCATTTTGTGTTGGTTGCGCGATGCGCGCTTCAACATCCGGGACTGCAAAATAGTTGTGCTCCGTTTTGCATCCCATGATGCTTTGCAACAGGGCGCCCTCTGTTGGTAGAACGCTATTTGCGATAAACCTTATGGACTCCAGAAAGATTGAAGAATATCTCGGAAAATGGAACATCATTAGACCTTAGCATTCCAGAAGTGATTGGTGAGACATCATAGAATACAACCATAAGAAAGTAAGAAACTGAGAATGTAAGAAACTGCCCTGAATTTTATGAAAACTTCGTCCCCAGTAGCGCGCGGTACCACGGTGTGTGGCCTTAGGTTCAGCGCAGCATACCGACGGCCACACTAGTGGGGCTATAGCTGGACATGCTGGAGTTACCCAGCCCTGAGTTTTATCATTGGGTTGTCTATTAGGGCTGGAGCTAGTTTTTCTCGTAAACGATAGTATAGGCAAAAAAAATTTGGAAAATGTTCAATTTTGTCCCCGTTACACACTAATTGCAACTGCAACTCACCCCAAACTTGCCTGGAATAACCATTACACAGGTCCTTGAAGTAAAAAAAACGATCCACGATGAAGATTCAGCCTACAATTGCAGTGAAAACAGGAGGAATAACCGCTAACCTGACAACCTTGCTGGCATGGCCAGGACCGCAATTGGTTTGTGCACCAAAAAAAATTGTGTACAATGAATGGCGGTTGATTATCAGGCACAGAGCGCTGTCAACTACTCGTTTTTGCCGGCTGCGCTGGCTGTTGGCGCATGACGTCACGCGGAAGCGTAACACCCAATGACTGTTTCATGCACAATCGGTTGCGGTTCCAGTACCAAAGCTGTGATGCGAGTGGTAAACCTCATATTAGTGCATGAAACAGTCATCGGGTATTACGCTTCCGCGTGACGTCATGCGCCAACAGCCAGCGCAGCCGACAAAAACGAGTAGTTGACAGCGCTCTGTGCCTGATAATCAACCGCCATTCATTGTACACAATTTTTTTTGGTGCACAAACCAATTGCGGTCCTGGCCATACAGTAGTCAATACCCGTCACCTGGACACAGTTTCATTTAATCACCATTACGCCAGAACCCTAAGTTTAAGGAATTCCCCTGTTCATGCTTTTCCTCGTATATGGAGTAATCTCCCAATCCACGTTAAGGACTCATTGATACTTGATTCATTTCAGTGTTTTAATCGTGCATTATGTGCTCATTTTATTGATGGTTAAATGCCTGTAATGTTTTGTCTACTTGTTGCTTTTGATCTAAATTGTGTTTTGGATATTGGATGAGCGGGGAGGTTTGGCCGAGTCGGGATTCGGGCCCGGGACCTCTGTATTGCTGTTCCAGAGCTGGAACGGTAGTCCAGGGGTCTCGGGTTCGGGTCCTGGTTCGGTCAGATTTCTTTGCTCAACTAATATTCATTTCAAATTTTTCCAGTCAGTTTTCTTTCCTTCATGAATCATTTAATTTTTTTTTTTTCGTATAGAGTTCTCTTATTAACTTTTGGTTTGTTTGTTTGTTTGTTTGTTTGTTGGGGTGTTGGGCTGTTTGTCGTTTGTTTGTTTTTTGTTAATATGTTTTGTGTGTGTGTGTGTGTGTGTGTTACGTTTGTACATGTATTAGACTGTTCGTATAATCGTAACTTTGCTTGTCTGTTTGCATGTGTACGGTATCTGTTATGTTTTTTTCTGTATGGTTTTATCTGATTGTTCTCGTCTTTGTTAAGATGTTTTTTCAACTCGTTTGTATGTTTCATTGCTTACTTGTTTATCACTTATTGTGTTTCTTACTGAATTATTTTATTTATGCTACTGTTTTATTTTCATTTAAATTCATTTACATATTTAGCAGATATTTATTTACCCATTTTTTATTCATATATATTACCCTCCATTATTAAAGCATTTTTAATTTCCAGATATATTTTTAACTTCTCATATTACTTGTATATAATAGATTTATTTTAAAGTTATTTTATGTTACCAACCTAGGATTGGATGAACAGGCTTTTGAGTCACAGTGTTTTCACTTTTGTTCATCCTGGCCATCTTAGATTGGATTGTCTTTACTCTGCTTGTTGAACTCCCTCCCACTTCCACTCTTCCCCAATCCGCTCCCCTTCTACATGTATACATTCCTCATCCCCACCCCCAATTCTTCCCCATCTCATTCTTACCTACTGTACCTATACACATCTATTCTTTTTGATTGGTATTTGTTACACAATTTATCTTTCATCTTGACTGTCCTTGATGTATGACATTTCTTACATTGTATGTACATGTACATGTTTGTATTTTGAATGTTTTGGCCGAATAAATAATAATAATAATAATAATGCCAGCAAGGTTGTCAGGTTAGCGGTTATTCCTCCTGTTTTCACTGCAATTGTAGGCTGAATCTTCATCGTGGATCGTTTTTTACTTCAAGGACCTGTGTAATGGTTATTCCAGGCAAGTTTGGGGTGAGTTGCAGTTGCAATTAGTGTGTAACGGGGACAAAATTGAACATTTTCCAAAATTTTTTGCCTATACTATCGTTTACGAGAAAAACTAGCTCCAGCCCTAATAGACAACCCGATGATAAAACTCAGGGCTGGGTAACTCCAGCTATAGTACTAGTACTTTTAGTAGTAGCTCTACTGAGTGGAGCGTTGAATTACAGGTACCCCTCCATACAAACGCTCCACCGATTTGCCATACTTTGGTGACGGCGTCACAGTAGCATAGTCACAAACCCACGCGAGGACAAAAAGACCCCCCAAAAAACGGTAAAGAGAATACAAATGAGAGAGACAGTTACCCTGGATTGATCTACACATTCATGACATTCCATCAGACCCTTTACATTGTTCCCAAACAGCGAACATTTTGAAGAAAAACAGCAAAATAGTCTGAAAACTTACAGCTCAATGTGTTCGCCGTAAGGCTCAATCGTTGCACCGGTTTGCCGAATGAGGGCGTCTGACGTGACGTCACTGTCGTTGCTCGATCGAAGAAAAACAAGTTGCGCTTTATCAACGACTGTTTCGTGTAATAATACGTGCTCCGATCCGCGCCGTACGACAGTATGGGCTTTGAACACACGCAAGGTGGAGACGGCTGAAGCGTACACGTTCTAAATTAAAAACAAATTAAATGACGACAGATACCCACATGAAACTTGTATCAAAGAACTACTAATTCCTTCCTCCATGCTAATACTGACAAATGAAAATCCCATTGTTATTAAAATACGTTTCAGCTGTCTCCACCTTGCATGTGTTCAAAGCCCATACTGTCGTACGGCGCGGATCGGAGCACGTATTATCACACGAAACAGTCGTTGATAAAGCGCGACTTGTTTTTCTTCGATCGAGCAACGACGGTGACGTCACGTCAGACGCCCTCATTCGGCAAACTGGTGCAAGGATTGAGCCTCACGGCGAACACATTGAGCTGTAAGTTTTCAGACTATTTTGCTGTTTTTCTTCAAAATGTTCGCTGTTTGGGAACAATGTAAGGGGTCTGATGGAATGTCATGAATGTGTAGATCAATCCAGGGTAACTGTCTCTTTCATTTGTATTCTCTTTACCGGTTTTTTGGGGGTCTTTTTGTCCTCGCGTGGGTTTGTGACTATGCTACTGTGACGCCGTCACCAAAGTATGCCAAATCGGTGGAGCGTTTGTATGGAGGGGTACCTGTAATTCAACTCCACTCAGTAGAGCTAATAGTATAGTATTTACTAAGAAAACACTTAAAATGTTCAGACCGGTTTCATACTCGGAGTCAGACATAGGGTTTGTGCGCAGGGTGACATAGGCCCTACTGACAAGTGATGGCCAGATAATATGGGAATCTTTCCAATACTTCAATAAAACAGACAATATTTTCGGCGATCGTGTAGTGTAGTAGGGCCCCTGTTTTGTTTCGATAAAATTAGAATCAAGATTTTGTTTTATTTCTAAAAAATGACCTTTTCAGGCTAAAGGCAAAGCAGACTTCTCTCATCAATGTAATGACACCTTTTTTGGTAATTTTTGAACAGTTTTTTAAGGGCAATGCCTTTGTTTTGGTAGGATTTGCATTCTGAGTGAAGTAGTGAACCTTATTGTTACTCAATTAACCCTAACTGTGCCAGATGCAACACGGTGCATCAGGTGGAAAAGTCTAATGCACTTGGTGTATTCAGCTGTAACACCAGTGCATAAATGGCCAGTACTGAACAAATGAGAGCTAATCCCATTGAACAATGCCACAGGTGTAGCCTGCTTCATTTGGTGACCACAGACTCTGAGGCAGTGTGGCCTTGAGACTTTTGACCTGATGGATCTTGCTGCACAGGGCAGGCTTGTCACTTAGACAAGTGTTGCATGTTGCTGCTTTTGACAGGGGTTCTAGCCAAAATATCCTGGAGGGTGAGGCTCTCTAAGATTGCTGCTAGGTATAAGGTCTATTAAACACAAGCTGCTGCCAATCTTTCTAGTGATTTCTCATTCAGAAAAGAGGCGATGATTTAATATTTATATTCAATCAAAATTTTAATTAATCTGGAAAAAGAGCAACAATGCATGTCATTAAATCATTGTTTGTTTATTTCTCATGCTGTGAACTGATGACAAAAGGGCTCAACATCCGCTATGGACATTTCTGAGCAAGCTGTCGGCACGATGGATGACATCAGATCAGCCCACGGTGTGCTCGCTGAACAAGGCATGGGAAACCTTCTAGAAGAGTGGTTCATGGAAACGCTACAGCACACACTCCAGAGAAAATACGTCCCTCAGTTCTGGTCGCACTTTACACCCCATCACATACCCCTAGAAACATCATCTCTGTCTGTGGATAACCCACTTGTTCCTGCCATCAGTGCTCTGTCCGCAAATGTGGTACCATTCATCAATAGTGCGAGAACACTCGATGAATTGTCCGCTGAGATACGCTCGCCGATAAACTGTACTCAGCTTGTCGAGAGAGTCCAGACAATGCTGAAAGCTATGCTCTTTGACCAGACTCCGAAATGCTTCCAAAGTGTAGTGAACGATTTCTACAGTCAAGCTTTTAGAGCTTTTCATGGTGAGAAGAGGTCAGGGGGTGACGTGAGCATGAGAAGTCAAGGTGACGATGGCGAAACGGAAGACACTGCAGAAGAAGAAGATGATGACATCAGGTGTTCCGCATGCCAACAATCCAAGGAGGCGTGTCACTGCAAGGATGTGCTTCAACAGTTTCATCAAATCAATTCCAAATTGTAAGTTATTCCAGTGCCCATGGTCCAGTGGTTAGGGTGTTTGATACATGTACGATTCAGGGTTCGAACCCTGCCTGGAATATGGTGTTTGTGCCCTTAGGCAAGATACTTTACTTCAGTTGCCTCTTGCCACCCAGGAGTACGACTGGGTACCTGTGAGGGTAGAGGACCGAATGTGCGCTGATATCGGCTGCCACATGGTCTCGTTGCTTGAGTTCAATAGTTCACACTGGGTTCAATAGTCCAAATTTACAATAAAGTTCTGTGCTGTCAATTCAGACAGTTGAGCCTTATTGTCAATTTGGACTATTGACCTTTATTCAGAGATGAAACTTTTCCGATTTTAATCGGAAAACCGACTTTTTGAATTTTCCAACGAAATTTCCGATTTTTTTACAGTGTGTCCCAGTGTGTCCCAAAATTTGATTTTCTGATGATTTTTTCACAAAATGTCATTTTATTTCAATCATAATTTCGAAGAAAGTCGATGGAAATGGCGTGCTAAAATCATCGCGAACGTAGTTTTAATCTCTTTCACCAGTCGTTATTGGAGAGTTTCAACGGTAGAAACACAGGGCATAACACTGATCGGAGCCTTCTCCGGCTGGACAAAAGGTTAAACATTGACAGGCGACATGGAAAAATCACTGTGTCGCACGTGCGTGCGAATATGCAATGGTACCAGCGTGCGTACGTACCGCACCACCGTACCGTCCGCTAGCACATGGCCGGCCGGGACGGGTAGCCTTGTGAAGGATCCTGTGGATAAAATCATTATGTTGTGCGATTTTCGGAGGTTTCAGATTCAGTTGTACAAAATGCAATGCTTTAAAAATCATGATGAATATCTCGAGGATAGCGAAGAGAGCATTAGCGAAACATTTCACTGGCATTTGTTGGAAGAGAAAGACGGTAATGCCTGATTTTTTTCCCATGCATGAATGCAAGTGGTTGAATCATGGACATGATTGAAGCACCATGAACGGTGCCCTTGTCTTTCGGACTTTTCCCTCGACTTTCTCAAGTAAGAAGTGAACTTCTTTATTGATGACTCCATTACTCTAACCGTAATTCAGGCATTTTATGCAATGAAATCGCGGCTCCGAAATCGCTGACCATTTTTTTTTTCATCGTAAAATTTTGTTTGAATAAAAAATAAAGCAGGAGTTGGTGTCCGGAAATTGGGCATGAAGTGTATTGTACATGCATGTATATGTGTGTAATGGCAGCGCGGCCCAGACTTCGGACACGTATTTTTGTTCGGCCTTTTTTCCGATTTTTTTGCCACATGCCAGTTTCATCTCTGTTTATTGTCTATTCGGACTATCCAACCTTCAGACTAACGAACTTTCGGACCAACGAACCTTCAGACTTTCGAACCTTCAGACTAACGAGCCTTCGGACTAACAAACCTTTTGACTATTGAACCTTCGGACTATTGAACCTTCGGACTAATGAACCTTCGGACTAATACAAACCTTTGGACTATTGAACCTTTGGACTATTGAACCTTCAGACTAACAAACCTTCAGACCAACAAACCTTCGGACTATTGAACCTTCGGACTAATACAAACCTTCGGACTATTGAACCTTCGGACTATTGAACCTTCGGACTATTGAACCTTCGGACTATTGAACCTTCGGACTATTGAACCTTCGGACTAATACAAACCTTCCGACTATTGAACCTGAGGACTATTGAACCTGAGGACTAACGAACCTTCGGACTAACAACCTTCAAACTATCGAACCTTCGGACAATCTAGCGGTCACTGTATTCACAATATTTTGTTTACAGACACTGTTTAGGCCTGTTGGAGCGAGTTTGTGCAGAGCCCGTAACGTCCCTGATCCATGCCAAGATCAAGCATCATGTGGACAACAAGTGCAGGGGAGAGTTTGAGACTTCTTACATTGTTACATTAGAAAGGGTGAGAATTACTGTGATTGGTTTGTCACTTCATACATATTCATTAGCCAAGCACACCTCTGTCATTGGTCAATGTTCTAATATGTTATAGGGGAGTAAAAGTGCATGTACATGTAGCTGTGCTGGCACGTGGGACACAAGTACTGTTGCTCAACTGGTCGGTAGTACTTCAAGATAAGCCCATAGACTCCTAACTACATGTATATGTGTGATGTTCAGGTATGATTAAGTATTGACCCTCCTATGCAGACATTCATTCTGTGCCAAGTTGTCCTTTCAGTCAAAATCAGTCAAGTGACAGTTTTAAGGATTCACTGGCTGTGACTGTTTGCAAAAAAATTGTATCTAACTTGGTACAGCTATGCTGTGCTTACTACTTGCCTGTTTTTGTCTGTTGACTGAATTTGACTAGTCACAGTGCTTGCTTGAAATACGATCTCACTGTTGGTGACTAGCCTGTGTAAAAGGCATGGCAGGGGAAGAGGATTGATTTTTTTTTGACTGTCTGTGACTGTTCAGATAGCAGGAGGGTTAATTTAACCCTCCTGATATCCAAGCAGTCACAGATAGTCAAAATTCACTTCCACTTCCCCTGCTATACTTTTAACAAAGGCTAGTCACCAACAGTCGTTCACATGTCAAGCAAGCACTGTGACTAGTCAAACTGGGCCGACAGACAAAGCAGGCACGTTGTGGTCACAGCTGTTTTATCACTCACCCGGAGTCAGAGCATAGTTGTATCAAGTTACTTAATCAGTCCAAGGCAGTCAATCCTGCTTTGTGTGGGCTGGGAATTCTTAAGGGTTGAAAACAGTCACTTGATTCTTTTTGACTGCAAGGACAATTTGGCACGGAATAGGCCTATATGTTTGCATAGGAGGGTTAATGAATGCTAAACAAGTGAGTGCATCTGTATTACATGTATGATGCAGATTGATGCTCTATTATATACTGTATACTGTCAACGAACATCATATCTCAAGTATCAACAACATCTTGGAGATGACATTTGCCATTTAAAACCAGGACAGACATCAGCCTTGCCAGTGTAAGGAAGGAACCATAAGGTTGCCTGCCCCGCAGCCAAACATGTACTGTGTAGTCAAAACTGACTGAATGTATGTACTGTACTAGCCCCATAAATGTGGCCAATTTACTGGACTACCTCCGTAAATTAAGGCCACACTTCCACCATGCACAAAAACATGTCGAACTTTGTCAAATTTTGATATTCACATTTAGGCTTAGGATGTAGTTTATTTTTGCTTTAGAAGCGTACTCACCCTCTTAATAGGCTAATCAGAAAGGGCTGCCTTTTTCAGATGTCTATTTTTCACGAAATTTCCAGATTCGTTTGCACACGTTTGCGTATCAAAATTTCAACATGAAATTTCACGAAAATTAGACATCTGAAAAAGGAAGCACTTTCTGATTAGCCTATAAAGAGGGTGAGTATGTTTCTAAAGCAAAAATGAACTACAAACTAAGCCTAAATGCAAAAATCAAAATTTGGCAAAGTTCGACATGTGTTTGTACATGGTGGAAGTGTGGCCTTTATTTACGGAGGTAGTCCACTAAATTGGCCACATTTATGGGGCTAGTACTGTACATGTAGTTCAGGGTTCTCCCCAGGATTTTTTCAAAACTGTGGGGGAAGTTTTGTTGTGATTCACCAACCTGCGAAGCCACGGCGTGTAAAAATTTTGAACTTTAGAGGCCCTCTGGTGCATTTTAGAGCAAATCTGGGGAGTCTTTAAGGAAGATTTGTCCTTAAAATTTAGAGGAGATCTTGTGATATTTTTTGTAATTAAAGAAAAAAAAAAAAAAACATTTTTAACTTTAAAAAAAAATCAGCATTTCAAAACCTGTGTTAAAACTTCCTGAACTAGAAAGTATGGATTATATTTACAAGCAAGTTTCAAATTAAGAAATTAAGGTGAAGAAAAAAAATCGCTTTTGCTTCCGATTACATGCCTTTCAAAATAGTTTCGGAAGGTTGAAAAAATTATTTCGCCAATTTTTTGGGCTGCTGATTGAATCATGGAGAAATAAAAACACATGATTGAATGGAGCATATTGAACAAGGAATCATGTAGTTTTGTGCCAGGATTATTTTCCTTTGTACCACGAAAATTATCAAGACTGACCATCAAAAGTGATTAAAACTTGCCTCACCTAATTAAAAATATATTTGAGGTGGTTGATTCCACTATATGCTTAACTTCGGCCGACATCATCATCATGTACATGTGTATGCACGCACGAGGCAGTAGTCACTGGTTCCGGTCCTTCATCATAGCATTGATACTACGCGAAGGGAACCAGTGTACCATGCTGTATGCGCTAATATATAGCTGGGTCCTGGCGGTAGACGCGAAAGACCCGTCATCGTGTGCATTTTGATCACACATGCATCAGAAATATGGGATTTTTGTCAAGATTTTGCATGTCAAGATGAAATAATGGCGTATGAAACGATTATGTTGTGCATTTTAATGGCTTGTATAATAATTATATTGTGCGTATCGGGGGCTGAAAAATGTGATCGGCATTTTTGTCGGCGTATCGGGCCGCAATTCCAGCGTATCGGGCCGATACGCACGTTTGTACGTGGGGAGAACCCTGTTAAGTTATACAAGAGCTCATGAAAATGTATTGAGAAACTTTGAACGTTAAATTGTGTTGTTTGTACCTGCAGTGGTTGTCTAGCAAGGTTGTGAGATGGTTGAATCTCGTTTTCTGTGGAGAGGAATCGCAGCGGACCATCGGCGGCAGCACGCAGCAGACACTGCGCCAGTGGAAGGACAGACTGCAGTATCTCCTGTACCAAACCTACGCAAACCTTCGCATTCAAGAACTTTTCAACATCATCGTTGAGTTCCCAGACTCCCTCTCCGCTCTGGAGGATCTGCAGAAGTGCTTGGAGAAGACAGACCTGAGAAGGCACCTGGTTCAGTCACTGCGCAGCTCCTTGGAGACACGCTTACTGCACCCAGGTAACAACAGCATTCTGAATCTAAGGCTACTGGCGAATACTGGAAGGCAAAGAAAGTACTGCTACGCAAAACAGAATTTTTAAATCCCAGTTTTTGTCTTTTATTTTAAAGGGAATGTACAAATTTGCTTTTGCTGCAATTTGGAGGATTAGTCTGTTATAGCAAATATTGTTAAAATGACTTTTTTCACGTTTTGGGCTTGTAGATTCTGGAAAAACCAAGAAAACCAATCATGTTCTTGCAGTCTTGTTCCCTGACCCCACTTAAGATGAAACGGAGCAATTTATAGGCTTTGGGGGTCAGAGAATCAGTCTAGCAGACTTGTACCCCTTCACATGTGTGTAATCAATTGCAAAGAAAATGCGGAATAACTAATTATGAAAATTCGGAGCAGTTTTTGAAAAAAGCCAGTTTTCTCCAACGCTGGTCAGCCGACCAGCGTTGGAAAAATACCATTTTTCTTCAAAATGGCAGCACACCAGGAGCCACGATTTTACAGGATGCTTTAGACTGTCATTCCCTAACAATCCAGTAAGGTATTTCGTGATAATTTGATAATTTCGTTTTGTGATGTTTGCAAATGTTATATCTTCTCTTTAAGGAGTAAATACTGACGATATCCTGACTCAATACATCTCGTCTATCCGAGCTCTGAGAGTGTTGGATCCATCAGGTATCATACTGGAGCTGGTATGCCAACCTGTCAGGAAATATCTCCGGTGAGTTTATAGTACCCAGTAAGTAGTATACAAATAAATCACGGTTTGATGGTTGATAGTCAATATTACCTCCCCAAGGTATTGGAAGATGACGAACTAGTTCCTGCGTGTGCACAAAGTAAGCAACAATGAAAGATGGTTTAAAAAAACGGGTGGTCGTCGGCACACTTAAAAGTGTGACATGGGATTGAAGAATGAAGCAGGATAATAATATCAAGTTGTTTGTCCTCTTTTCTTCACCCAATTGTTGAGGTTTGTGCTCACCAAGAATTTAAGACTTTCCAGGCAAATTTTACAAGATATAGATGCTCAGAATGTTATTGGGTACCATGGACAGAAAGTCTGTTAATATTTTTAGAAAGTTGTTATTACAATAATTGCATTTATCAAATGTTGTGCCTTTTCATTCTTATCCCTACAGCATTGTTACTTGTAAAACCAAGACAATCTACTGTATATTTAAGACATCACAGGGCATTATGCTCAGAATATTACATACGTGTCAGAGAAAGAAATTTGTCACAACATCTCTGACCACGTTATTGTCTTATAGACCTAAAATATTGTTATTATTTTGGCTGTTGCCAATCCTAAATGGGCTATGTAATAATATGAATATAAATGAGATGACATTTGGGTAAATTCATGCACATGATAATAATTGTCGTCATTTATTGCAAAAATTCTGTACCCTTATCCACTAGGCCCTTTTTGCTAGGAACCATCCTCAATCCTCCAAAATCCTCAAAAATGTTGCACTTACATACTAGATCAATTGAAGGATACCCAGTGCCTCAATCCTTCAAAATCATCAGACAGTTCTGTCTCTGCAAATGCATTCATCCTCAATCCTCCAAAATCTTCCTCTTCTTCAAGCACCATTCATCCTCAATCCTCCAAAACCGCCATGATGATTGGGAGGATTGAGGGGGGTTAGGGTTAAGGCCTCAGGAATGTGTAGGAAAAAAATGAACAAAATATCTTGCTTTGCTGTACCCTCCAGTGTCTCTCCCCACCCCCCCCCCCCCCCCCCCACCCCCTGAAATCCCAAGTTGGCAGTCAGTTGTACCCCATTAGTGTGGAAATGCCCACTTATGAGACTCATAAAATCTTTGTTTTCTCAAAATGTATAGTTTGTAGTTATAATTACCAACCTGTGCTGAAACTTTTAACAGTTTATTTGCAAAAGTTGCAAATGATCTTATATACCTTTGACCCTTACACCCTAGGCATTTTTGCTAGGATGTACATGTAACCTCAATCCTGCAAAATCCTCCAACTGCCTCCATGTAAAAATTGCATACAGCGTCAATCCTGCAAAATTCTCCATTATTTCTTGAATGTGGTCCTTGGAGGGGTGACCACTACCTCAATCCTGCATAATCCTCTAGCAATCACTGTCAATATGTTGAGGCAGAGCCAGTGACATCCTGGAGCAGTGCGGAGGATTTCAATCATAATCCAGGCCTATATTTATGCACAGCTGAGCATAAACAACACAAGGTCCGGCCTAAGACCTTGACACAGTGCATCCTCCAAAATCAGCCACATGTTTTTGCCATGTAGCCACAATCCTTCAAAATCCTACATTCTGCAAAGAGGGATTTGGAGGATTTGGAAAAGGTTAGGGTTAAAGGTGTATTAAAGCAGTTCATCATAATAATAATAGTACCTGGACTTATAGAGCGCCAAATTGCCAAAGGATACAAGGCGCTTATTATTACCCTGCTCATTGGGCCAATGAAACATTCCAAATACCATCTCAGCTCCCAGGGGAGTATACAGCTGGATGCTGCCATTTCGGCACAAAGCAGCTAAAATCAATCACAATAACCATCTCTGCCCTCACAGGTACCTATTTACTCCTGGGTGGAGAGAAGCGATCAGTGACAAAGTGCCTTGCCCAAGGGCACATGCACCGTAGCCACAGACTGGACTCGAACCCACAACCTACGGAATTACCCGCAGACTGCGAAATCAATGCTCCAGACCACGAGTTCATGGTGCTAAAATACACCATACACCCTGTTTTCTCAGGACCCGAGAAGACACTGTACGGTGCATTGTATCCAGCCTGACAGATGACAGCAACAAAGAACTAGCTGAAGAACTGATCAAAGCTGAACCAGTGACTATGGATGAGAGTTACTGCAGTGAGCAGGAAGATGAAGACCATCAGGATTGGCAACCTGATCCCATAGATGCTGACCCAGGTAGGGACAGTCCAACATCACTATAGGGTCATTCCGTGTCAAATCAACACGCTTTTGGACCCGACCCTCACAGATTGAAACGATATTTGGTGTGATGATTGGCCTATATGAGAAACCCCCAGAACTGAATTTTTTTGTAAATTGACTCGTTAGTTTTTGAGATACGGGTCAACGAACTTTTGACTAATTAGCATGACCTCCGAACTTTAAATACTTGTATCTCCAAAACTATAGCGCCTACAAAGCCAAGTTGTACATCATATTAAAGTTCTTTGAATGGCCTCCATTTCATAAAATAAAACCAAAATCGTAGCATGAAGTGCAGAGAAAATGCGTAACAAAATGACCTTTGACCTCGAATTACGAAAAACAATATGCTTCAAATTTTTAAATTTTTTTTCAAATGTTAGTTAATGATGTCAGCAACAATCTTAAAAAAAAATTGGGATGGGCGCTCTTAAAGTTTTTAGGTTATGATTTTTTGAAGAAAGCCTGTCCATGAAAAAGTATGCATAATATTAAATGTACATGTATGTATGTACATGTACATGTACATGTATACTTGTACTGTGTACATATGTACATGTGCACATTTTACTTGTGCATCATGTTTGCCCTGTACAACCATATAGTCTCAACTCATATATATTAAGGGCAGAACAAAATTACTTATAAAAAATATGTTATACCGGTCTACGTTACTTTCATTTTTCGCTCAACCAAAGTCTGTGTTGCAGTGTTCATCTCCTCGGCAGAGATCTTGTATACGCGTCCTGTTTCAGTTAACGGTTCCACTGCTGTTAGTACATCCTTGCCATGAATTACAAGTGTGTCTGGTCGATAGGGGAACTTGAAAGATGGAGATGGCCCATGGGGATGAAGGAAACTCAGTTCCACTTCTTGGGATGCTGGAAGGATCTCCTGAACACATGCTAGCCACCAGTAACAGTCATACATCACCTTAACATACCCCTTGATATCTGCAAAATCAATACATGCAGTTTGTCCATGGACTTGGAGACAAACTGGTTCCTCCCTTGAGTCTGAGGAGGAGGAAAAATCATGCACCTTAATTTTGTCTTTAGACATTGGACAAAAACAGTGCAGCTTTTGTGTTCCTGGAATGGTACGTGCAATTTGGAATCTTTGCCTGAGAATATCCGCTTCATTCTTGTATTGCTCTGTTGTTGCAAAAGCGAAGTCAGTACTCTTTCTCTGAGAAGTAGCAAATTCATACAGCTGCCAAGGGGTCATAATCTGCTGATCCAAAGGTCGCTGGAGACTAGCTCTTGCTGCAAGGCGTTTAACAGTTTAACACTTGAAACCAAAATTCATACAGTGGATGATTTTTTGGATTCCTTCATGGCTACTCTCCGCAAGTTACTACATCATGACTTTATTGCCAAACAGCAGAGTCACTTTCTCCAGCACACCAAAGACAACATGGAACCAAGCGAAATCTTGGTCATTGCAGATTTTGCAGAAAATTACAGTTTTGTAGTTCAGGATGCTGCCCAGTCATTCCACTGGAACAATCTACAGGCTACAATTCACCCCTAGGTGTGCTACTTCCAACAAGAAGGCAAACTTGATGAGCACCTAAGCTTTGTCGTCATCTCAGACTGTAATACCCATGATACTGTGGCAGTGCATCTGTTCCAGAAATTGCTCCTTCAATTTCTCACTAATAAAATTGGAAGTTTCAAGAAGATATTGTACTTCTCAGATGGTTGTGCTGCTCAGTACAAGAACCTCAAGAATTTCATCAACTTGTGCCATCACGAAGAGGATTTTGGTGTACCAGCAGATCGGCATTTTTTTGCAATCTCCCACGGGAAAGGCCCATCTGATGGAATTGGAGGAACTGTTAAACGCCTTGCAGCAAGAGCTAGTCTCCAGCGACCTTTGGATCAGCAGATTATGACCCCATGGCAGCTGTATGAATTTGCTACTTCTCAGTCAGTATTGACTTCGCTTTTGCAACAACAGAGCAATACAAGAATGAAGCGGATATTCTCAGGCAAAGATTCCAAATTGCACGTACCATTCCAGGAACACAAAAGCTGCACTGTTTTTGTCTGATGTCTAAAGACAAACTTAAGGTGCATGATTTTTCCTCCTCCTCAGACTCAAGGGAGGAACCAGTTTGTCTCCAAGTCCATGGACAAACTGCATGTATTGATTTTGCAGATATCAAGGGGTATGTTAAGGTGATGTATGACTGTTACTGGTGGCTAGCATGTGTTCAGGAGATCCTTCCAGCATCCCAAGAAGTGGAACTGAGTTTCCTTCATCCCCATGGGCCATCTCCATCTTTCAAGTTCCCCTATCGACCAGACACACTTGTAATTCATGGCAAGGATGTACTAACAGCAGTGGAACCGTTAACTGAAACAGGACGCGTATACAAGATCTCCGCCGAGGAGATGAACACTGCAACACAGACTTTGGTTGAGCGAAAAATGAAAGTAACATAGACCGGTATAACATATTTTTTATAAGTAATTTTGTTCTGCCCTTAATATATATGAGTTGAGACTATATGGTTGTAAAGGGCAAACATGATGCACAAGTAAAATGTGCACATGAACATATGTACACAGTACAAGTATACATGTACATGTACATACATACATGTACATTTAATATTATGCATACTTTTTCATGGACAGGCTTTCTTCAAAAAATCATAACCTAAAAACTTCAAGAGCGCCCATCCCAATTTTTTTTTAAGATTGTTGCTGACATCATTAACTAACATTTGAAAAAAAATTAAAAAATTTGAAGCATATTGTTTTTCGTGATTCGAGGTCAAAGGTCATTTTGTTACGCATTTTCTCTGCACTTCATGCTACGATTTTGGTTTTATTTTATGAAATGGAGGCCATTCAAAGAACTTTAATATGATGTACAACTTGGCTTTGTAGGCGCTATAGTTTTGGAGATACAAGTATTTAAAGTTCGGAGGTCATGCTAATTAGTCAAAAGTTCGTTGACCCGTATCTCAAAAACTAACGAGTCAATTTACAAAAAAATTCAGTTCTGGGGGTTTCTCATATAGGCCAATCATCACACCAAATATCGTTTCAATCTGTGAGGGTCGGGTCCAAAAGCGTGTTGATTTGACACGGAATGACCCTATAATGAAACACACAATGGGATTGCAGTATCTGTCTTTCACTGTCTGAAAATTAGGCTTGGACTATATTTCAGTACTGCCGTTTAGCCCTAACTCCCCAGGCCTTTTTGCTAGGATGTAGCCTCAATCCTGCAAAATCCTCCAGTTGGCCTCCTGGAAAAATAGCATAGCCTGAATCCTGCGAATTCCTCCATTATTTCTTGAATATGGTCAGTGGAGGGGTGACCTCTGCCTGAATCTTGCAAAATCCTGCGGCAGTGACTGTCAATATGTTGAGGCTTGGCCAGTGACATCCTGGAGCAGTGCGGAGGATTTCAAGCATGTCAAGCATAATTTAGGCCTATATTTATGCATGGCTGAGCAAAAACAACACAAGGTCCGGCCCAAGACGTGCATCCTACGAAATCAGTAACGCACTTTTGCAATGTAACCTCAATCTTCCAAATTCCTCCACTTTGGCAAAGAGGATTTTGAAGGATTCAGGGCGGTTAGGGTCAGTGACAATATCTTTTTATACCGAGCAATCGGTATGAAATTTCATGACCGTGGTTTTTCCTCTTAGATGTGGCTAGAAATGTGCAAACACTTAACAAAAGTTGACAGAAACAACTTGACCAAATATGAACTACATGGGTGATTTTTGTAGTCATAGATCTGTATAATGTTTTATTGGCCCAGTGAACAGGGGTAAGTACCCCCTCAACGGTAAGAAAGATAGAGTTTGGGGAGACCACTGGGAGAGACAATCGTACACATTGCCGTTGACGCTGATGCTAAGATGCTACGGCTTTGTGCACATTCAGAATAAAACAGGTCGAGCATATTTCGTGCTACACGTGCACAAACACGCAGTCGTGCTTTACTATACTCTCGAGGACAATGCTTTGTGTTTCCCTTTGTCCGTGTAATATTACACTCTCCTGTAGACTAATACACAAATTTACTACAGAGGACCGTTTCCAACAACAGTCCCAACTCCCGAGAACTGAAAGAATCTGTTGTTCTCCCTTTGTGTGTCGGTCCTCGGGGGTTAAGTAGAACACGTACCAGTATGCTCACATGGTGTGTCTCGTCCACGGGGCTTTCAAACATGATAAAAATACACTCTTTTGTTGGCGCACGGAACCCATATTGTTGGATATGTGCACTTTTATAAAACGCATAATTATCATCAACAATGCACTTGATAATTTGCACATTACCATGTTTGTAGCTCGGACTTCCAAGAGTCGCCGCTCGTCGGACATCATCAGCATGCTGGTCAACATCTACGGCAGCCGCGAGTTGTTTGTCAACGAGTACCGGGGCCTGCTGGCCGACCGCATCCTGACGGGGTTCAACTACGACACGGCGCGGGAACTGCGCTACCTGGAGCTGCTCAAGCTGTGCTTCGGAGAGTCGCAACTCCACCACTGCGAGGTGATACTGAAGGACGTAGCCGACTCGCGCCGGTGCAATGCTCACATCAACTCACTCAAAAAGGACGAGGAACCGGAGGCGAAAGACGCCACTAAAGTAAGAATAAAAATGTGGTGCTTACACTGTATAGCGCCAAAAAACCCAAAGTCTCCAGTTTGCCCAAGTGCTTAACCTTACCCCATTTGGCTCTTTTACTTGAAAGTATCCTGAATCCGCCAAAATCCATCAAGTTTTCCATGCAAAAAAAATGTTGGTGGCCAGTGAGTCCATCAGAATCCACCAGTTGGGCGGGAGTAAATCTATAGGGATCCTGAATCCGCCAAAGTCCCCCAACAGCTCAATATAGAGGTATCCTGAATCCATCAAAATCCTGCAGTTCCGCTAGGCTTACAATCCTGAATCCATCATAATCCCCCAGTTTGTGCAATATGGAGGTATCCTGAATCCGCTGAAATCCCCGAAACAGGGGTGTGGATTTTGATTGATTCAGGTACCTTAGGGTTAAACAACCCCTGTTCTGCAGTCTGTGAGACCAGTTTCTTACAGCACAATCTGGTCTCTGCCTGGGAGGAGAGAGACAATTGTAGAAAAGTGTCTTGCCTAAGAACGCAACTACCATGTTGCCATCTATATTGGTTACATGTACATGGTATTCATTTTCTAAATATAGCGTATTCAACATATTTCCAATTAAAGGCAGGCATAACTAGTGTTGTGAATTGATGTGGAAATCCCTTCTTTATGTATTTCTTTATCATGACAGTTGACTTTTTAAACCATTATTAAGGGAATAAATGTGTGCTCCGGAGGTTTTTATCGCTCTGTTTAAGACCGCTTAGAGTCTGGGTGCTGATAATTACCCGAGCCGGAGGCGAGGGTAATCATCAGCACCCAGACTCTAAGCGGTCATAAACAGAGTGATAAATACCGACCGAGCACATATTTATTCCCAATCATAAATACCTTTTCGGTAAAAAAAAATCAAATAATTCGTTCAAAAAATCCCGATTTTGTTCAACAAGTTAACTTCATGCTTTTTGAAACATTCCTCTAGCAAAATAATGGAGTGTTCAGCTGGCGAGTAAGATGTAAACAACCCTTTGTGGAGAATGACGCGCGCGTAGCATGTTCTGCGCGATGTCGCGCAGAACGCACCTGGGGCGTTGCGTTTTTAATTTAGAACTATAAAATTCTGACTCGCTGGTAGTGTTGCGCATGCCTACGTGAGGATTGTGAACGTTCAACCAATGAAATGGTAAGAGGCACTGGATTTCATAGGAGTCCACATTTTATGTGACACTGGAAAGTGTTTAAGACCAGCCAGCCATGTCTTTATCATCCGTTTAAGACCGGCCACGTGACGGGCTCTTGACCAATAAGAATAGCTTAACTGTCTGAGGTATTTATGAATCATAAATTAAAGACAGTTTACCAATTCCCATTGGTCAAAAGCCTGTCACTAGGCTGGTCTTAAACGGATGATGAAGACATGGCTAGCTGGTCTTAAACATTTTTCCAGTGCCACATGAAATTTGGACTCCTATGAAATCCAGTGCCTTTTACTGTTTTATTGGTTGAACGTTCACAGTCCTCACATAGGCATGGGCAATACTACCAGTGAGTCAGTATTTCATAGTCCTAAATTCACAACGCATTCACCACAGCTGCATCCGCGGGTCATCGCGTAGGATGCGCATTCCTATCTCCATAAAAGGAGTTGTTTATGTCTTACTTGCGAACTGGACACTCCATTATATAGCTAGAAGGGTGTTTTGAAAAAAACAGAAAGTAACATTTGGGTGGCATGGGTGGCTTGTGCGTAAAGCGCTCGCCTCTCACCAAGGTGACCACGGTTCAAATCCTGGCCGCGGGTCGCATGTGAGTAGAGTTGTGCGTTGGTTCTCTCCTGTGCCACGAGGGTTTTTCTCCGGGCCCTCCGGTTTTCCTCCCTCCGGAAAAATCAAACACTTTCGATCTCAGGCTGTGCTCTGTGGTCATATATGGGTCGATGTGGCCGGCAGCCATAGGCGCCTTTACGTGCCAGCGGGCCGACCACGTTGTAGCCGCGTCCTTTGCAATTCAGCATCCCAGCTGCCAATAAGGATGATTAGCCTCCCAAATTATTATTATAAAAAAAAAAAAAAAAAAAAACATTGTTGAACCATGGCCAAGTTCGGGCAAGGACCATTAGTCGACTAATGGTTGATTTGTGACGTACCTTACGCCTGCGCACTAATAGCAACGTGCGAACGTCTCTAGTCAAACGCTGGTCAAAATGTCATCGCAAAACTTCTGGATCCTGGCTCTCTGCTAGCGTTATGAATGCGCGCGGCTATTGGTTACCAGCGAAGCAACCAACCCCAGTAGGCTGGTTGCAAATAGTCGACTAGCGTAGTCAACCATCGTCGACTAGACAGAGTTCGGGCAAACGTTAGTTAACCATTGGTCAACTATAGTCCTTGCGCGAACTTGGCCAAAATCGTTGGATATTTTTTACTTTTGGACCAAAAATTTTGATTTTTTGACCGAAAAGGTACTTATGAATGGGAATAAATATGTGCTTGGTCAGTATTAAACATTTTGTTTCATACTGGTTGGAGTCTATACCCCTCAGCTTTGCCTCGGGTAATTGTCAGCATTCCAGACTCCAACCAGTCTCAAACATATAGTGTTTAACACCTCCCAAGCACACATTTATTCCATTAATTTTAAATTGTTCTGTTTCACTTTCCTGTAACTGGCTAGCAAACAAACATGCAACATTAACTACAAATTTGTTGTACACTTCATGAAATTTGAAAGAGAGAGGTGGATTTTTCTTGCTGTTAGAAAGTTTACGTTCAAGATATAAATAATCTAATTTATCAGAGCAAATTTACATATGGCAAATTGATGCCATTATCAATCTTTCACTACAGTACTAGACTCCATGACTACATTCATATATTATTGGCGGCAAAAACAATACAATTATGACAAGTGATTCTTATTTACATGTTTAGTACTTTGGTGCTGCTCCAATAAGCAGATGATATTCTTATATTTTTTGGTCAGGATTTTGAGTTCAACTCGATGATTCTGTCAGCTCAGTTCTGGCCCAACCTGAAAGAAGAGAAACTCAAAATTCCAGAGGAGATTGAGAAAGCCATGGAGGAGTACACAAAGTCCTACGAGGTACGAGGTATAGGGCTCTCTCACAACCTTTGTAGTAGGCAAAGATCGCATAGTGCTGCACGCAGTGTGTAGTAGACAAGCCGCCTAAGTTGTGACGGTCGGCAAAAACTGAGCCAACACCCAGTGCTGGGTTAGCAAGGCTATGACAACCATGCATGGCAAAAGTAATGACCATTATGCCATTTGATAAAGAATTTGGGGTTGTTTTAGGTGAAAATAAGCCCTACTTTCTTGGTTGGTTCTTGGTTGGATCTTCTCCTAAATACTCCGCATGGGAGTTTTAACAGGAGGCCAGAAACACCGGGGCAAACCCGTTCTCTTAGCGATAAGTGTCACTGGGTTCTTTTACGTGCATTGCATTACACAACACACGGGACCTACGGCTTTACGTCCCATCCGAAGGACGAAGCAATAATGGTTAAGTACCTTGCGTAAGGGCACAAGTGTCCACCCGGCGGGCTTGAACCCATGCCACTGTTGCCTCTGAAACACTAGAGCATGAGTCCAGTGCTCTTAACCGCTAGGCCATGACACTCCACGTCTAGTTTACAATGCATGACATGGTTGCTAACCAAATGCTTGCCTACTGCAATGGTGGAAGATCACGGGAAAACCAGATAGTCACATGGTTTCAAAGGGCAGGCATGGTATTTTCAGACTTTAGTCTGAAATCAGACTTTTTGAATCAGAATTACCTCATATACACTGTGTTGCATATAAATTACCTCAAATACATGTACACTGCGTTGCATAACTGCCTCATATACACTGCGATGCATTTGAATTACCTCATATACACTGCTTTGCATATTTACCTCTGCGTTGCGCTTGCGTGTAGGGCCAGTCCGCGCACCTAGCATCTGAGCTGATTAGAACCGCTCAGTCTCATGTCTGGCAGTAAAGCTTGCATACTCAAAAAGGTTATACATGTACTGCAGTTGTTTAATTTATTTCTTGAATAGTGAGTTAAAAACCTGTATCTTTTAAACTTTATATTGGCACGCTATAACAAAACAATTGTTGACTGCTGTGATGTGGGATATGTCGTTTTTAACCCCTTCGGGACACGGGGCACAGCACCCTCGGCTTGGCCTCCAGTACATGTATGCCCCTCACGTGTTGAAAAAAACATCCCACTTCACAGCAGTCAACAACTGTTATTGTTGTATCGTGTGTTTGGATACTGTAATTGCCTTGGTTTAGGACGGCCACGTGTCTGTATAATAAACATGCATGTCACACACTGAGGGTAATATCGCACTGCGTTCATTGAGAGCGTTGCGCTCGTGTGTGGAACCTGGCCTGCCGGTGCGCTAGCTTTGCGCAATGAGAACTGCAATATCAGACGCTCAGTCTCGTGTCTGGCAGGACATCACAACCTTCAGCTATCAGAGGTGACATCACAGTGATTTAGTTTATTTCTCAGACAGTAAATTACAACCATTGATCTTTTTGAGTTATTGGCACGATATAATAAAACAATTGTTGACTGCTGGGATGTGAGATATGCCGTTTTTAATCCATTCGGGGTACATAGCAGCCTCCAACCTCTTCCCCAGGGTGTCGAGCAGTACGCGCCCACCACTACCTGCTCTCTCACCCTGGTATTGGATCATTTGCATATTGCAAGATTTTTGCACACGTATGCAAATGAGGAACAGTCTGGTGCCTGGATATGCGTTACACATTAGCGTTTGTTTTTGTATGCGGTGTCTGGGGTAAAAACAGAGTCAATTCGTAGCAGCGCGAGCATGGCGTGAGTTACGAAAACACGATTTTTGAAATCAAACTGTTACGATCTTATCGAGACAACATGCAGTATCATATTTCATATTAATATGAGCAAATTGGAAAGGAAATTTGTATTTTCGAGAAGGCGTGGACGAATGATCGCGAAAACACGTACTGCACGTTGTGAATATATAGCACCAAGTACACGATAAAAACCCATTACTAGCCAATTGCGGTATCCAATCAGGATACAGGAAGAAAGTTTCCTATCCAGGGTTTACTATTGGAAACGTGGTTGGAAATAAAGTAAGCACTGGGGACGAGGTTGAGCAGCCTCGGCTTCACCTCGGGTGCTACATGTATGTGCCCCTCGGGTGTTAAAAACGTCATGTGCCACATCACAGCCGTCAACAATTATTAAATACTTTAGTGCAATAATTAAAATAAACTTGTTTGAACTAGCAGCTCAGAAGAGTCTGCTTCTGACAGACCACATCACAAATGCAACATCGTTTGTGTTCTTTATCTAAAGGATTTGAAGGGTATGCGTACTCTGAACTGGAAGACCAATCTAGGATTGGTCAATTTGGAACTGGAGCTGAAAGATCGCAAGCTCAGCTTATCAGTGTCACCGATACATGCTACCATCATCATGCACTTCCAGAACAAAGGTACGTGTATGTCCAAACAATTGCCTTGGGAAAAACGGCATGCACAAAATTCCCTCAATTCCTGGCTGTGGAAAAGTCACCCTTTCATTTCTGGTTATAAAAAGGATTCCTCAAAAGCGCCCTAGGCACTGTAGCTTGCAAGCCTGAAGAAACCTGTGGAGAGAAGACAACGAGAAGAAATCGTAGTTTAAGAGGTGGGAGAATGCGCCGTTTGGCAAGGCATTTTTTGTCACTCATTGTTTCTCTCCAACCATGAGTAAATGGGTATCTGTGATGAGGGCAGAGATGGTTATTGTGATTGATTTTAGCTGCTTTGCGCCAAAACGGCTGCATCGGGCTGTATACTCCCCAGGGAGCTGAGATGGTCTTTGGAATGTTTCATTGGCCCAATGATCAGGGGTAATAATAAGGTAAAGCGCTTTGATCTTTTGCACTATGGGCTCCGTGTGCCAACAAAGAGGGCGCCCTTTTACCTAGCAACGACGTCCCATGGGCGGGACACATACATTTCGCTGGTTGACGCGTGCGCGCCGTTCCTTGTGTGTGATGCACGTACACCGGGGGATTTGTACTATGTACACGCAGTGGCCGCGCATCGCGGGCAAGATGGCGTCGTTCCGTCACCTCCAACTGTACTTTCTTTGCCGGTGAGGGTACTTGTGAACGGAGCGGATATAAGAACCTGTTAAATTTATTATTATTAAAATGATGTTGTAGGGAAACCCACAGAATCAGGCAGGGACTGAAAACCCAATCCACATATTGGCCCAGGCGGGATTGAACCCGGGTCATAGTGATGGAAGGCAAGGAAAGTACCGCTACGCCAACCTGACTCCCCAATATTATAATGTAATTTAAATATATATTGGCATTGCCAGTTCTTTAAAACTGCTTAAGATCTTTTGCAATTACCCGGAAAAGTACCTTCCAATTTTAATGACAGAAGCCTTGCTCAAAGTGAAGATAGGACTAGTGAAATTATTCATCTTGAAATGGTTTGGAAGCAAACTCACATTGAAGGTGGTTTCAAAATAGGATGTCTACGTGCACAGTTTTTTTTACGTGTGTAAGCAAGGGAATTTAGTTATGAGACCAAGGTCGTCTTAAAATGTATATTGTTATATCGTGTGCTTGGATACTGTAATTACCTTGGTTTAGGGCAGTCTGGACAATAAAAAGGCATGTCACACACTGAGGGTGATATCGCACTGTACTGCGTTCACTGCGCGCATTGCGCGCGTGTGTGGAAACTGCCAATGTGCTATAGCTTAGTGCACAAAGAACGTCAAATGCTCCGTCGCATGTCCGGCATTTTTGAAAAGATTTCTCAACTTTTTGGTATTGAATCAAATCATTCTTTTATATAAAAAGTAGATTTCATTTTCTTCTTTGAAATCAGTGTTTTTGGAGGATAAAGAAAAAACGGAAATAAAATCAGAGAACCATTTGGTTGATAGTCTGGTTACCAACAGCCATAGATCAGTGTTGTAGTCGAGTACTTTTTTCGAATACCGAGTACTGCTGAGTACTTAGGTTGCGTACTTAAGTACGAGAGCGAGTACAAGTACAAGTTCAGATCTCCGAGCACGAGTATTGTACTTCCGAGTACGAGTACGGCAAATGGTTCATTGTGCGTAAAAGGCCCAGGCCCAGTCAGACCGATATACAGACCCACTCACCGCTAGCTGTGAAATGTGTTTGTCCTGACGTGCACAGAGGAAAATCAGGAAACTTCAATTTCTCTACAAGCCAATCAACCATTTCAAACTGAAAGTATCGATACAATAAGGCTGTGGTTAAGTCAAGCTTTGTCGTTTTTTCCCCAAGTACTGCTTTTCCAGTACGAGTACTTTGATGATCAAGTACAATTTCCACAGGCTGAGTACGAGTACATTAATTGCTGCCCGAGTGCGAGTACCGTCATTTCGAGTACGAGCACTTTCAAGTACGAGTACGAGTACTCCAAAAAAAGTACTTGAGTAGTACTCAAGTACCAAGTACGAGTACTACAACACTGCCAAAGATTGGAACATTGAATACAATTATGTAAGGGAACCAGAAAGTTCCATAACGATAGTAGTTAAAAGTCGCATTACAGCTGCCGTAACGCTAGCCACTGTGTTAATATTATTGCCTGTTACTTGTGACTAGACATTTGAAAGGACTTGTGATTTCCTTTTGAATGGTCTTGTCATGGAATGGACACGACTATACAACACTGCCTCCAACTCTCTTGCAGCCAAATGGACAGTGGAGGAGTTGAGTGGCGTCATGCAGGTCTCGGTCACGGCGCTGCGTCGCAAGATGGCCTTCTGGCAGAGTCAGGGGGTGTTACGAGAGGAAGGCACCGACACGTTTGTCTTGATTGAGGAGCAGAGAGGTGGGCGGGGGGTGCAGCAGGAGATGATCCTGTTGGACAGCGATGAGGAGACGGAGTCTGCCATGGCAACAGCACAGGACCAACAGGAGGAAGAACTCCAGGTGAGTTGTACCGAGCCTCTTTAAAGAGGGTGGGGTTAAGGGGTGGGGGAGTCACTGAGTTCTGGTCAATCCTTTAAACTAGGCGGTTACCTGGCTTTGTCGGTTCATCGGACGCATATGTATTTACTCCTTGTTGCACCCAAAACCACCTGGCCTATTACTCAATGTTGCACCCAGCTGTCCCGAAATCAGTGCTCTTTTTGTCGCGCTGTATCATACAGACTCATGTGATTAGCGACCTCTATAGTCATATTGGCTGTAGCTTGGGAATTCCTCTTTCAGATGCATTACTCTCTGTTGCACCCGAAACTGCCCCGAAATCAGTGCTCTTGTTGTCACGCTGCATGTATAATACAGACCCATAATTATGAATGACCTCTATAGTCATATTGGCGTGTAGCTTGGTAGTTCCTCTTTCAGACGCAGTAGCTCTGTAGCGCTAGTGTTTGGGAACAATATGCGCAACACCCACACCCGTATGCATTGGCACACAACAAGTGTTGTTATGTGTATAGTACTTTAGTTGCTACAGGTACGTAGGGTACTTTGGTTGCTACGGGTAAGTACATGTACTTTGGTTGCTATGGGTATAGTACTTTTGGCCGTGCACAGCAAGATAGCAACACTAGCGAATGCCATGTGACTCGCTCTTGGCCAATCAAGATACAGAATCTGTGGTCGAGGTGTTATAATGAGTGATAGGTAGGGCAGTTTCGGGCACTATACAGTGACTAAGGGTTTAATTTAATGACTTTGGAGTTACTCCAAAGGCAAGGAGTACAACAGTCCATCTTTCAACATACATGTTGTTGCTCCTACTTTGTCCTAGCCACGAACTACAAACTTTTCATGTGCATGTACCCTATTCAAAGCTTCCAAATAATTTGTGTTGGCTTTGACTGCGAAACGCCAGTCTAAAAAAAATGCCAGTTAGTCACATTCTTGAGGCATATGTGCGAGTCAGGTGGTTTGCAACCTGACATGGAACACGGTCTTTGTGTTCTTTTGCAAGACACTTTACTTCAACTGCCTCTCTCCATCCATGAGTAAAAGTGGGTACCTGTGAGGGTAGAGACAAGATTGCGCTGATCTCGTGCTGCTGCAGAAAAGTGGTTCCATGGCCTGAAACGACAGGGGTAATAACTGTGAAGCGCTTTGAGGCTTTGTATAAAGCGCTTAATATGACCTCCACTATAATGAAGTATTATTATGATTCTTTGTTTTGTTTATTGCCTCAGGTGTTCTGGTCGTACATTGTTGGCATGTTAACCAACCTGGAGTCCCTGAGTCTGGATCGCATCTACTCCATGCTCAAGATGTTTGCCATGCAAGGCCCATCCTCCTCGGAATTCTCCGAGCACAAACTACGTCAGTTCCTGGACCGCAAGGTGCGGGAACAGCTGCTGGTGTACTCGGCGGGAGTTTATCGCTTGCCGAAAACGGAGACTTGAATGGATCAATCACACAACCAAACGTGTCAGCTACTGTGCAGTGTATTATAATGAGGAAAGGTATATTTCAAGCTTCAATTTCAAGATTTTTGTTGAAGATTTCTTGTATTTTGCAAAATGTTTAACGAGGTGCTTTATTTCCCAAGGGGTCTGAACTCTCTCAAAACATTCATGACAGTTTCTAATAATTTCAACCCCCCCCAAAAAAAAATAAAGGGACTAAACCCAATAATTCCTGTAAAATGAGATCAAATTATAAAAATCACACTTTGGATTAGCATTCGTGGTTTATTACAACAGATGATAAATTGGTTACATCATAGAAAAATATAATTATTATATCAATTTTTTCTTGGCTTTTCCAGTATCCATGAACACACAAGTTTATACAGATCAGCTAGTGTAACAATATTTGCTATAATATACTAACCCCCAAATCCATCCATTTCTGAAAATTACAGCAAAAGCATATGGGCAATTCCACGGTTACTCACGTTACATTTTTGATGTACTTTTGAGTTTCTTTGGGCTGTAACTACCTTACTGAAAAGGTTTAATAACTGTTATCCCCATGGTAGATAGAGTAGACCTAGACCTACCTAAGCACCAAAGATGACATCCAGAAAAATGTGTTATGTATGATAAACCAGACGCACAAAATCGTTTACTCACGTTACGAAAATGTAACGTGAGTAACCGTGGAATTGCCCATATACCTTTAAGACATTATTTGTCTTTCTCGCTACTGTACAGGGTGAGAAAAAAAAAGGCGGAACCCAAACCCCCAAAAATATATTTCATATTTAAGAAAATATGTAGCACTAAAAATAATAATGACTGGAAGGCCAATTTCATAAGCTACTTTTAGATGAAAGAATTACTAAAATTGCTCAATCCGTTCAAAGAATATCACCATTTGAATGCAATGACCCTAAACCCTGTTTCGTCAAAAAAAACCAATTTATTGTGTATTCTGACTGTTCGGAACAAAGAAAATGACACAGAATACTTGTTTCAACCACTGTAGTACACAATATATTATTAACAACCTTGGTTAGGCAAAAACTATGATTTATAAAATCAACTTTTTTTAAAAGACGGGCCTTCAAAAGGACTTTGCTGAATTATTTTAACTTTTAAACTTAGGTTTTATCGCTGGTGATGGTTGAAAACAATTGACGACGATTCTTGAAATCGCATTTTTGGACGAAAGAGGTTTTAGGGTCATTGTGTCTATATGGTGATATTCTTTGAATAGATTAAGCAATTTCAGTAATTTTTTCATCTAAAAGTAGCTTATGAAATTGGCTTTCCAGTCATTATTATTTTTGATGCTACACATTTTTTTAAAATATGAAATATAATTTTGGGGGTTTGGGTTCCGCTTTTTTTGACTCACCCTGTATAGCAACAAGGAGTAGATGCACTGAAAGGCACTGAATATTAGTGAGCAGCAATAGTTACATTGGTTTAATAAGGCATAACAGCACAGTTGATCTGATAAAGAATTTTACAAAGATTCAGTTTTAAAGCTGTTAAAGTACTAGGCTCTTCAATAACGTCAAATACGATTCTAATCCTAAATAAATACCACTGGTCTAGCCATCAACCAAGTTCCAGAAAATAAGCTATCCAAAATATTTTGTACTTTTTTGTCACCATTTTCATTATTTTTGTCATGATATAAATATAAAACCAACAGCCTTCCCAAACCCTCACCAAAGTTTCAGAACAAAAATATAACTCTAAGCACAAGTTACAACTGTATATAGAAACTACCTTGTTATCTTCTAAATGCCATATGGGTTAAAGAGACCACAAAAAAAGTTCTTTCCGTACTTTTTTTTTATATATATATTCTTGCATAAAGATTTGATCTATATGAGAACCTACGACACTTCAGCTAGTTTACTCTCAAGTTACAATTTTGTCCATATTTTTGTTGTAGTAATGCTTCCTAATGTCGATTCAGTCTTCAAACAAAAACTGACAAATACAATTTAGCAACGAACCAACCATCCCTACTTTTACACTACGCCATGCACAAAGCGATTCAACACGAAGAACTAATTGATAAATGACTAGTTGCCAATGCTATACAATTGATAGTCACTATCATAAATGTTTAAATAGTTGACTAGTAGTCGTTATGCCGTGACAAGTCGTTCGGCCGCTTATCTTACCCTGTGACTTAGTGGTCGCACTGTGCTACATACACTGCAACTCCGAAACGACTACACAGTCACATGTAGAGCATTTTGCACTGACAATCAGATAGTGTCCCATCAAATGTCAATGCACTAACACCCACTCAACACACTGCATGCCGTTGTACACACATGTACATGTCAAAATCAAGCAATATTGTGTCAATTGCTTTGAACAACTTTTAAACATACATTCTGTGCCAAGTTGTCCTTTCAGTCAAAATCAATCAAGAGACTGTTTTCAACAGTTAAGAGCTCTCAGCCTACATAAAGCAGGATTGACTGGCTGTGATCCATACTTGGGACAGCTATGCTTTGACTGTAGGTGATGATGGCCTAGCGGTTAAGAGCACCGGACTCATGTTCTGGTGTTTCAGAGGCAACAGTGACGTGGGTTCGAGCCCGCCGGCGGACACTTGTGCTCTTAAGCAAGGCACTTAACCATTATTGCTTCGTCCTTCAGATGGGACGTTAAGCCGTAGGTCTCGTGTGTTGCATAAATGCACGTAAAAGAACCCAGAAAACACTTATCGCTAAGAGAAGGGGTTTGCCTCGGTGTTTCTGGCCTCCTGTATAAACACCCACGTGACGTATTTAGGAGAAGAACCAACCAAGAACCAAGAACCATAAGCCAGCTGTGCCTACCACTTGTCTGCTTTTGTCTGTTGACTGAATTTGACTAGTTACAGTGCTTGCTTGAAATATGATCTGACTGTTGGTGACTAGCCTGTGTAAACGGTGTGGCAGGGAAAGAGGACTGATTTTTTGACTGTCTGTGACTGTTCAGATAGCAGGAGGGTTAAAGAACATGCTAGGAAATATACATAAATACATATAAAAGTCAAGAAAAGTTGGAACTCTTTCCTGAACACTAAATCCACAATGTATAATCTAGAGAACAAAAATAAGAGCTATTTAAAGTTAAGTTAAAAACTTAATGGCCACATATGAAAGAATTTAATGAATAATCATTTGATAATCACTTAAAATCGTTTAAAATATAATTTAGCGTATCATAAAGCATAACTGAAACATACGTATTTAAACTGAAGCATATGTACACAAACTCCATTTTTTGATTACTTTTAACAAATAGTAAATTTTGAATGTGACACTGGATTTTGTTTGAGCTGAAGTTTAAGTCACATTGTGTTAACAGCTATTATATACATTACAGCACTTATAAATAACATCTTACATAAAATCATTACTATAATCATTGTGCGCCTATATCACATTCATTGAAAACATGTATTGACACATTGTAAGTCAAAGACTAAAAATAAGATACTAAGGTCGATAAAATCTTGACGTTGCACATTTTGGAAGCCAGTGTTTGGCTGTTTCGGCATACTGCCGAAACAGCATTTTTTTTTGTTCCGATTTGTTTTTTATTTCTTCTTTTTTTCTTCCTCTATCCCAAATCCCATAGATGCTGTACTGTTTTATTCTCCACAGCACTTTTAGCATAAAACATTGTCATCTTACTTTGAGACTAAGATAACATACCAGAGATGGTCCGCGAAGATGGGCGTCATCATGACGTCATCATATGTCATGTGACGTCACCTTAAAGGTACATATTTGAACTTCCCATATCTGGAGAACTACAAGTCTGATTGGGTTGGAACTTGATATGTATGTAGCCAGGGATGTGTTAATTTTTTTATGATATTTTGAACGTTTGACCATAAAGGCTATAGGCCTATCTCATGAACAAAACATGCTACAGGCAAAATTATTTTGGTAATGGGTTTGTTAGGTGATTGATATTTGCACAAGAACGTGACAAATGTATGACGTCATCAAAAATGAGATTTTTAAAACACCTACAATGGTTCGTTCGATCGACTTCAAACTTGGTTGGAAGTTAGATAATGATATTAATATGAAAAATCTAAAGTGATGTCATGATGACGTCATCAGTTGATTTTTTTACAATTTTTACCGGTACTTATACAATTTGATGACGTCACTGATGGCCATCTGATGTCATCATTAATGTGCAATGGGAATTTGAAGTCCTATATCTAGAGAATTACAAGGCCGATTGGTTTGATACTGTTCACAGGCACGGATAAGAGATAGATGAAGATTGAGGTGACGTCATGACGACGTCATCAGCATGATGTTATGTAATTTATATGTTTTTGTACCATATTTCACGAACACAACATGTTAAATATAATAATCAAAATTCTTTCTTCAACATTGTTTGGTAGGTCATATAGGCACAGAATGTAACAAAATGTGTGACGTCATCACAACATCATTAAAAATGTGATATTTTTTTTTAAACGCGTATCATAATGACACTACATTAAATTGTACACAGTCCAACATCTAAGCAATTAAAAGTACACATCCGACCTGGATGAAATTTCTTACATGTATAAAATCTAAATGTCAGATGACACCAAAACAATGCCGAAACAGACATGTGTTTGTTACAAACACAAATCTAGTCTGTGTACATACATGTATATAGGTGTTCTTTTACGCACATCTGAATTTGCATTTTAAGGCACACTTAAAGTGGAATGTAGTGAAAGCCCGTCTTTTTCATAGTTTTTCTTGTGTGCGCATCTCAATTTTGCATTTTGTAGCACACTCGTGGAGGTCTAGACTTAAATTTGGTAAAAAGTTGTTTGTCCACATTATAGAGCTGTTAATACATGTACATGTACTACACAGCACGACTCGTTACTTGTCTTGATCCTGAAGCCATTTGGGTTTGTCTTTCCGCACCATGCCACGCTCTCTCAACTCTGTCTCCAACTGTCCCTGAAGAACAATCACATAATATACTACGTGTCAAAAACAAACATGTCCTACACGTTTGATCTTAAAAAACTCTGGTGTTAACCAATGGAATTAAACCAAAATTTCAGATCATGTAGACAAGGCAAGACAGATTTTATGCAGTGATTTTCACAAGCTTTGTGCAAGAGGGTGAGATTTAAACGCCATTAAAGTCTTGACGTTTCTCTGATCAGACGGTGGTGCTACGCATATTAAAGTCACGGAAACTTCAGTTCGGCCACTGGTTTTTGGTTTTATATTTATAAGATCCTTCTTCAAAATACAATGAGACATGACCTACATGTACCTAGAATGTTGATTGATGTTTCAGGGAATTCAAGCTATTCATCCTTTTATAACCGTGTCAATCTGCTGTAACTTCACCGCACACACTATTTATGCCGCCATGTTTGTTTGCGATATATGCAAGATGGCGTGCCCTGAGAAAGGTCTATTGCAAAATACTGGGGTCATATCGTACCTTGATAGCAGCTCCAACATTGTTCAGATCCAGCAGGAATGTGTCGTGGCCATAGATGGAATCCAGCTCATAGTAAGTCACACGGTCATTGCCTGCATCACATAAATGCCACACCAATATCAACAGTGTTGTAATGTTGTGCAAACCCAACCCAAAACCGACTTCAGGTCAGGTCGGTTTGTCCAACATTTCAGTCGGGTGGGGTCGGTTTCGCATTTGCGATTTTTGGGTCTGGTTGGGTAAGCTTTATTTTTGAAAAACCCGAAATAAACCGAAATGAACCGAGAAAGAATGGAAATTCACATGGTGCACTATTAAGTACAGAGTCACTGCGCCCTGTGCGAATAAAAATGGTTGCGGTCTGTCTCGATCGGTCTATAACATGTAGGCCCACCAGAAGCTCACCTTGTGAGTGCCACATGGCATGATTCAGTTACTGAAAGCAGACATTTTGTACGCGAAGCGAGTCAGTTCAGGCGCAGAGCAGACATATTTGCCGAAGCCAGATATTCAGGTTTTTTGGGTCGGGTTCGGTTTCGGGTCGGTTCATGTCGGTTTTCTTTGAATTGTCGGGTCGGGTCGGTTTTAGGTAGTCCAGCTCGGTTTGGTTCGGATTCGGTTTATAAAATAAATGTCGGTTTGGCCTCGTCCACCCGACCCGATGCACATCACTACAGTGTTGTGGTCGAGTCCTGTTCCGAGTCTTGCAAATCAACTTAAATACAAAGTGGTATACATGTATGCAGATTTGGAATCAAAGTAGGCCACGCTAGTGTAAATGAGACTCTACACAGATGCCAGCATTTCAAAATTCCATTAGTTATTTCAATTACGTGGTGACATTGATAACAATCATTACTTGACAAAAAAGGGGGGTCTATATACACTTTAATGGTGGGGAGTGTGGCCCAGTGAGAAGGGTTCGTGACTCATGATCAGAGGGTCAGGGGTTCGAAATCCAGCTGCTGGCTGTATGCTGTGTCCTTGGGCAAGCCACTTCATCACCACTTGCCTCTCTCCACCCAGGAGTACTATAAATTGGTACCGGCATACATGTAAAGCTACATGTAATGCCGGTTTAACCTGCGATTGACTATAGCATCCCGTACAGGGGGAAAAGAAATATTCTCACAGTTGTTTCATGCTACTGAAACCGGAGAGCCTGATGGGCCTTATTGGCTTGTGACAGATTTTACTTACTTTACACTTCAATCTATCTCACACATAGAACTACTGGTAGTGTGCAATTACAGGTAGTACAGGAACCAGGTACCCTACTCCAGTAAAACCTATGTACCACTAACAGAAACCCAACCCCACGATTTATTTCCTGGCAGTTGTCTGAAGGGCTTTATAGCTTTACGATATAAAATGTAACTTTCGTGAGCATCATCTGTCACCAGGTCACGCGTTAAAATGCACATAAACATGAAATCTGCTTTTGTTTTCCATATGAAGCCTGGTTTTCATTTAAAAATTCCCCCCAAATGGCATTCAAAACCTTTCTTTTTCATTGTCTTACAAGTTACTTAGTAATTTGTAAAGTTATTACGAGTACCCAATCCCATATCTGGAACCGGTTCCTGACATCAGCGGTCTGGTACTCGGGTACCCGGTTTGTATGCACACCCCTCAGCCAGGGGTGTCCACGATATTCCCACCTGCAGGACCAGCCACCAGGTGATATCGGTTCCGTGACGAAGTCCGACGGTTTTGGACAAAAAGCAGTAAGTTGTTTCACAAAGTAAGCCCAGTATTTTAGATTATTTTTTTTATGTACTCCAACTGGATGACTGACAACATACATTGTCAGGTACTGACCTGCTTCTTGTAGTAAGTTGGCCAGTTGTCTTTGCTGCGTTATAGGTATCAGAATGTCTGTCTTAGCACCCATCACCATAACGGGGCATTTCACCCTCGCTAGGCCTTCCACAAGCGATGGGAAACCTTCCCCCATGTCAAAGAAATCCATTGCCTACAAGGAAAAAAAGGGATATTCTCTTGTTAATTCAATTATTTCTCCCCGGCTTTGGAGGATTTTTCAGGATCTGAAAAGTTAGACACTACATGTGTAAACAGACCAAGCTGAGAACGTCACCTGCAGCGGAACAGTTTTCAAACTGGGGGGGGGGGGGGGATCACCAAAAAGGGGCACTTGCTCAGTAAAAGGCATCTTCCGTTGGTGCAGCAAAGAATCTAGCATTTCTTTTTTTTTTTTGCACATCCATTTTGAACACCCGAGGGGCGTATCCGGCTCGTTAGTAAAAACGTCATACACGCGCACGCACCACTGATTACTAGCGCCCATTGGCTGCAAACGCTCGAACTGCGTTAACTTCCGGTTCCAATCGTGCAGAAAGTGCTGGAGGTGACGTCACACTAACAAACCGGATAGCACCCTCGGCTTCGCCCAGGGTCCTATGCACCCCTTTCGTGTTAAAAACGCCATATCCCACATCACAGCAGTCAACATATACCTCTGTCTTGAATACTGTATTTTCATTGGCCTAGAACGATCAAGTGTTAAGTTTTTATAAAAAGACGTGGCACACTTCCTGTGGGATATCGCGTACTTTGACTTAAACGCTTGTATCGTTGGTACCCACGCTGGTTCACCATGTTTTCACACATGAGTGGGAGCAGCGAACTAGCAGACGATCAGCTGTTTCAAGCATGCATGTGAGTTGACGTTCGATTGTTTGTTTTCGTGATTTTTACATTCAAAGAATCCAAGACAGAGGTATAACAAAACAATTGTTGGCTGCCGTGATGTGGGATATGACGTTTTGAACACCCTAGGGGCGCATAGCACCCTCGGCTTCGCCTCGGCAGCTATGCGCCCCTCGGGTGTTCAAACGTCATATCCCACATCACGGCAGCCAACAATTGTTAATTCATCTCTGTAAAGTAATTATTAAGTAACTAAACGTGGGCGGAAGGTTTCACTCAATGCCTCATTCAAAAGTTAATAACTTTTGCATAGCAATTTTTGGGGATTAAACTCAAAAATAGCAAGTATGCAAAAACAAACTTTTGTGAGTTACCTTGGATAGGTACAAGAGTGAGTTGGGATCATACTTGACGCTGAACTGCTCTCCCTGGTGTTCTATGTAGCGCTCGATCTCAAAATACGGACATAACGAAGGCAGCTCATCGCTGATTGTTGATCGGCCAAAACGATTCAGCCACTCGGCACCGCTGCGATACGTAATGGTGCCTAGCTCTCTGTTCCAAAAGTAATAGCACAAAAATCAATTAACCCTAACTGCCCTGAATCCTTCAAAATCCTCTTTGCCACTGGAGGAATTTGGAGGATTGAGGTTACATGGCAAAAGTGCGTTACTGATTTCGTAGGATGCACTTTGTCAAGGTCTTGGGCCGGACCATGTTTTGTTTTTGCTCAGCCATGCATAAATATAGGCCTGGATTATGCTTGAAATCCCCAGTACTGCTCCAGGATGTCACTGGCCAAGCCTCAACATCTGACAGTCACTGCCGCAGGATTTTGCAGGATTAAGGCAGTGGTCACCCCTCCACGGACCATATTCAAGAAATAATGAAGGAACTTGCAGGATTGAGGCTATATGCTATTTTTCCACGAGGCCAATTGGAGGATTTTGCAGGATTGAGGCTACATCCTTGCAAAAAGGCCTAGGGAGTTAGGATTAAATGAAAATCAATTCAATGGGTCGAACCAACTTATCTACCTCTGGACCCGTAGAAATGCCCCCTAGCCCAGTGAGAAACAGTTCACACTCACCGTGCTAGCTTCATGCCCATTCGGGGGTATGAAGACCCGTAGTAATGCCCCCTAGCCCAGTTGGGATCAGTCATGATGGCTCGGCGTTGTAGATACCGCATGGCTATAGTTGATGGGTGGGTTTGGGCACAGGAGGAGATGCAGATAGCTCTGAATGAAAGAAACATAAAGAATATAAATGTATTTTAACCCAACCCTACATGTACATGTATACTAAACACCTTTTTGGTTAACCCTAACTCCCCAGCCTATAGGAACCATACCCATTCAGGCAAATTCCAACACCCACATGGGAAATCGTACACACACACTGTTGGACTTAGTTTCTGGAGGTATACCAACCCCAGTGTAAAAGACCATCAGTTTAGGGGTACTGTACCTATCCCAACAGATTTAAACAAAACCTGCTGATGGGTTGAGTTCGGTTAGGGTAAATGTTTTGTGCTTGTTTTGACATTGGTTCTATAAAAATTTGCCAAACCGTTCTAGCAAAATTAATTTACTATTTTCAAGCCAGGCTTCCACAGAATGTTCAGTTTTTCAACACTCATTCGTTACGGAAGAATTGCTCATTCATGGACCAAACATGGCAATAATTATAACCTAAAAAGCCTTGTCTGAATGTTATAAATGTCAGTAAAATCAGTCATTGTATGACTGAGATAGTGTTGTAGTCCAGTCTATCACATGTCCTTTACAGGTCATTCATCAGGCCCAAATCAAGCCACCAGTTGATCAAATCACAGATCCTCTACACAAGGATAACGACTTCCCCACATTTCTGGTTAGATGCGTGATACGGCACTTACGCATCATGCATGCGCATGCGCAAGACTCGTAGTGCACTGCAGTCTTTCAGTGGTCAAATTTCTGTCAGGACGCCAGCCGTCGGCAATCGTGGCAGCGCATTGTTCTACATGTTCTATGCATTGTTCTTTGCGCGGACGCGGCTTATCACGCATATGTAGACATCTCTGTTCCGTACATTTTGTGCACAAGCATGACGAGCTCAGATGAGTCGTTTCTTCTTGTGTCGAGGATCCGTTATCAAATGAACCGTGACAAAGACATTCTTTTGATATTGTTCATCCGCTGTTTCTCGTGACCCGACTTGTGAAATGAGGCGATTATAAACTTGTAACTGCATGGACTTGTGATGGACTTGTGATGGACTTGTGATGGACTTGTGATGGACTTGTGATGGACATGTGATGGACTTGTGAGGGACTTGTGAGGGACTTGTGAGGGACTTGTGATGGACTTGTGATGGACTTGTGATGGACTTGTGATGGACTTGTGATGGACTTGTGAGGGACTTGTGAGGGACTTGTGAGGGACTTGTGATGGCCTTGTGATGGACTTGTGAGGGATCAACTTTGATGAGAGGGGGGGTAGAGGAATCCCCCTTTTACATGGGTTGAGTGTCTGCTTTACCTTCCTACTCTATCTGGGTACAACGCTGGAGCAAGCAATGATGTCATTCCTCCCATAGACGAGCCTACACAGGCATACACCTAAAACAAAACAACAACATTATATATCAATAATAAGTTTGGGAGGCTCATCATCGTTACTGGCAACTGAGAAGCTGAATTGCGAAGGACGCGGCTACAACGTGGTCAAGCTGACAGCCGGCCTCATCGACCCATACATGACCACGGAGCAAAGCCAGAGATCAAAAGTGTTTGATTTTTTCGGAGGGAGGAAAACCGGAGGGCCCGGAGAAAAACCCTCATGGCACAGGAGAGTACCAACGCATATATGGCATGTATGGTCCGCGGACGGGATTCGAACCAGGGCCACAGTGGTGAGAGGCGAGCGCTTTACGCACAAGCCACCCACATGGCGGATAGGTTATATGGATGGGTTATTCTCAGTGGTCTTCCTTTTTTAGCTGTTCATCAGGGGTTACTTATGCGCAGAGTACATACATTGTACATGTATGTCAGATTGTCAGTGGCACAATATTTTGCTAGAGAACTGAGCACATACCGTACTATTATTCTTTCTAGATAATGAACCAAGGCTGTGTGTGCGTCGGCGCAAACCCACAAACACATCAAAAAAGACATGCATGTCAAAAGACCAATACATCTGACTATATCATTTACAATAAAAAATGAAAACCAAAAAACAAAAAAAACACCTTTTCAGTCAAAATATGCTTGTGTAATGAAAATAACCCTTCATCATTACCTTCCTCCCTACCTTATATTTTTGGTTTAGCCTGCCCCTCTCATCCATCACACCCCCTGAGCTGAGTGTGTATCAGTCCAGCCAGGCATGCAGCATTTGCATAATTCTATTGTTAGCCCCATGCGCATGGAATTTTGAACTATCCACATGTGCTTCAGTCTGCTGGGAGCTGTGCTAGGGATAGGTTGTCTGTGGAGGGCTGTGCAGGTTTTGCCTGGGCGTGGCAAGGAAAGGCCTTGATGTAATGACCACGTAAGTTGTAGTGCATGACATCTTAGTTAAATCCCCCCTGGGTTGGGAGTAGAGTTATGGTGCTTTTACCATTAGCTACTCCACTCACTGTGACCATCACCGAGCCCCACCTTTTGTAATTTCTCATAATTAATTGTTTTCCTTGCATTTATTTCTACAACAAATTCCTTTATTCAGTACTTTAATTCAAGAACTTAAATCGTAGTTGCCCCTAACAGTAGAAGTAATTACTATCAGTTGTAATTTATACAACGCCTGAATAAATCCCCGTCATCTGATTCGTAGGCCATTGATCACATGTCCATGATGCCTTTGAATAATTTGCCCCAACCCACGGCCCGACTGCAGCACAAATATGAAAGTTTTGTTGCATGGTCCAACTATTGGTGGCTCTGACCAATCAAATGAAGAGGATTTATTCAGGTGTTGTATAAAACAAATACATGCAGATTCATACAATGGAAAGAATGATTTCATTCGGTGACAGATGGATTGCAGCCTCTACTCCATGGCGCGTGCGCGTTCCTTCACTAACCCCTGGGCGTGATGTACACGTAAACGATGCTGACTGGCTATTCAGAGCGTACTGTGCCCACATTTCGAAGATTGCACGCCGGGCGCGCCAATAATGCACTTGCGTGCTTTGCACATCACGTCACGTACAAATTTTTTTTGTTTTTGAAAACTCGCGATGCCTGTATGATATGGATTATGGCAGCCTCATTTTTCGCTAAGAAAAACCCTGTATCTTCGGTTGTAGAGGGACAAAAGGGGTACGTACATTTAATACAAATCTTTGCTGAATAACGCAACATCCAAACCTCATGTTTGAAAGGATTGATTCTTCAAAATCACAACTTTCAACATTTTAAAGATGGCGTCGGCACGTAAAACGGATAAACTGCAGCCTAATTATAATGTGCCATATTTTGACACATTTAAATGAGACAAATCCAGGGGTTGAGATCGCGCAAGGCATGATGGGAAACAACATGGCGCAGCAAGATCTCGTACCCATGGGAACGAGGTTGGATGGGTTGTTCCATTCCACTCGGCTTCGCTTCGTGGAACTCATGCTTGTGAATCACTTCGATAACTACAAAATCTGATACTGACCTGATCTACTCCAAGGTGATCTAGGAGTAGGAATGTAGCATGGACAATGTCTTCGATAGTTACCACAGGGAAGTGAGTGCCGTACGGCTTGCCCGATACTGGATTCACTGAGGATGGACCACTAAAGGAAGAGAAAAATAAATACATATTTCACATTTAGCATATTTCTAGATTTAGCAAGGAATTTTGGAACTACAGTGTAGCCAATTGCCAATAAGAACAGGAAATCCTATCAGTTTGGGTGTTTCATGATTTAGCAAGAAGTACAGCAAGGATTCTGTACTTTATGTTCTTGGTTCTTGGTTGGTTCTTCTCCTAAATACTCTGCGTGGGAGTTTATACAGGAGGCCAGAAACACCAGGGCAAACCCCTTCTCTTAGCGATAAGTGTCACTGGGTTCTTTTACATGCAATGCATTACACAACACACAGGACCTACGGCTTTACGTCCCATCTGAAGAACGAAGCAATAATGGTTAAGTGCCTTGCTTAAGGGCACAAGTGTCCACCCGGCGGGCTTGAACCCACGCCACTGTTGCCTCTGAAACGCCAGAGCATGAGTCCGTGCTCTTAACCACCAGGCCATGACAATGTACTGAGATATTACAGGATTAGCGTGGTATTCCTATGCTATATGTAGCTCTGTAAATACAGAATACGGCTAACACGGAAATCTCCAACAAAATGCTACCAAGCCCTGTGCACGAGCCCCATGCACTTTGCCCCACTGCACTGCAAATTGGCAATTTCCGACTTGATGTTTTGCTCATTTCATGTTAACAGGTACATGTACTAACCTTGATCCGTAGCAACCACCCAGGGCATTGGTGCAGATGACAAAGAACTTCTCCGTGTCAATGGCACAGCCTGGTCCTACAAACTTCTCCCACCAGCCAGGCGTTGGGATGTCCTGTATACAGAGACCAACAATTATCCAATCATTATCCAATGACTGTTATACAATTGTATTAGTATTTGAAATTTCATTGGTTGATGACTATTAACATAATATAAACACCGCAAACAAAGAATGTCCACACTCATTGGAGGGGTCACAATTTTGAATCTGATCATCTTATGATAAGTAACGTCATTTATATAGACTTTTGGGGAATGATGTTAGCTACATTTTGGTACCCTGTTTGCTACCAAAGACTGTAAATCGTCCAACACTGTCAACAGTTTATGAAAAATGATGCAGTTTGAACTTGAAGTTGCAAATTTAAAGAGTACGCGAGTCGAGTGGAAATTGCTGCGTGACAATGTGACACTGCCCGAAACAAACGGCAGGGTATCTCGATCGCACCGTGCTTGTATACATGGGAACACGTGAAATTGAATTAGCCGCGCTTTGTTCGGGCACTGTGCAGGGGATAGGGGCCAATGAATAATGGGCACATGTGTTTGCGCTTAGCAATTTCTCCTCGCGCATCTCTTGAATTGCAACTTTTCAAACTGCAACGTTGTTTGTTTTTTTAAACGTCAATCTTGGACAGTCTTTGGTAGCAAACGGGGTATCTAAATGTAGCTAGCAACTGTCTATATAAATGACATTATCATAAGACAATCAGATTCAAAATTATGACCCCTCCAATGAGTGCCGACTGTCTTTTTTGCATTGTTTATTTTAGAAGTACATGTCCCTGCGCCAGGCATGAGCAGAAATTAGCTCACTGCCGGATCGAGTCACGGTGCATACAGCAAGTTATTCCAGGGACTACCACCGGATACAACAGCAGATATGCATGTATTTGTATATACTTGCACAGATTCTCCGTACATGTAGTTTCCTTTTCTTAATGGTTCAGTTACATGTATGTTACCAACCTGATGGCTTTTGGCATGCGAGCTAGCCGACATGCCAGTATTCAAGAGAACCACATTACTTCTATCTGCATTCAGTTCCCCCCAGGTCTCATAGGCGATGTGTAACTCTGGCAGGACGCCAAGGTACTTGAGATGAAACGGCTGCTCAGAGTGGAAGAGTTTAAATCCAGAACTGATCTTGTGGTACTCTGGCTCTGGCCCTGCAGGCGGCCTACACAGGGGAAAAAGAATGGGAACCTGTGTTTAATTTTGTAAATGTTTTGCAAGCTTTCACACACGGTTTAAACCTTCTTCCAAAAGTTAACAACTGCTGCTTATCCTATCCCAGTATTTGTGCAATGCGTGGAGAAAGGACACGGAAAGTTGATCATATTAAAACATTAAAGACAATAATTGTATACACTGTATCTGGTTGAATCAATGCATAGTTGCCAGTCACTGAAAGAGCTTAAACTTCCCAAGATGTGATCAAGTACTACAGCACCCGCCTCTTGACCTCCTAGATTTTGACCAATCAGCGGGCGCTTTCTATATCGGGTCTTCAGTCTTTCACCCGTTGCGCATCATAGACAATGGATAAAAAAAATTGTCACGCGCTCTGTAACATGTAACGCGATATCGCGCCCGGCTGTTGTACTTCAAAACACTGCATTCGAATTGACCAATCAAACCATTTAGTCCTGATTTAGGAATGAAATGACGTCACGATTTAGTAAAGTCGACTCCGATTGGCTGGCGCGCCTTGCATATATCTGCATGTCTAGACATATCAGACGTTATACAGGACTTGGCTCCGTGGATAACGGGTGATACTCAGACTACAGAAATTAAGGCAGACCGTGGAATTTCCAGGTCCCATTCTAAAATTTGTGTTCTATTTTAAAAAGGTTTGTGAAAAAACAATTGAATTTGTTTTAGTTTTAAATGGCCTCGCGAAGCTGCTCGAAATCCTACCCCTCCCATATGTTCCAAGCATTAGCTTGAATATAGCACATGTGAGACATGCTCGCTGCCAAAGTTCCCAAGATATGCGGATTTGATTCATTTTGTTGATAGCGCCCTCAACCGCCAAGGCAGCTTCTGTCTGTGCTTGCCAAGGATCCAGATTGGCTGCACTAGGGAAACAAAATACAATCCAGTCTTGAGCCGAGACTAGAGCAATGCATATTGTAGCAGCAGATGTAGGTCAGCGGTACCCATGCACCCAGGCAATGATGCCGAGATTAAAGCTACAGTCCATTATTTGCAGCTATCCAAAAAGTCACTGACATAATAAATGTTGAAAAACATACTTGGTTGAAAGATAGTAAGGGGACTTGACTCCCTGTGAAATTATTCCTTCTGGCAAGCTGTCATTTTGAAGAAAGGAAAGGAGGCCTTTCCAACGGTGCGTCTAAAGACGCACCGTTGGAAATTTCCGTTAGTAGTCCGGTTTTTTTATTCGGCCAAGCGTGCGCAAGTGTTGGCACGACGCACACGCGGTTGCTATAATTCTTCGGATCAGTGCGCGACATCGCGTAGCTGCAATCGGCTCAGTAAGAACGTGTCTCGGACGCTGAATTCAGGCCCAATTCAAAACATGATTCAGCAACTTTTGATATGAAATCGAGATTCTAGAATGCTGTTTCTCTCGGAATATACAGCTGAAGCTGTGCTGAAACTTCATCAGGTTAGTTGTTCAGCACCCTTTTTTAGATTTTGAGCACATCACTGTTACTTCAAACGAACAAAATGCACAAATTACAAATGCTGGACTTACTACAGGCTACTCCTCAGTAGTATCTTGTAGCATTGGGGGCGGTTAGGAGGTACTCCTAACCGCCCCCAATGCTACAAAATACTACTGAGGAGTAACCTGTAGTATGCATTTCTTTGCATACAAGTGTGCACAGCACATGTAGTATTCTGTGGTATTTGGTACTTGACTCCCAAACAGCCCTTTGGGGGTTAGGGCCATACACACAGGCATCCATAGATGCGCACAAAGTAACCCCAAAGAAACAGCTAGGCTGGTCAATGCAACAATGAGTGTTTACAAACTCAAAAGGTCACTTTATTGTCCAGTAACTACATGTATGCATTGTAGTTCAAAATATCCCCTGGACCATTGGACTGAGTTTAGTGATTTAAGTGTCGGTCTATCTCAATGGTTGAAATAGATTAGAGGTGAAGTGAATTTGCCCACTACACATTATTTATCGCACAAATGCTTTGATTATAAGTCTGTTTTGACCAGGTTTTTGTCCATTGATGTTGTCTCCCATTCACCACATTTGATAATAATGAGTGCATTCTTACGAACGTCATTCTATAAATTTAGGGTTCACTTTTTATCCTGTCCCTCTTACGTCTGACATCTATAATTTTATAAATTCTGCAAGTACTCAAGTTCCTGATTATTAATAGCAAACTACCTAACCAACAAATAAAAAATTGTTTGAACTTTGAAGTCGTCTTTAATGGCAAAAATTACAAAAGTTTGCTTTAATTTATAGAATGGCCCATAGTGATTTTAACGTTCTCAAAATCAAGGAAACACTTTTCAAAATTTGAAACTGAACAACATGCTAGTAATAGTACATCTAGCAACAGTATTTGCCCATTTGTTTTGTGGACTGTGAATAAAATGCCAGCCATGTAATAATCAGAACTTTGAAGAAGAAATTCTTTGCAAACTGAAAAATAAAACAAGAATGGTACTTGACTTACAGCCTTGATAAACAGGGGAAATCGGTCTCCAATCCTTTGAACATCAGTTCCTTTTCGTACTCGGGGACCTCAAGCTGAGGCAGCGGGTCGTTGGGTGAAGCGTCTGAAGACGGAGTCCCAGCATTTTGCTCTGAAGCTGACTCTGATGTCTCTACTTTGGTCGCGGTCGTTTTGGGCTGGGTTTCTTCCTTCTGGCAACGTTGACTCCCCTGGCTGAGTGCTCGGTATTGCTGAAACCACGTCCCTCGATTTGTTGATGAAACCCCTGCAGTTCCGCACACAAGTGGACATAAGGGAGGCATGCAAAATTATTAGCAAGCTATCAAGGTTGAACCTCGAGGTACCCTGTAAAACCTGGTAAAAACCTCATAACCTCGAGACAACCTCAAGATACTGCATTAACTTTTAATTACGTATTCTTCTTCTTCTTCTTCAAGTGAGTACATCCCTCCATAGTGGAGTATTGGAGTATTCTCCCCTATAATCATCCACATTTCAAATGAAATTGCCGTGAACTTGTTTCACTTTTACTGGTAGACAGATACCTAAAGTCTGTGACTTTATTGATTTTAATTCATTCATTTTATTTATTTTGTCAAGTGTTTGAATCAGTATTTGCCATTAATTTGTTTTAATAACAAAATCTTGGAGGAGAAAAATAGATATATTCAAAAATAGATTATTTGAAATGGATTATTATTATTGCAAAGACTTGTGTTCCATAAATGTAAGACACTATGAGTTTTTTTTTTTTGGTGACCACGACCTTTGAAATATGGCTAGGGAAAAAAGTGAAACACTAAATGTTGGCGATCTCCGAACGAAAGTGCACCTACCTGCAGGCATACAGCTCACGCTGGGCCCATTCCTCAGCCAGAGTTGATGGGGACTGGATTCCAATGATGACCCACTGGTGCTAGTGGTCTGAGCAACGCTCAAGCTACGATGCACTAGCCTTCTCAATGTAGCCACACTTTTGCACGACATTGTAATTCCTGTTTTTGATAATAAAATAACTCTTTGATTAATAAAAAATAACTCTGGCAGTAAAGACTACAGAAGATTACACGACTAGTTTTCTTACTGTTCATGTACAGTTCGCACACTTTTAGTGTACCCTAGCTGTTTGCTTAAAGGGACATGGCGTCCTGGAATATGCCCAATTGAGCTACAAAACAGACCTGTCTGTTTTGAACGAAATGATGTTAATTGGAAAGATAAACATCCACACAACTATCCTTTAAAAATTGGGCGCTTTTGTAGTATTCTTGTGTTATTCGTGCAAGAACAACTTTCGGGGTCCACTTTTGCAACCCCAACAAGTCGAGCTGACAGACACACAAAGGGAGAACAACGGATCCTTTCAGTCCTCGGGCGTTGGGTCTTTTGTTCAAAACGGTCCTCTCTATTTGCTTAGTCTATGGAAGTGTACAAAGAAAAACACAAAGCATTGTCCTCGGGAGTATAGTAAAAACAAGAGTGGGTGAGCATGGTGCTGTGTACATGTGTAATACTAGACACACACAACGTATATGGTACATTGAAAGAAAACAACAGGAAACACGTATCATACTCTGTTGTGTCCGATGTAAACAACCTGGCTGGGTTTTTTTTTCATCTTTTTGGGGGAATGGTAAGACATTAGGTTGGGTTTCTTTCAACTAAATGTTTGAAATAGGATAAGTAAACAATCCAAAACATGCAATTTTCGGGGGTTTCAGGACGCAGTGCCCCTTTAATGGTTAAACCTCATGATGCTGCAACAAAGTATGTAACCACATACATGTACCATGTACACAGGGTACTTGTACAACATAAAACCAACAAACAATGTGATGAACAAATAGGCCAAAACCATCTTTTCTTGTCAGATTTAATTTATTCAATAAACCAATGCTAACACAGTCTTCATGTAATTCTAGTCAGGCAATTTATAAATTATAATTTTTTTTAAATTTCGGGAAAAAAACGTATCATTTCAATTTTTTTCCAGCCTCCTTATTTTCGGTTTTAAGCTTTGCCTGTTCCAAATTTTCAACTTTGCCAATTGTAGAATATACAATGAACGTAACCAGTAAATTCAACCTACCGTAATCTTTAGTAGTTTTCCCACTTTTAATGAACACGGTTTTCTTCAAACCTGAGTAGCATACATTTTGTAAACATGTTGTACAAAACATGAAACTTGATGGAAAAACTGTACAGCCAACTGCAACACGGTCAACTGATTTTGATGACGACAGACTGTACATAGGCCTGGGGACCTACAATGTACGTATATTTTTAGCTATGGCAGGATAATATTCCATCACATACAGTTTCCCAGGCCCTGAATGTTCCTGTGACAATTGAAATTTAATGGACGTTGACCTCCAAAGGAAAGCTTACTTAGGAAAGATTTCAAGTGGATTCCTGATCAAAACTGACAAAGTTGTGCAAACACTGATATAATGACACAGCACTTTTTGAATGAATAAGCATTTTTGCATACAAGTGTGTACATCAGAGCCTGCATGGTTATGGTGTAATCGAGGACAAACATGCAACCAGGGTGACCGTAAGGTCATGACTAAATTCTGCTAAATGCACTTCAAAAATCTGTCCGATTTATCAAAAATCGGCCAAATTCCCCAGAATTGCTCAAAATACACTATAAACACTTTAAATCACATTATGTTGTGTAATATTGCCTTAATTAATGTTAAAATTACATTATAAACAATCTATAGCCACATAAAGATAATATGAAATTACGTAAATTTCAGGCAAAAACGCGGTTGCGTCACGACGAAATTCGGTTCCCAGTGAACCTCAGCACCTAGACCAGGCAACCTGTCCTATTTTGCAAGGGTTTGTTTGAAAAGATTGAAGCTTTTGTGAACAAATGTACCATTTTTTTGGCAAATTTGCTATTTTTTCTTTCAAATAACCATTTTTGCAGAATTCTGCCAGAAATATGCCCAAAAAGTCCATTCTGTCAAATTTTCTGTCAAACTTGTTTTTTAACAAAAACATCTGTCAAAGTTAGCCGAAAATTGGCTAAAACGGTCACTATGTGTGCAACATCATCGATGAATTGAGGACAGGAACCAAATTGAGGACGACAGGAAACAAATCAAGGACGACCTCGATTAGAAAACATGTACAAAACCAATGAGAGCTGTTGCAAAAAAAAAAGACTATAAACAAAGGAAAAGGGAAAAGGAATGATAGAAAATCCTCAATTTTTTTTACACCATAAACATGATAAACAAACCTGGGTGTACATATGTACATGTACACTGTACACACATTCTTATTCCGTATGGGGACCGAAGATGCTATGCCCAGGGAAAATCCTCGATTTACACCATAAACATGATAAACAAACCGAGTGTACATGCACACTGTACACACATTCTCATTCTGTAGCTGTGGGGACTATTCCCATGAGTTGTCCCATGGTACTATGGGGACCAAAGATGCTTGAAAATGAACATTAAATCACACTTTCTACCAAAGTCTAAGGGCACTGTCAAAATGGTCATTAGTGCTAGACGAGTAACCCGAGTACTAGAGTATTCGCGAGTAGTATTTGCTACTCGTTGTTCTACTCATGGAGGGGAAATAATACCGCATGACACAGAAGAGGAGGCAAAACCAGCAGGCAGTGTGCAGCGGCCACAAACAAGGCTATGGCTAAGCTAAGGATAATAAAAAGAACCTTCAAGCACTTTAACGTGAAATGTTTTGCTGAGTTATAAGACCTACATACGACCCAAATGTTAGAGAAGGTTCAACGCAGAGCAACCAAGCTAATTCCCTGTTTGAAGTCCAAACCCTACTCCGAGAGACTGGCCAAGTTAAAACTAACCACTCTGGAGAGAAGGAGAATAAGAGGAGACCTGATAGAGGCATTCAAAATCCTCAATGGATTGGAAGGTATTGAAGAAGGCAAGCTATTCACTAGGAATTCAAATCAGCTCAGAGATCACAGTCACAAATTGTTCAAGCCAGCACTAAAGAAGGGACTGAACTGCAGGAAGAATTTTTTCTCTCTCCGAATAGTCAACGAGTGGAACAGTCTCCCAGCACATGCAGTTGATGCCAAGTCAATCAACCTATTCAAGAATAAGCTAGATTCCTACTGGAGCCAAAAAGGATATGGGGTCTTAAAGGGAAGCCTATTCTATTCCCATCACACCTTAAGTGTTAAGTGTAAGTGTTAAGTGTATCTACTTGCGTACTCGTCCTGGCACCATTAGAAGTAGGTACTCACGAGTAGCAATTGTTTTTCTTTACAAGTGTTGACTGACAAAATAGTATTTTCTAAGTCAACACTTATACTAGTAACCACTTTGTTTAGGGTTCACGACTTTAATGCATCCCCCGTTTCCCTGGGATTCCACTAGCACTCTCAATAAATATATTGTCAAGTAAATGGATAGTCCTACTAGTGTGGCCTAATATCCATTTTTTCTTGAGCATCTTTCTGGAGCCCATACATGTATGCACACGAAAATCACGATGGCAGCCATTTTTAATGTAAAAAGTGATGACCCCAAAGCTGTGACGTCACGTTTATGCAAATTGATCTTGTTGCTCAGGCGCGCGAGCAACGCGACAGCTGTTTCTTGTACAATCTCTCAGCAGATAGTATACAAATAATGAACGTTTGTCTGTTTGTGAGTGCAATGGTACGAGTGCAATGGTTTTCATTCACTTACATGTACAGTCCAAGTCTGGCGCAGCATTACCACCGCAGCCACACTAGTGTGGCTATACTGATGGCCTTGCTCTGTCATTTAAGCCAAGGCCATGTCTGAATTGGCCACGACTGTAAATAACACACGGGCCTATGGCTGCAGCATCTCGTGTGCAGCCTCGACACTCAGTCAAGTAAAACATTCTGACAATGACATCACGCTGCACTGCACCATGGAGGAATGACTGCACTGACTACAGTACGGTGTTAAGTAAAAAACTAATGGTATTGATAAGTTTTGAACTGACAACAACGTACATGTACATGTACGTGAATTCTATAACAAAAACCTGATGCAACAGCTACACTGTAATTATCAGATATTCTCCTACCAACTATCGATACGGCCATGCCGAGATGCGCGATGTCAATGCAAGTGTGCCTGATCAGCTTGCGTGAACATGCATCATCGATCACGCACGATCTTCCCAAAATAATCAGCAGCTGATAAAAGTAAACACCGCAAAGCCGTAACAGCGACCTCACGCGGCTACGCTAGTCCATGTCTTTTCTCGTGCGTTGACCACTGACTGATCTCTACAAGAAACATCGGGACTTAAAACTATCCAAGGTGTTCAAACCATAAATTCCTCCATGTTCAAACACACGTCAAATTAAAGCTTGATCACCCTCTTTCATTTCATGTTCTTTTTTTTGGGTGGGGCTGACGTGTTATGACTCATTCCCTGGCCAAAGGTGACACAAACGATCCTGAAAACCCTACAAACGGTCCTGAAGCCCATCTCTCTGATTTTGAAAAAAACAAAACATGGTCCATCCGATCCACCCATTGTATACGTAATATAGAGGGAATTTCCGGTCCATGGGGTCCAATGTCATGCATATTCTCTAAGCAATGAATGTAAGTTCCAAGGGAATTGTGGAAATTAGGATGACCCGCCCTTGGCAGTTGGGGGGGGGGGGGGGGCGGCTACCCGATGTTCCCCAATACCTATGTTCCCCAATACCTACGTTCATCTAAATCCTTAAGGTTAGGGTTAGGGTTATAGCATAGGGCTAGGGTAAGGATTTTGGTGAAGTGAACATTGTAGTGGGGAACATAGGTATTGTATTAGTGGGGAGCATAGGTATGAACCCCAGTGGGCCCCGCCCTGCGAGACCCCAAATACTCCGGTCCTGCATTAGGATATAATGAAGCTGATCTCATTCTTAGAAAGCTGTTATACGAATCATTTCAGCCGGAGTGGTTGTTCGTAGAGGAGCAGGGTGACAGAGGCGGGCGAGGTGAGGAAAGACAATATCAGGCAGTTATTGATAACACAAGTTTGAAGGATTGCTGCATCACTTGGATGTAGTGATGTTATCCGTGAAGTTTGGTAGTTGCCAGAGCTGCAGAGGTTGCCTGGTATATAAGTGAAGGGTGGTATATTCTGGATAAAACCATAGAGCTATGGATAAAACACACTTAATTGGGCTAGATGTTAAAAACTGGTCTAACATTGAGAGAGTTGAAGCTTAAAGCCAACAACCTCGTCATGGTGCCTAGGCCTATATATGCGAGCACAGCAAATTATTCATCATAGGTGAGCAGATTCGGTGAATATTTATGTAAAACAAGACTGCGTCTTGACGTCGAGATTCTTACCCATTCAACGGCGCCTTGTTTCGGGTCTTCCGTATTCCGTTCACAGTTCTGATCAAAATGTCGTCATAATTTCTAAAGTCGACTCCGATTGGCTGGCGCACTGGGTTGCATAAAATTAATTTGCATTGCTCAGATAATTATAATCAGACGTTAGATACGCGCTAACCTCGAAGATCGAGTAGGACGGGGACGTCTCTAGATAGTCTGACGTACCATTGGTCCGACGTCCCATTGGTCCGACGTCCCATTGGTTCGACGCCCCATAAGATTAGGGTTAGGGTTAAGGTCAGTCAACCCGAACCAGTGGAACTACTCAGTATTATGTTCCATCGGACCAATGGGACGGCGGACCGGGACGCCTGTCCAATGGGACGTCGGACCAATGGACCAATGGGACGTCGGACCAATATGGGACGTCGATCGGACTGTCGAAACGTAACTGAATTGGACAACTTGACTTACTAACCTCGTCCTCAGGAGATATTTTATGTTAAAACCTCGTTTCCAATAGTATAACCCATGGATGGGAAACTTCAATTGCTTCATTTATCCCGCACGATTCGATATTAAATATTAACTTACGAAAATATATAAGTTTTATCGTGTATATAGGTCTAGTGTTGTTATTTCCCAAATTGATCAGAATGCGTATTTTAACGTGCAATCCATTCCACCTAAGGCCCCTTCCACTTTGCTTGTATTGTGTAATGTGATACTGCAAATTGGCTGGATAAGATTGTAACATTTTAAACTTTGAAGAAAATCGTGATTTCGGAAATCTAACGCCGCGACGAACTGATGCTGTACAAAAAACCAAATACTGATTTAAAGCTCAGCCAGGCACCAGACTATTCCCATGGGCGTCGCCAAGATTTTTTCTAGAGGGGGGCAAAACATTTTTTTTTTTTCCAAAAAAAATACTGTATTTCTCAACATATTTTCGATTTATAAGTTTTAGAGGGGGGCGGGGATATTCCCCCCAACCCATTAAATTTACACCACTATGACTTCGCGCCTCTTTTTTTGTTTTTGTTTGTTTTTGTTTTGTTTTGTTTTGTTTTTGCTTTTCCAGCCAGGGGTGCAAGCGCCCCATTCTCCCCCCCCCCCCCCCCCCGCGACGCCCATGACTATTCTATAGGCCCTACGTGTGCAAGACTAGTGTGCAAAGTGATTTCCATTAGCGTAACTTTTATTCCCAAGACGATTGGAGCCAAGTTATGAATAATTCAGTAGTTTCGATGCATGTTTATTCATAAACAGAACGATGCTATCCGTATTGTAGCGGGAACCTATTGGGCTCTTGTCCGCCAAGTCGAGCAAAACGCAAAAAAAAAAGGGACGCACAGACGGGATTTCTAACTCTGATAGGCAATGATGCCTATTTATAGAGCCTATTTCTGGAGCGCGCTAGCCAGACCCAAAACCAGGTGAGCGCACCTGTGGCCCCAGCGCGTCAAAGTGGCGGCTAGGAACAAAAGCCACAACAAAAGTGCTACTTGAACTGTATGTCCATTACACTATTTAGTCGACCAGTTACATTTTAAAGAACGGTTGTAGTCGAGCTACCACACAGTAGCTTATAGTGGATAGCAAGATGAGATATCGATATGCTACACGTACAAAGATCCTTGGTTCGAATCGATGTCGTCGCTGCCAATTTTCATCGACTATTTTTCTTCTCTAAATTTATCGTTGAAATAATTTTAATTTAATGGGAAAAGAGAACGAGAACCTCAGTATCTTGCAATGATTGAAGGAAAAACTGAATTTTGTATGACTTTGTCTCAACCCTCCTAGGACAAACAATACACCTCCCGCCATTCATATACCGATCTACCCCTCATCGCTGGATCGTGCATGGCCGAAGCTTGACGGTACTATACTACCGGACTGGACTGTCTTGGCCCGCCAGGTATGGCTGACTTCAGCTTCCAGGGTCGGACGCCGACCTACCTGTGGCTTGGCTGAGCCACGTCTGGGTGCGGAAATCCTTGGTTCGACGGCAGCGCTATTCAGGCCTACCGTAGTGGGTCACTGGCTGGGCCGGACCTGTTTCTGCTGGCTCCCAAAGAGTAAGTCAACATTTTAAATTTTTATAGTCATCAATTCGCAATACTTTCAGTGTATTAAATTGAAATGTCTCCTTTTCTCTCGAAATACCCAAGTATTGCCCTTATTGATTGGTTGGGCCAGTCGGGACACAAAATAAATGCAAAAATAACACATTACACACGCTGTAGATCGTATGGTGCCCGGATGTGCTGTATTCTCGTAAAATCTCGCAGCTTTTTAAGTTTTAGGTCAACTTGTACACGCTGGACACAAAGGTTTCGCCATAGCGTGCCCGGAATGGCCTTATACGCTTGCATTTCTTCTTGCTGTAATAAACTGGAATAGACGAGCCTATACTTGTTGCTGACGAATAACACATTTTTAAAACAGCAAAATTCAGGGCTTTTTTTTTTTATTAATCATTCCATTCAAACGTTTTCACAAGATGTTTCAGCTATAAGCTTTGTACACGCATTAGCTGCAGTAAAATAAAGCCGTTAAATTTTTAGAGCAAATCTATAAAAAAGGTGTTAAAAACAGGTGTTTAAAATAGCTATTCACATTTTATAGTAATTAAATTGATTACAATATGGCAATAAAGGTATGGATATTTACAGACTAAAAAGGTTAAGAATTTGAAAAGCAAATGTTTTGTATATTATTATCAAACTTTTAAACATGCTTTGATAACTATAAACTAGCTATCGTTGGCAATTATTTATCGTTCATATAAAGTTGATTACAAAAGACCTAAAAAAAACATCAATTCAATGGGCTGTTTGAAGAGGTGACGTCACTGAATATTTAATTTACAGTTTTAGAATTCTTTAACGTATTCATATTGTATTATAAAAAATATCAATTCTTTACTTGGACACAAACCTCACGTCAAAATGTTGGTGGTCTGTAAAAATAATCAGCAAATATTTCTTGAAATTCCGACATAGAATACCATTAGATTTCGGTGCTTAACAATGAATTCTGAGCAAAACAAATCACACAGACCTACTTGAAGTATATATTGAGAATTCAAACCTTAGGCCTATATACAGAGAGTAGTTAATGCTTATGCTGAGCATCACTCAGGAAAACAATATCTTTTCGTTTATATCACATCAATGTCTTGTCACATCTTATCAATTTCGTTTTAATTGCTATTTTAAGTTATTCACTTTTACAGGACATGTCGAACGGGAAGTGCACCGCGTTTTCCTATGGAATTATTACTTATCAATCTTTTTGTGCCTTAGATGTGCAAAAGTACCCCAAAGTAAAAGCCTTCAGAGGTTGTAGACCCATTTACATAGAAAAATGGTTTTGCATTAAAGTTTTCATTAAAATAATACATACAAATTGAAAATTCATAAGGAGTGGGAATATGTTTAAATGTAACGTATTTTTTTAACGCAGCCATTGACAATGCACCTTTGTGTCCCTATAACTTTATTTTCAATTTTCATTTTGGCATTTTTAAGGGTACTTTGGTGACTTTTTGGTTATTACAATAATGCGAGTTTCCGTATTATTACGAGCAAAAGTGTAGTGTTACAGCTATTCCAGCAGCATCAAAGCTGGCCAGAATTTTTGATAATTGCTGATGTAAATTTGCTTTTCTTTGGCGATTCGTTGTTGTTTCAGTACATGACAGTAAGTCAGTTTTTTTCGCAAATATGTTCGGTTATCAAAATTTGAGTTCACAATTTGAACAGAAAACCCATTAACTCAACAGTGTCTTCCTGAAAAGACATCACAGCAACAGCGCCCTCATTAGTCAAGAAAAGCATGGCAAATTGTTATGTTTAACAAAGTACACATTTCAATCAACTTAAACCAAATATAGGTGTCATATAGTTTTCATACATATAAAAGAAGTAGAAAGTTCCATGTTCCCAAGTAAAATCCATGCCACGGGCCTTTACTAACATCACGAGGAGAGAAAGTTTTACATGGGATCATTTTGAAATCACGGTTGCTCGTTTTTATTATCAGGTCTAGGTACTCATAACATAATAAGTAGCAGGCCTAACGTGAGCTCAAGTAGGCCAAAGTTGACATCAATATCAAACAGGCCTTGATTATCGACTTTTAGACTCATTGTTACGTTTGGGATTTCTCCGTAGTCGTGTACCCAATCTCGCTAACTGTTAGTAATACGGGCACCCGGGCTCCGTGCCAGACTCGGTCAGACTATCAGCGAAGTCCAGCACCTTGTTATCAATGCGCACGTCCCTGATGCAGCCAATGAAATCACGGTTCAGGATACGCTCCTCTTCCTGATTGGCTGGAATACTGCCCACTAAAAGGGGCGTGTTCACGTCCAAGAACCTGTGCCAATTAAGATAAAAGGTTGTTTTACATTGTGTATTTCTCCTCGTTAAAAGATATAATTCTGACGTAGAATTCTTTGCATAGCTGCGGTACTCGTTTCCTCTTTCGCTTCACTACTTAAAGGGAAGATACAACATTTGCAAACATCAAAAAACGAAATGATCAAATTATCACGAAATACCTTACTGGATTGTTAGGGAATGACAGTCTAAAGCATCCTGTAATATCGTGGCTACTGGTGTGTTGACATTTTCAATGAAAGTTGTATGTTAACATAACAAACATGTTAGTATTGATGGATAGTGTTTAGCAATTAAACATCGATGTTCAGGAATTGGACACGTAGTGTTTAGCTTTTATACATGTTTACAAAGTGAGAACAAGATAGTGTTAAATTGCTGCAGATAAACACAGTTTTAAGAGTGGCGCGTGTTCTGTGGCTAGGCTCTTTAAGGACGAATACTATTTTTTTTTAAATGGCAAAAACAAAACTACCCTGGACGACTTCATTTCAATATCACAATTACAAAGCAGATATAAGCACATGCTTAGCCAAAGTCTTTCGGATTCTGAAAAAAAAATGGGATTTCGCAATGTAGGAACAAGGTAATTAAATAAAGACGTGAGAGTGAATTGCGACTTCCTTTAGAGTTTATCAAAGTCTTCAAGATAGGATCCAGTGCTGGCAAAGGCCCCCACTAGAAATGTCACTGAAAAGATCAGTTACAAGATTATATAACCCCTAATTGTACGTAGAAAAAAATCAACATTCACATTTCTGATAAGCGCATTGAGTAATTTGTCATATTTCACTCATGGAATTGTTAGTATACTCTGCTTAAAATATTAACAATTAGGTCGAAATATTGACACTAAAAAGTAGCAAGAAAAAGTTAATTTTCCACCGATCTTTAATCAACGCAAAAAAGGTGATGTATTCGAGATTTTTATTTTATTTTTAAGGCATAGCCTAATTGGATCGTTTGCATTCATCCTAAAAGTAACCTACCGAATTATTATCAAAATGCTTACTTGGATTAAAGATTTATGGCACTAAACACCCCGTGAAATGATTCCGTCTGGCTTGCTGTCATTTAGAAGAAGTCAAGAAATGTAGGTGATTTCATTCAATTGACTGATTGTTTTGGAAATAAAGAGTGCTCTCGACGAAATTGTGTTTGGGGATCAAAAGGTTGTGCATGGTTTTTCAAAGTTTTCTCGAAAAGTGTAATGAGCTGAAATCCAACAGGTTAGGTTTTGAAAATTCGTCTTTGGATTTGGTGATGTTATTATTGGAACCAAACAAAATGCATGAAAAGCAAATGATCTGATACATACATGTCTTGAAATGAAATGGTAGAATTCAAAACAGTTAGAGGGCTGTTTTGATCCAGGATCTTTCTCAAAGGCAAAAGGACATGAGGACAATAACTAACAAGTAAGAGACACACAAGCATGCATGGGCGGGAAGAAAAACACAACAGGAGGAAGGAATGGTTGATTTTGTTCGTGTTTTTTTTTGCATTTTACCATGTTGAAACGTCCAGAGCTTGAGTAGCGTAGGCCACGCAGGGGAAATTGCTAAGGATCTCTCCTTCTTCATTGCGATCACAGCTGTCCAGCATTACTTCCACCATCTAATTAAGGCAGAAAGATATGTCATTCAGTAAATCGCATGAAATTTCATTTGAGTAGAAAAAATATATATAAAATTGGTGTGTATGGCCAGATATGAGTTTTTATATCTGAATATTAAAGTTGGCATGTCCGCGGCGTAACACCCTACCGTGTATTTTTGTGGCATCATTTTATACAAATAATAAATATTAGGCCAACGAGTGTAATGACAAGAATATTTTCATGTGTTGACAGATGTAATGTTCCATTCCACGAGTCAAACATTCTATCTGAATGGAATGGAACATTCCATCCATGTTCCATTCCACGAAGCAAAGCCGAGAGGAATGCAACATTGCCATTTTTAGCGCGATATGGGACAGAGGGACCCCCCCCCTTTTGTGTTGGTCATTGTGTTACCAGAATCTCAGGAATTCTTTTTGAGATATGTAGGGGGGGGGGGGGGGATGTGTTAGGTAACAAATAGTCTAGCGTGTGTATAGGGATTAGGGGGGGGGGCTCTGTCCCATATCGTGCTGGGTATAAATATTGCGTCTGTCACTGCAATGTTTTATATTTATAAAAAAGAACATAACGAACATAGATGATTAATATTTTAGTATTTTCATTAAATAATTATTACTCCGAGCAAGTTTAAAAAACATTTCTTTGAAACCTCTCCTGTTAATGTGAATGTATATTCCATACTATTCTTATTCCACTTTATAGAATGCATTTTAATTATTTTTTAGTTTAACAATACTAATGTTTTATTTATGTTGGATACCACGAGGACATTAGCATAATATTTGACGTCACAAAAAATGAACATTTTATCATCATATTTTGGAAACCTATCTGAATATAGACGACACACTATGAACACTATACAAAGCTAATTTCTAACTGTATGAGTGCATCCTTAAAGACATAAAATTGATTAGAGAAAGAATCGAAATATCACGGTCATACCAACTTTTAAAAATAGAATGGAAAATGTAGTGATAGAACAATATGATTTAAACTTGAAACTTCAAACACAAGTTGACAAAAAAATATGTGACGTGTGATGCTGTTCGATTCATTTTATACTATGAAGGGAATGCGAAAATACATACATCCTTTATTTCGGATTATTATACAGGGTGAGGAACAACAACAAAGGAAACCCACATGGTGCTCCATATTTTTTAAAGAATTTCTGTATGTAGCGCTTTCCAGATCTAGTATATGAAAGCCCAATTAATATAGCTTTCTTTTAGTGAAAAAAAAATAATTCAAATCGCTCATGTACTTTTTAAGTTATGGAGTTTTGAAGACAAAACCCTTTTTTTTTAACCTTGTCCACGGATCACATTTAAGGTACGTGATATTTCAGTAAAAATGAAACCATGTCGTACCTTGAAAATGATATCAAAATATTCCCTTAAGTCTCCGAGGTAGCCAAGTAGAAGGCAGGGCAAAACTATAAACTCTGGATATAATAAATCATGTTATTTTAACATAGGAAGCAGCAAGTTTTTAAATGTAACAATGTTATAACTGCCAGTTATCGTAGTTATTAGTGCTTTGATATGTTTTTGGATATGTGAATAGTTTTCGTTTTGCTGAAATATCATTAACCTTTAAAAAACGGTGTTTGTGTTCAAAATGCCATAACTGGAAAATTACATGCGCGATTTGAATTATTCTTTCACTAAAAGAAAGCTTATTAATTTGGCTTTCATATCCTAGATCTGGAAAAGCTACATGCCGAACTTCTTTAAAAAAAAAAAAAAAAAAAAAAAAAAAAAAACATAGAGGCGCCATTTGGGTTGAGACAACTTGCGACAAGTTTGGCATATATTATGCCGTTCTTCCTAACAAACCAGAACAAAAGTAGGTGTTAGAGTTAATCTTGTCACTGTTAAGTATTAAGACAGCTGTTGCTGATAATAACTTAAAAAAAACCCCTGTTTTTCAGCATTGTCTTTGTACATCTTTTGGCAGGCACTGCTTGTTTTTCGTTATGCCCGGAGCTTAAAACCGGGGAGAGTTCAAGGCAAAACCGTATGGCGGCAAATCGGAAATACTGAATTTCTCGTTATGGCTGGATTCCAGGACGACAACATCCTGTGTGGAAGCCATCACTTAATAGCGAGACTTCCCCTAGATCTGAAGCGTTGTCACGCTCAACAACAAGAGGGGTTTTCCTAACCTCAGAAAAAGCCGCCCTACAGTTTCTTAACATCGCCAAAACTATGACCATGACCAAGACCACGAATTAATACACCGGTTCTCGTCTGAAAATAGCTGTTCACCCTTTTTTTTAATGCTGTTGAGCAGGAAGGAGAATAAAAAAGTTACGTGAAGTTGGAAAAAAAAACACTGCAGCTCACCCAGAATGTGGTAAACACGGAAATGACAAGGTCAGTTGAAAATCATGGTCATTGAATGGTATCTGTGTTCACTAATCGTGAGGGTTGCATCATGCGAGAAGTAGGCTAAAGCAGGCAAAGCTTATCAATCAAGGCGGAAGTATGTCACTTTTTGTGTGAAGATGTAATTTAAAACGAAAGTTGTAGTTTTCAGCTAAATCAATGAACGCCAAGTCATGCAACAACGGATGAGCAATAGGTTTTCGCTCCGACCGCCCCTGCAGTTGCAGTACCGTGGTCCAATTGTCACGGTGTCAGACTAGATGGTGGGGGAAAGACGGTGTTTGTGTTCTTGGGCACGATACTGTACTACAAGTATATATCGACATCTAAGTAAATACTAGACAGGCCCGATTAGTATCTTCGTCCAGCCTTCCAGGGACATGTCATCCTCTTCTTGCACATCACAATTATTGAAAGTGCAAAATTTAACAAACAAAAAAAAGTGCGCATGTACAAAAAACTTGGAGACTAGTTGCTTGAAAAGATGGAACGTCCAGCTGGCCTGCCCATGTACAGCTGTGCCTTGCGATCGTTCATGTAGCTCCATAGATTGGTGTTGAATGACTTGGCAGAAGTAGATGTAGTGATGATGTTAGATGGTAGGAGATTACATTGACGGATGGTCCGGGGGTAGAAGCTGTTTTTGAAGATCTCTGTTCTGGCTGGGAAGTTGATGAATTGTTTGATGAGTTTTTGTGGTCGGCTTCTGGTTACTGGTCTGTTGGTATTGTGAGTTGGATTGACTGGAACAGATTGCCTTTCTCCATCCAGAATAATGCATGGTATAGCTATGAGTGTGATGGCCAGACTGCTCTGCTGCAGAAAACTGGTTCCATGCCCCAAATGAACCGGGTTATACTTATTGAAGCGCTTTGAGATTTTGGTACAAAGCACTATTTCAGAAAACCTAAATTTGAGCCCATACCTTGTCGCGGTAAACCAGCTCCACCAGGTGCCATTTCAGGTCGCTGACTCCCCCTGGGGTGCCCGCCATGACACGCATGGTCATCTTGCCCACTGCAAACGAGAAGGCTATCTGGGTGTCTATGATCTCGATGGCCAGCAAATCGTTGACCTGACTGTAGCGGGACACGTACAGGAGCAGTCCATTTCTTATCTCTGTCGAGAAACTTCAAAAAAAAAAACCGTTTTACATAACGAATTGCAAATTAAAGGTATAGGTAGGAACACTGGTACTAATACACGGAAGCAGACCTACCGATCTAATGAGAAAAACATTGCTCAAAGTGAAGCTTGGATGGTACCAAATAACCTGAGAAATTTCCAGCTATACGAGACCAAGAAAATGTTTGCAAATGTTTTCTGTTTTTCAGAAATGTAAACCAGCTAGCCACTGAACTAACATACAACATTTGCAAACATCAAAAAACAAAACTACCAAATTATTATGAAATACAAGCCAGCTAGACTGGTTCCCTGACCTATATATACCATTCCCCGACATCTATAATTGCTCCGTTTCATCTAAAGTGGGGTCAGGAAACCAGACTGCATCTACGAAAACAAAAGTTCAAACGTAATAAGAATATTTACTTTAAAATACTAACCCCCACATCCATTAATTTTTAAGCAAAAACAAATGTTGTATATTTCCTTTAAGTAGCCAAAACATTTTTGAGCAATTCGGTTGCTTCAAACGAAAAAAAACCACAAAAAGCAAATATTACGAACTTGAAAACCTGTAAGCAAACGTAGGCCTATTTGTCAAGTCTTTCTCATATTTAATAAAAATTTGGATGAAAATTGACATCATGGTGACGAGATATTTTGCAGTGACTAGTGCAAAGTTGAAATTAGTATATACTATTAAATCTAGATGTTATTTGGCTAAAACATAAACAATAGGGCCTATGGTGTATAAAACAGTATCTTGCAGCATGCTGACGTAACTTGTAGCATTAACCAGTAGAATTAGTTTTCCGTCGAAACTGTGCACATCCAAATTGGCTAACACGCATATGAAATTAAAATAAGGTTGGTTAGGTATTTCCTAAACATTTGAACCCTGCGAGGCGCCATCGTTTTATTTTAGTTGTAATCCACCACAATACTGAACTTTTCATTATGATGATAAGTGCTACGGTCTAACACATCCCTTCAGTGGGCGTTTTGGTGAACGTAATCCCTTCTCACAGTGTCTAAATAGATGGATAGAGGCCTTCTTGCTTAAGAAAACAATTTTAAGCCAAAAAAGTGTATACATGCCCAGATTACTCTTATCTGGTCAGTACCCGTGCGAAAAAAATTTGAGTTTTATCTCCCTGGATTTTGCCTGGGCATCCCCCAGCACAACAGCCTGAGGCTAATGTATATTGCTAAAAAGGATGAGGACCACCTGTTTCCAGGCTTCAAGAGACAGGATGATTGATGGCTTGTAATAACAGCAGTTATACCTACACTACAATTACAATAATATACGTGACAATACAGATCCTATGGGAGTTGGCCCGGGTCTGATCTATGTCTCAGAAATTCTGGGTCAAAAAATCAATCAGGGTTAAAAGGCCACTCATGATGATTTTTAGCTATGTCTCAACAGGGAACTTGTGGAGTACGAATTTTTTGACGAAATGAATGAGTGAGTAATTGAAACATTATCTAAAAATGTACTATAACAATGTCAGTTCTGTTGCACACCACAGAGTAAAATAGTAATTTGTGTTGACTTTAAGGAAAACAAAGTTTAAACATGCCGTTTAACGCCTCGCGAACAGTGTGAAGATACAGTGTGGGAACACTTTAATATTATCTTGCTTAACTTATAATTAACGCTGCCTAAGTTCCATGTCCAAAACAGTAAACAGCGGCGTTCACATTTGTAAGGTATTGTAAAGTGACTACGAAGGTGTACAGTGTACTGAAATGGCAAAACAAGGCTAGCCGTAATGATCAGGCTGACTATCTCCAGATTCTGTCTCTTGATAAATGACAACCAGAAATGCCGGATATACAAGTAATAGAACTCATCTGCAAAAACTGGCTACGGGATTCGTATATCCTGTGGTGGAAAATGACTGTTTGAACAGCATAGGTTAGCCTTGGGGTAATCATGGTGCAGAAATTAGGTGCAATTATCTATGCTAAACAAATCAAGATTAGAATACTGCCAGTTCGTATTTTAAAAGGGAGTTTTGTTGCCCTTGCACTTGAGGGTTTGTAGCAATGAGGGGTTCAGGTCTGGACCGGTCTTTGAACTTGTATTTCTGAGGAATTTTGGGACGAATTTGAACCCGAAGTCACTCTATTTTGCAATAGTGGAGGGATTTTTCTTTTTCAAACTTGCGATGGGTTTCAGGACTAGGTATAGGGGTGATCATTTTTGAAAGGGAAAAATCACCCAAAATAGTCATTCGTTAACCCCTAAAAATGAACAGCTAATTAAAGAGGGCGAATCAAGCTTTAATGTGATGTATGTCTTGAACACCTCAGAGAGTTGTTAGTATTATTCTTATCATGTGTCTATGGTAGTTTCTGCACCCTAATGTTGCTTGGTATATGCCTAACAAGTTTTCACGAATTTAAGTCTTTACAACAATGAATAAGTTTCATTTTATTAATACATGTACCCGTCTCCTGACGACAGGCGGAGAATACTGCCCGCAACGTTGAATTTCCCTTGGTTCTTTTCAGAAACTCACAAACTCACAAAGAGATTTGCCACATGGTGCTACCGTAAACCTTCATCTTATTAATGTCTGTGTCCAATTAACTTACTTCAGCGATATCCTCATCATGGAACGTTGGTGCAAGGTCGGGAAGGTCATGTAAGAGCCGGCGGGGAAGTACCGTGACGTCATCTCGCACTGCTGCCCATCGTAGCCAGGCATGCAGTCACACGTGAAGCCGCCCTCGGCCAGGTCCAAGCACTGGCCGCCATGTTTGCAGGCGCCCTCAAAACAGCGCCCTCCGGTGAAGTCAATCTGGCAATTGTCGCCTGAAATCTCAAACGAAATCACATAACGTACAACCCAAGAGGTGATTTGACTTTAGATTTACTTAACTGACTGAGTCAACCTATAACAAATATGAGTCACAAGTTGCCAGAACAACTTTTGAAGATTGGCCTTTTAAAGGTCATTGTAATGGACAACACATATACATTCAAAAACAAAACTGCTAAAAATATGACATATCCTATCCTTTCAAGCATCCTTTGAAATTGTTCCGCCTAATATGCTGTCAATTTCGAGAAAAGAGGAATTACTCTCACTTCCTCGCTATGGTAAGGACCAAACCATCGGAGAAAAAAAACACGGCTTTTTTCAAATACATGTACTGCTCCCAACTGACCAATTTTTGTTTAATAGTTTGCAATCGGTTATACAAATCCGTGAATGAGAATTTTTATCCGAGTGACAAACTTGGATAATACTTCCAACGTTTTGAAGGAGAGGGCTTTCAACCTAATTGCTTTGCCTTCGAGAAAAAGAAGATGCATTTTCACAGTTTATTTGTGAAAAGCACGATATTTACTTAGCTAAATTGCCACAGTTTAGTTTTTTAATAACCTTCTTCACTTTAATTGTATTGCTGTTCCTTAAATTGGCAAATTTACGTTTGTTTGTTTGGGGTTTTTTTGCAAATGGTGTCTATTAGCCAATGGAAATCAAGAGGAACAGTCGCCTTTTTTGCCGACATAATGTATATATTAAGAGTCTGGCACGGAACCTGGCTGCCCGTATCTCTTTAAGCTAGCGAAAGTGGACACACGACTATACGGTAAACACAATGAACATCTTAAAATGATGTAAAAAAGTGATATATGAAAATGAAGAATTATTCGCTTCTCACCGAATGTGAAAAACTAATAATTACAAACATGTTTTAATAGGGCCTACTCATGTTGTGCATGGCAGGGTCCTGTCATAATTGTTAATGGCATATAAGATCGTTTGCTTTTCATGCACTTTGTTTTTTTCCAATAATAACCGCTCAAATCCAAAGAAGACTGTTCAAAACCTAATCTGTTGAAGTTTACGCTCAATGGATATTACACTATTCGGGAAAACGGTGAAAACCAAGCACACATTTTTGATCACGAAACACGAATTCGTCAATAGCACTTCTTAATTACCAAAAATCAGTCAATTGACTAATTGTTGGAAATCACCTACATTTCTTGATATCTTCTGAAAGGGAAGAAACAACATTTGCAAATATCAAAAAACCGTCCAATTATCACGAAATACCTTACTGGATTGTTAGGGAATGACAGTCTGAAGCATTCTGTTCAATTGTGGCTCCTGGTGTGCTGACATTTTCAAGAAAAATTGTATTTTTCCAACGCTGGTCGGCCGACCAGCGGTGGAGAAAACTGGCTATTTTCAAAAACTACTCCATATTTCTTATATTTAGTTATTCCACACTTTCTTTGCAATTGATTACACACCTGTGAACGGGTACAAGCCAGCTAAATTGATACTCTGGCCATACAATTCCCCAAAGTCTATAAATTACTCTGTTTCATCTTAAGTGGGGTCAGGGAACCAAACTACAAGAATATAATTGATTTTCTTGGTTTTTCCAGCATCTACAAGCCAAAAACGTGAAGCAAGTCAGTTTAACAATATTTGCTAAAACATATAAATCCTCCAAATGCACTTATTTCTGAGAAATTGCAGCAAAAGCCAATGTTGTGCATTCCCTTTAATGAAAACAAACTAGACGGAAACATTTCACGGGGTGTTTAGTACCAATACGATCTGTAATCCGAGTATGATTTTTGCTAATAATTCGGAACGTTACTTTTTGGACAAATGCAAATGATCCCTTTTTGCCTTTAGGCCTAATCGTGAAGTGAAAAGGAGCCTACCGGCAAAATGGCGCGGACAGATACAAGTATATCCGCCGTCCGTTCCTTCGCATGTGCCGCCGTTGCTGCACGGCTGGGACTCGCAGAAATCCACGACCGAGGAGCAGTTGTTGAAGCTGTAGATGTCCGGACACTCACACGTCTGCTCTACGGCTGGATGCACACCACGGAAGGTGATCAGATCACCCCGAGAATGAGCAAATGCTGACGAAATTTGACTCAGAATCTAGAACCAAAGCAGATTTGTTTTTGCTCAAAACTTCTAATTTATTTAAACTTTAAATAACAATGACAGGATACATCGTGTATATTTAATCGGCAAATCAAAAGGCTTCATTTCTTTCTATTATATAGCTCTGGCTATCAAATCATCTCTATCCATCACAACATTTAAGAAAACATAAAATCTCACCTGTACAAACAAGCTTACTCTCCCAATACACAATAAACTTTACTTTCTCCTCAAACGCCATGAGCGCCTTTAAGGCGGATACCGGCGCTTTACAAAATGTTCTTCATAATTATTCGTCGACGTTATTGGCGAGCACATTTTGTGGGCCGCCATCTTTTCATGCAAATGCTTCCGTAAAATCCGTACAAAATGGCTTTCAATCGTACATAACGGTAAAAAAAACCTGTTGAGTAGGCTAGGCTTACAGTAAATTTGTATGCCTCTGTGTGGATAACCATTCCACTGACAAACATCCATCTCTCCTGCTGTACAGTTTAGTAGGCATGGTAATCCTCAAGGTATTTAAATCAGCAGGGAAAAGATAATAAGGTAAGTTCAATCGGTATCAAATGTGGGCTTGTTTGAGGTAATGCCGCCACTGTCTAGTCATGAAGAGAAAGTGATATCTGAGGTCAATGTATTCCTGTTGTAGGTGGTCAATGGGGAAAAACTTTTTTCCTGAAGGCTTGTATGAGTGGAATTGCAGATTTATTGAAAGTATTTTGGTATATCCTATTCCATTCAGTTGAATGTAGTTTCCTAGAGGACCTTCGGTCATATTGATAATAGGATCTTTTCAAACATGCAAAGGAATTCACAATCTTTATCGTCGCGGATAACTGTAATATTTTCTTGTTAGTTGTTTACACATCATAATCGGACCGCTAGTCTCTGTTTTATTTCAAGTGCAGCTGTTTTACCTTTTTAGGAACACATCTTTGTAGGTCGTTGCAGGATTCCAAGATACACACATCATCCTCGGCAGGTAGGATGGGCAGGCCACTCATCGCCTCGATCCGCTTCCTCTCGAAGTAGATGGTGCTCAAGATGTACTCCCGGGATAAGAACTTGTTGTCTAGATCGCGAGCCGAGAATGAGACGTTGAGTAACGGGTAGCCATCACGCGCTACCTGCGGCAAAGCAACCACAAATTGTGATGCAGAGATTGCATACGAAAGCCAAAGTACCGAAATGCGCGCGAATTGGGTTATTTAGAAGATACAAATAACATGTAAATACAAGATGTGTAGCCGACATAATGATGCCAAAATCAGATGGTTTCCCATGCATCAGGAAAAAAGGGCCGTCATTAAAAATCCTTCTCCATATGGGACACAGCGACAGAGAATGCCTCAGTGCAATGTGTCCCATTCTCCTAATTAAAGTAGTCACTTGCAACTGTCCATGCCATAAAATCAATCGTTACATATAATCAATCGTTACAATCGCTGAAATGTACATGTTAAACTTAATAAAGGTTTCTTAAAGTCATCTTAATAAATAAAAATTGCTCAAATTCTAGCCAAAATACCAACAGCCCATAACACCTTTGGGGAACTTCTCCCACAAATATCGATAACATTTTACTCGAATAAGCAAACAATTGAGGTAATTTCTTTCAGAATTCGGATAGAATGACAGTGCCAAATATGTTGTTCGTCATCTGTTTTTTTAAGTTAAAGTTTGTGTAGTAACCTAAGAGTGTTGAGTTATGTTGTGATCAATCCCAGTGGTACAGGAAGGCAAAGCAATTGACGTGATATACCTCTTGCAGGTTGAATATGACCAGCTGATTCGCGTGCGAGTTGAGACTCTGGGCCAAGGCGTCACGAAGCGCGTGCAGGCGGGATGACCGCAGGAAATTGTCGCCTGTCACATTCAGGATATTGACACTGACACCGTTGGCCATCATCTCGATTGACACTGGGGTAAGCTCAAGTAGACAACTTGCTTGTGCACCATGGACGCCATCTGTGTGAGCAGGAAAACATGGTCATGGTTTTTAAGCTCGGTCTGTCGGTCTGTCGGTCTGTCTGTCTGTCCCGAAAATTGACCCAAGGTCATGATGGTGTTCCATATGTGCCGTCGGCGTCGCATGTTTCGGCGTCGCATGTTTCGGCTTCGCATTTTTCAGCTCTGGCAGGGATCATTTTGATCGATTTCATGCAAGACTTTCATGCAAGACTATTTGCAACACGGCCAGAGATTATTGTGCACTCGCACCTGCGCTGTACTACAACATCTTCCTCGAACAAGGTGGACGCCATTTTGTGTAGTGGTTGGACGGGTGGGCGGGGTTCGATTTTTAAGCTCTGGCAGGAGTTTCTTCATGTCACTTGGTGGTCGGTCAGTCGGTCGGATGCTCTCTCTGACTGTCCCGAAAATTGACCAAAAGTATGGTGTCCATATGTGCCATTGGCGTCGCACTTTTCGCCAGAGCCTATTGTGCACTCGCATTTGCTATGGTGTGCAGCGCTTTTTGATGGCCCAAAGGGATAGGGCCAGGCTAGTGTGCTCTTTGTACGTATCTCGCTGACAGAATGATTGACTGTCAGTGACTAAAAATTGTAACTTGGACTGGATGTAGGCTGGGGAAGAGAGCTGGGCAGTGCTATCGTGTAGGCACTTTTCCTTTTTTTCAGTCCCCCTTTTTTCACCGTGAGGTCGAATTCTACTCCCGGTCGCTACGCCACCGATCGGCCAATATACACTCACCTGTGACATAAAAAGTGATATCTGTCACGACTTTGGTGCGGACCTTCTTGGCTTGCCTCTTGGATAGACTTATGATCCCAGTCACTTCGTCCACCTTGACCAGGTTATTCCAGCGAGATCGGCCGGGCACTATACCGTATCTGAGCGTGCCTGCCCGGTCCACGTCCTGGGCAGGCACACGGGTCAGCTCGGCTCCCGACAGGGACTCGGGCAGGGCATTGTAGATCACCTTCGAGAAATTGATCAGTATCAAATGTGTACTCTTAAAAATCCCGATGAGATTCGACCCTTGAATTCAGGTCAGATTTGACCTGAAATTCTTCCGGGTTAAAATTAATGACAATTTGTTCTTGTAACATGACACTTTTCTGGGTCAGAATGACAATTGACTGTGTCAAAATGACACTCTTCTGTGTCAAAATGACACTCTTCTGTGTCAAAATTACAAGAACTAAGGGCAAGGCGTGATACGAGAGATCATTTTGCGTTATGTGACGTTTTGTTTGAAGCAACAAAATTGCTCGAAATCTTAAGTATAGGGTGCATAACAACTAACTTGTTCAAGTCCAGGGGATACTGGACTTTCAGCCCAGGGGATACTTAACATTTTGAGCAATGCACGTAGTGCCTGCGTGCAGGTACACTATATAATAAAACCATCTTCAATGAATGTTTCCTTCCGAAGTAAACCATTCCATGCGTAATAATTTCGAAAGGGTATTTGGTACCATCCGTATCTGCACTTTGAGCAAGGTTTTCTCATAATTCGGTAGGTCCATTTTCCGGTTAATTTCAAATGTTCCCAAGTACCTTTAACTGGAAGTTCAGGTTTGTGCATTTGGGGTCAAGGATGCGCGCACGCAACATGCCGAACGATTAAAACCGTACCAATTACCGATTTGTAATCAACTTTATGTGTCATATGCCATCACTTTTATTTCATGAGTACAGATCAACCATTCATATTACCTGAAAGTCGTTCAATATGGGCGGGTTGTCATTGGTATCAATCACGCGTATCACTACCCTGGTATACCCGAACAGATTACCCGAGAAGGCGTTGACGACAAGCCTGAATATCTTCTGTCGCTCGTAGTCTATCCTGCGTATGTTCCGTATGACTCCCGTGTCTTCCTCGATCATAAAGGATCGGGATCCTCCCCAAGCAATCCCGTACTTGACGATGGCGTTGTCCCCTATGTCTTTATCCGTGGCATTTAGTGGCAACCAGCAGCGGGCGTTCTCGTAGATGCTGAACGTCATGACATGGTGGGGGAAGGTGGGCGGATTGTCGTTGAGGTCATTGACATGCACGTCGAGTTGCGTCTGCGCAGACTGCTTCCTGGTGTTGGCGACGACCACTAAGGTGAAGCAAGCAAACTCCTCCCGATCCAAGGGTGTGATGGTGAACACCTCCCCTGTTCCAGGATGGATCCTGAACATATCGATGCCATACATAGGCACGGACTCCCTCAGCGTAAACACAACCTCCGAGTCGCCCTGCGCTAGCTCCACCGAGTTGTTCACTTTCCCGATAGTGTTCTCGTCAATGTAAGCCTCGTATCTGTCCTGCGTGAACCGCAACGGCACATCGTCCACGTTCAGCACCCGGATCGTGATCTTGGTCTTGGTCTTCAGTTTGCTGTTGCCCTGGACACCGGCATAGCCGAGCATGGTGTACTCATTTTGCAACTCGAAGTCGAGCGCCCTCAGCGTTCGTATGTCGCCGGTCTGCGCATCGACACTGAATGGTGGTGTGGTTTTCTCACTTTTCCTCTTTTTTATCTGATATGTGATGTCTTGGTTGCTGCCCTCTGTCACAACAAATAGAAAAGGGAATGTCAAATTATGACGTGAAGCAAAATGTGTTCTTATCATGCCTCGCGGAAGAGCACGACGATTGACCTTGAATTTACCTTTTTTAATACATTAAGGTACAGGTGGATATACTCTGATCTCTTTTCAGAAAGTAAATGCGAAGGTAGCGCAATGCATTGTGGGTAGCTTTTTGCAGTGATCAAATGATCTTATTGATCTTTGTCTTCATCTTGTAATTGATCGGCTTCAGACTGGACCTCTAAGAGTGAGATACTGGCCATGGGGCAATTAGAAATGGTAATGGTAATCTAAAAAAAAATTGCTGGTTCTTTGACCCTTTTGCGTAGTTGATTTTAACCAGACTCGCACATATTTTGAGGATAATAGTGTGCCAGTGGTAATTACACAAGCAAACGCCCGTACACTCGTATCTTCTGGTGCGATGACCTAGGGTCACCGGTAACTGGTTAAAGGTGTAGTGTCCGAGTTCTTCAACACATTAATATTTTTCTCTCAACGATTATTGATTTTGCAGGAAAATAACTCCTTTTCTTTTATTCTGGGTTTTTTTGTCACCCTCTGAAATAAAGGCTGTTAAGGGGGTTACTTTTTGCACACAAACAGTTCAGCCCTGCAAGCACACTGGTTTCCAGTCATTGGTACAGGTAATAACATACCAGCACCAATATAAAGCGTACTTAATACCTACAGCTTGCCCAAGTATAGACATAATTATATAAACAACCTTTAAGTCCGTTTAGTATGGCATTGACCTATGACATTGCTTTATATTTACAAGATGGGCAAACCTCAGGCTTTGACGTCAAGCAATGTTTGGTTGTCCACTTACATATCCATAACAATTACCTTGCAAGCTGGAGTTAAGTCGGGAGACATGCGAGGAATGTGGACTAAGTCCGTCCAACTCTCCTAAATGGGGTTAGTTCTGACGGACCGATGAAATACAAGGAACAGACATGAACTCGAGAGTGGAAGACCCTTGAGACTTCTTAATGGGCCTTATCACCTTCAACTATGGTAAACAACAAGGCTGTCATATTTTACTGCAAGTTTGCCTACGTATAAGAAAAAGCGAATGCAATTCATCCCAAGCCTTTAAAATTTGTGAGAAATTGGAAGTTTCCTAGGTAATACTTCATTACTAGCTTATGCAACACAGGCCGAAAATAGTCCCCTCAGTCAAAAAAAATATACATGGGCTAACATAATATACGCTAGTGAATGCCTAACAATGTTATCATTACCTCACAAAACAGTTAATGTAAACACTTGCAGTAGGAGCAAGTACATGAAAAAGACGCCCATGAAAGAAAGAGAAATACAGGTTTGGAGGCAAGGTATTGGGCAAAGTATTGGGGGGAAACTTCGTTTGGTAAGTCATACAGTACTTGCCTTCCAGCCTCGTTATGGCTTCGTAAACGCGATAGAGAGAAAAAAGTTCAATGTTGTGTCGACAATATTTGTTCCAGATTACGTCCCAACTACACTTCATGCATGTGTTATTTTGTATATGTGTGTACGGGGGCCGCCCGATAGTCCGAAGGTCCGATATTCCGAAGGTTTTTTAGTCCGAAGGTTAATTAGTCCGAAGGCTCATTAGTCCGAAGGTTTTTTAGTCCGAAGGTTCATTATAGTCTGAAGGTTCATTAGTCCGAAGGTTCATTTATCTGTAGGTTCCGTAGTCCGAATTTAGAAGTAAGGTTATTTAGTCCGAAGGTTCAATAGTCCGAAACGAAAATAAGGTTCAATGGTCCGAAGGTTCATTATTCCGAATTGACAATATGGTCCGATAGTCCGAAAGACTATGGGTCCTGTAGTCCGAATCGACAATAAGGTCCGATAGTCCGAATTGACAATATGGTCCGATAGTCCGAATCAACAGTAAGGTCCGATAGTCAGAAGGAGACTGACGAACCGTATTGTCCATTCGGACTATCGACCCTTATTGTCAATTCAGACTATCAAACCCTACCGTATATTCGGACTATCGAAATTCGAACCTTATCATCTATTCGGACTATCGAACCTTATTGTCGATTCGGACTATCGCGTGCACCCTATTGTCTATTCGGATTATCGAGCCTTCGGATTGATTAACCTTATTGCATTTTCGGAGTAATGGGCCCTTCAGACTATCGAACCTTCGGACTATCGAACCTTCTTACTATTGAACCTTCGGACTATTAAAGAACCTTCGGACAATTAAAGAACCTTCGGACTATCGCACCCTATCGTCCATTCGGATTATGGAGCCTTCGGATTGATTAACCTTATTGTATTTTCAGACTGTTGGGCCCTTCGGACTATCGAACCTTCGGACTATTGAACCTTCGGACTAACGATCCTAAGGACTAATTACCCTTCGGACTATTAAAGAACCTTCGGACTATTAAAGAACCTTCGGACTATCGAACCTTCGGACTATCGAACCTTCGGACTATCGGGCTGTAACCGTACTGTGTACCTACAGGCAAAACATGTTGCTTGTTATGACCTTGGTGGCTGCGCGTTCAAAGTCACACATTTAGTGGGCACGCGTAATTGGGTCACGTAAAGTCCCTCCAGAACGGAACCCTTATTATTATGGTTTCACTTTTGGTAGACAGACAACATGTATTTCCAGCCTTGTTGCCATAGTCGCATAGGTCTCGACGGACTCAAACCCACAACTGAAACAATTTGATAGGGAAGTTCTGTAAAACACTCCCGCGTTTCCTTAAGTAATATTTCCTTAAGTAATACGGAAATTCGCTAACGAGGCACACGGTACGGGTGCGTACACTGAACATAGTGAATGTCTCCATTTGTAAACTAGAAGCTCGAACCAACAAAAAACATGCCAATAATGAATTACATGTACCATTTTCTGGTAAAGCACTGCTAGTACCCTTGCCGCGAAGGGGAGTCAGGTTGGCGTAGCGGTATACTTTCCCCGCCTTCCACCGCTGTGACCCGGGTTCGGCCAATATGTGGATTGGGTTTTCAGTCCATGCCTGATTCCGTGGGTTTTCCCCCAGAATATTCTTCTGGGCTTTTCCTTCCATCTCTAAAAACTGTAATTTCTTCTCATTGTTTCGTCTCTACACGGTGCCTAGGGCACTTCTGAGGAATCCTTGGTTTCATTACAAGAAAGAAATAAAATAAACTTGACCCCGTAGTCAAGATATTTACAAGTTCTCTTCCGTTATGCACCCATAACTGAACTACGTTCCATTAAACCTCTCGTGTCATGAAAGAAACGTGAACATTTCCCCCATCCCCCCCCCTAAAAAAAAAACAGGAAAAAGAAATTGTCCGGAAGTAAGTATACATCGAATGCAGGTCAAAGATCGTTTGGTTTTAATTTATGCGTCACAATATGATACCCTTGTCTAAAAGTTACCTTTTAGTTTACTGTTTCCAAAAGCCAATGGTATTATAGTATTCCTAACTGTTTTAAAATGTGAAACGAAATGCCCCAGGACAAAAAAGTTGTCAGGCACAACAGTATTTCACTTATGAATAATTCCGTTCATAAAAGGAAAGCTTCACAACAAAAAAAGAAAAGATTTTTCTTTTCCTAACATGGGAAACGGTACGAAAGACAAAGCCCATTTGTATATAAAAGGAATTTGAAGCATGAAGAACATGTTGTGCACATGAAAATAAACTCAGCTGGGGCAAGGACCAGGAATCGCTGGGAACATTAAAACATGAAATTGAGAATGTTTCCATGAGAGCACGTTCCAACAACAGCTCAAGGGTGTTACACCCTGTCAGTGGCCCCGACAGCTGTGCGGTCGCAACCCGCCTTGTTATGCTGATAACTCTTGATTCATTGCCAAAGAACACAGGTATGGAACCTTGTATAATACCATGCCCAGTTTCTGTCTAAGTGGCGATAATAAAGGGACACTACTGCCTGACTAACACGGCTGCCCAACACTTTTAATAATTGGAAAGAGCATTTTAAAGCTGAATATAAACGACCACACAACCATGCTTTAAAAACTGGCCATTTTGTGTTTAACCATAAAAGGGCCGGGTTATTTTGACATCTCACTGCCGGGGGGGGGGGGGACAGATTACCCCCCCCCCCAAAAAAAATCTCGGCCATCGAGTGACAAAAAATTATGAAACTCGGTACATGCATAGAATGACTTATCATGAACATACCCTAGAAATTTCATGGCTACAGGTCAAAGGGTTTTGGAATGATGGCTAATTAATTATTGATATGCACGAACGGTAATTCTGCTTTGTGTACATTACGTATATGAGGAAATTAAGTTTTCACGGCGCGTAGCGTCGGAATTTTTTCGCTGCGCGGCAACCCGGTCTGAAATTTATGTTTTTGGTATCAAAAGATGCGCATTTCAAAAGAAAACGAATTTCGGGGGTCAAAATTTTGACTCTCAAAAATTGCTGTTTGGGTGGTAGACGTGATTCCAGTCGCACATGTTCCACCAGTGCACATATTCAATCCACATAATGTCGGTTTTACGGACTTTTTTCGAACACCACTGTTACTTTCATCAGGCTGGCGGTGGCGCTACATGCCTGTTCATGGGAAATCAATTCCCATAGTAACAATAAGAACACGAAGTAAAGTTGTCAAACAATGTGTGACTGGAATCAAGATTAATGACATATCAACGAAACATCAAAGAAAATTACGACAGAGAAATACCCAAAATTCGGGCAGCTTTTGGTGCTGAAATAACTGTTTCTGCCCGAAATGTCATCACACTTTTGCTCATGAATGTGGACATTCTAATTAGCATAAAAAAGACACCAAAACACTTTTGAAATGGCAAAACAAAAAAGTGAATATTGTATAAGGTTCGATGGTACACCACGGGTGCATTTCCAAGTTTTGCATTAAAAATAGTTACATTGCGTTTCATTTTCCTATTTTTTTCATAAGCATGCTAATAAGTATAGTTTTCACTCGTTCATATCTGCATCTGTAAAATACTGTGCAAACTCCTTGACGGATATCCGCACAGGGCACAGACGCGGTGCTATTAAGAACCCCTATGTGAGTGTGAGGAGATTTATGTTGTTGATTTTAGATTTGAAGACAGTCAGACTTGGTAAGTCTCTTATACCGGTAGAGGGTACCGGCCACAGTTCTTGGCAAGAAAAATTGTAGCAATCCTTGATTGAGGACGAGATAATGACAAGCCTAAATTGTGATGTCTAGTGAATCCTCTTTCGGCTGGTATTGACGGAGAACCTGTACTGTGACCATAAGGAATTTGTGTAATAGCTTCGGAACAATTGTTATGATATCTTAGACATAATGTGTACAGATTAAAACAAAAACAAAAACTGGAACGACTGACGCGAGTCTAACCTTGCAAAAATACAGTGGCATTTTCGACTCTTCAGAAGTATACCGTCCACAATTCCGGCACAATTACCGCCTAATGAGAAGTCATAAAATGCAAGATATGAGCTGTCCGATTTCATATAAGCAGCTCGTTTCCTTCCAGCCTCGGGCCCCGCGGGTACCGTCCAGTAGGTCCCCAGCACCGCAGCATGAAAATACGCGGGCAGAAAATTGGATAACTAGTCCGACAAATCTCTCTCAATGTACACTCCCTTGGCGATGCTTGGCAGTCTAAAACAGTTGGGGGGGAAATGCAGCTCCGGTAAACGGAAAAGAATCACTCGGGACCCATCAACCTTGGATACTCCTCTCCATCCGAGCCGAAATCATTTACATGACTTATTTCCTATTTTATCCCAGCTTAAATTGAATTAAATGAGCTGACAGGGTGAGCTTTCCAGATCCCGTGGGGAATACTAGTGACCGCAACCCATCATTGCTTCATACCCCAGGGGACTAGGGGCACCAGCGTGGACACGCGAGGACTCGGAACTCCGTTTTGATAAAAAGAGGGTAGAAATTGCCGTTGTAAAGTATTACTCATGGTGCTTATTTCAAATATATCATGGGGAAAAAAGCGGAAACCTAAAAAGAAAGAAAAAAAATACACAGACATGGACATTCATTTGATATTTTCCCGTTTACGAATGGGTCAGCATTTGCTTGCAGAGATCACAGGCAACTTCGATTTTTATTCCTCCATGGATGCAGTCATTTCAGTGCTTCACACCCTATGCCCTTACAGCCATAATACATGCATGCATGCCAGGGTGTCTTTGACTCAGGTCTCTGAGGACATGTTTACTTTGCCAGTGTTTACGCCGAAAGTGTGCAAAGTGCACCAATCATGGCATTAATGGCTTTACAGTTGTTATTGCTCAAGGTAATATTTCCAAAGTCGATTTAGCAATTGGAATAAACAAACACCGGGATTCATTTGCTTTTCAGGGTCAGATGTCATGACCTCGATCTGTGCCGTGACATACGAATTGCCGCCAAAGGTCATGGCCAATTAACCTGGTATGTATGTGTATTTGGTATGGTTGAATGAATATTTAGTCTAAAAATCTCGACTCCAAAAGTTCTAAGAACTCACGCAACAAGTTAACAACAAACAAATCGACACCTAGGAGCGCTTTAATGTAGGCTTCAATGCGACATTTGGATTTGAGTTCTAGTTGCTGAAAAACAAGCGGCGTGGGCCGGGGAGGAAGTCGTCAGGCCCGCAAGAACAGGTCAAAGGTCACCTCGCCCTGCCTCTTTAGCGCCAGAATAAGACCCAAGACTACAGGCAAAAACATTTGACATTAATCAGTCAACTGCGTTAGGTTTCCTGCAAACACCTTATCGAGTTTTACGACAGGTGAGGGCTGCCGATTCCCTTGATGTGGTTTTTGTGGAAGCCAGTCGCCGGAATAAGCGACTCCAACTTGAAACAGCCTAAACAGGTGACCAAATTCCCCCCGTGAGACCAGGTACTTCATCGATAGCTTACCCAGCCCATGGAGCTATAAACACATAGCTCCATGCCCAGCCTATCACTCCCGTAGGACGCTCCGATTAGGGCCACTTATCCGCGGTCCTCACATTTTGTATATTCATAAAGCTCAGTGCTTACGCTGTATTCTCATGAAATATGATCTTTCAACAGTTGCTGACATCAGCATGTCATCCAGAGAAATATGTATTGTGCCTCTCATGCCTGGTGCAGGTCACATGACCTTCTTAACCCTTGGGGAATATTCCAGACTAGTGCAGTTCAAGGGGAAGGTAAAACGCGTTTAGGTTGTGCAGACTTTATACAGTTTAGTTTTCATTGTTTGGCTTTTTAGTTAATCTGTTCTTAAACGCAGTGCAACTTCTTCTTTTTATAAGATTACATATTTTTTACAACTTTGTATGCATTTCAGAGAGTCTTTTCTTGCCAGGATAAACAAATGTTTATTAAAAATTCAAAACCATTTTTCAAGTGAGAAATTATTTCAATAGCAAGTATAGGCCTACCAGCATAAAGCGATCATGATGTTTTGCGAATGTAAAAATACACCTGAATATATTTTTGCTAAATATATAAGACTATAGTTTGTCATAAAGGCAGCCAAAACTGCTACAAACTTCCATATAGTCAAGGTAGGCCTATGTGACATTTGAATCCAAGAAAGTGTGAGAAAACAATCAACATTACCATTTCCTGTCTGCGATGCCGATAGGGTGAGCACAAGCGACCCAACCGGGGCATCTTCCGTCACCTCTCCCTCATAAATATCCCGGCTGAAGACCAATGCCTCCTGCACGTCGTTGCTGGCCGCATGGTTGATGAGAGTACCGCCACCATCTCCTTCCCACCGCGTCTCATCGGGCCGCTTGGGCCGCCGGCCACGGGTCCTGCCCCGTCCCCGGCCTCCTCGCGCCGCGCCAGCGGCGGTCAGTTCACAGCTTACGTAGAGTACAAACAAGAGCAGAACCGGCAAGGTACGGGCGGGCATCGCCGTCTGAATGGGCCTGCTTCCTAATACCGGAGTCGGTCCTTTATAGTTTGTTATCCAACTTCTCCCCTACTCAGCCAATCCTGTGCATTAATTCCGAGGTGTCATCATCTGTAACTACCATTTGTATAGACGTGCAGCATAATCCCACACATACACGTCCCACATTGGCGGAAGTACTCGTAGTTAAGTTATGAACAGGTGTCAATTATACATACATATATTTTTGTAGATGTTTTACTTGTTGATCGGAATACCTTCGTCTAGAGAAGGTTAGACGCTGCCATGAGCAAAAAAAGGTTGGTGTAGCTTGATTGGCACGAGGGCACCAAGGTCCCGAGTTAAGTGCTTACATTACGAGCGCCGGAGTTTAGAGTTGCGTCTGAACATGTGACGTCTGATGCCTCGTAAACTACTCAGCATGGGATATGCCTGTCAAGAACCTTTTTGTTGCAGTGTTGTGGTGCATGCTGATGGAGTGATGAAGATTGTGTCATGGTAAAAGAAGGCCGGACTCCTATCCCTGGCTTCGCATCTGCAGCTCGTACCTTGTTGCCTGCTCTCCTGCCTCTGGAGCCTCGGTACAGCAAGGGAAGGCGTGGCAATTAAGCTTGGGCAAGGCACTCAACTATAACCGTCTTCCGTTTGTTATTTCCTACCAACGCCAAATTCGGCAGCGGTGCCCCGAGGCAGTGGCAACACAGCGAAGAACCGCAATCCCCTAACTGACTACTCGGCCCAAATATTCCCAATAGCTGGCTGCACGCGTGATGCACCGTTCAAGCTGGGAGAGTCAAGGCAAAAACAATCTGCTGACGGGGTGGTAAAAAACTCAACGTATGCACATGCAGCTAGTACTGTCCAGAGACGAAAGTCCCTCAACGTCAGGGGAGCCTACGCGAATGGTAAAAACATCTTGTGATTCCATTGGGGCGTCTGGATATTTACTCGCAGTTAACTGGTTGCTTCCTTTTTTGTCTGTCAGGGACGAGGTCAGATGTAGAAACGGAATCAACATGGGCAGTGCTATATATCGTCTTGCCATTGCCGTCGCATTGTAAGCGTAGACTCACTTCGAGTTGGGTGTAGTCACTCTGCACATAACCCTGACATCTGAAGGATTTCCTGTCAGTTTGTATACATTTTAATCGCGCCTATTCCCTTTTAAACTTTACAGATAATGTTGGGAAACAACCACATGGAATCGAAACTGTAAAGTCTGTTATTAAAAAGAAATACACAACAGTGGCGAGTAAATGGTTGGTGTGTGCACTTGAGACCTGATTTTCTAGAGGGCGCTATAGCTAAAATCAGGTCTCATATATGTTTTTCCTTTTACAATAAAGAGCTCTCGAGAGAAAGCATCATGATGGTATTGCAAGCCTAAAACTAGTACAAGAGAGAACCTGTGTTTTTGCCATTACAGGTAGTTACGCCCTGCGAAGCTCATGAAAAAAATGAAAATTGAACTGTGAATCGATTTCCTGACAGGAAAAGACACATCGACACGGGGGAAAAACCAATCCTGGTTAATGAACCATACGAAATTAACATGTTTTGTTTTACTTAACGCAAAATGTGCTGCTGCAAGCGAATTTCTTTTCCGTAGGTGGGTTGCTCGAAAGTCGTGAATGATTCAATAGTTTCGATCGGGCCAGTATGGTGGGGAAGGGGGAGGGGGTGGTAAGGAAGTTATTTACACCCCCCCCCAAATATTTTGTAAAGACTGCCCTTTTTTCATTCAAATGCCCCTTTTTCACCAGCGATTACCCTGAAAGCACCCCCTCAAAATTGGCCATTGGATCACCCGCCCCAAGATATGTTTGTGGAAAATAAAATAATCCTTGTAGCTAATTAAATAATTAACAGTGGCTTATGAAATAGTAAACAAAAACCGGCAGTAAATACAAACTGTCCTCTCTTGCTTTATATCACCAATTTTTTTTAAGACATAAAACTGACTGACATTTATATTCTGAATCACAAACAGACTTTCACATTGTGCACAAAATTCTGAACATGACTGAGACAATGTAGGAAAAGTAGGTGCCAAATATAATTCTAAGCGACGTTATTTTACAGTGTAGGTATTTACGGTCTCAAAAGTAAAGTCTGTAATGAATGGTCGGATTTTACAAATATACTGCAGTCAAAACTTTAGAATCTTAAAAGTGAAACCAAGGAGTATTCAAATGTGAGCAAGGATAATGTGTTTATCTCCCGGCCTTCGAGTTAGTGTAGCCAACGTTCTTCTACAATTGAGCTGTCATCTTTTATAATGCATGACCTCATGGAATAAGCACATGAGAAATAAAGTCTGACAAATGCGTTTTGAATGTCATTGGAGCATAAATTTTGCATTAAGCGCTAAGCAGTCTATTGCCACCACAAATGCACGCTTAAATAATGTATAATGTTAGCTGCTACAAAATTTGTGAAAACCACTTTATGTCGCAGTTGTAAATCACTAAAATATTAAAGTAAACCTTGGTATCCAGCAAAGAGAGATGTGCGCACTGAGTCACGAAGTTATCTGAAAGTACATCTAACCCAACATAATAACTATCGGTTATAATTTGGTTAAAATTCAGAATAACGCCAAAGCTGAGAGAAACCTGAAGGAAGAGACAGGGAGAGTGCTGTTTATCCCGTACGGACATTAAAGAATTGGCTCACGTGAGCGCATAACATTAATTTGAGAAAGGAAAAAAGGCCAACGATAAAGATGTCAATATTCAGCCTTGCAAACGTTCTGATCTTGATGACTGTTGGGGGATATCACACTCTGCTGGCTGTCTGTCCTCCCGGCTGGTTGGCCTGGCAAGACGCCTGTTACATCTTGCTGCCTGACAAAATGGATTGGTGGCAAGCTAAAAGGGTTTGTGACCGGCCCGGGAGCAGCCTGATCGTTCCTGACTCGCAGAAAGAACAGGACTTTATTTGGCGGGAATTTGGCTCCGCTAATGGCTTGGACATGTGGATAGGATGTAAGGATATTTACAACAACGGGTCGCTTTCATGCTTCGGTGTAAATGGGGATCCTGTCTACAAAAACTGGAAAAATAAATATTTTGAACAGAACAATGTTAATCACAGATGTGTCCGAATGGCAAAAAACGGTAATTGGAGAGATACATCTTGCAGTTATTTGAAATACGCCGCCTGTGAGATGCGCGTCTCTCGTCGCTCATACTGCCTGCAAGCTGATGCTGACGGGCGCTTCACACACCAGTGTCTGCTCAACCATGAGATCAAGAACCTGACGGCTGCGGGAGTCATTGGGTGCAGTCAGGCGTGCTGGGCGGAGCCTCGATGCCGCTCCTTCAATCTCTGGCAGAAGGGTGATGACAAGAAAGTCTGTCAGCTCAACAACGCCACCAGATCCGAGGCTGAAGTCACTGATCTCAAATATGTGAAAAACTGCAACCTTTTTGAATTGTAAATTGTGGTCACGGGATTTTGTTCATGCGAATTTATCATATAAATATATATTTAGATTCATATCATATTGATCGCCGGACTTGAGACTGATTCGTCAACATGAGGACCATACCTTAGGATTTGGACAATGAGAACAATACACATTTAGCCTTGATGGATTGAGGCACTTGGTGGATTCATAGGCACACGACGCCAATTTGTAAATACGCCTGATAAGAACTTTAATTTGTAGATATAGATATTCACCACTATTTTAGAGTTTTCAAAAATACGAAGAAGTTTTGAGAAAGATGCACATTTCTAATCTTTATGGATTGAGGCGCTTGATGGATTCCTAGGCACAAGGCGCTAATTTGTATATACGTCCGATAATATTTGTAGATAGAGACATACGCCACTATTTTAGAGTTTCAAAAAATACGAAGAACCTTTCACTTAAATTGGGCTGGAATTTAAAAAAAAATTAACAAATCTAAAAGAAAAACCCAAGAAAAGACCGGGCTCCGACAGATAGATTCCAGTAGAATCGTGCACTGTCTGCGGTCTTTTTTTTGCATTATCGCCGGTATTGTACATCTACTCACCAATCCAAGCATTTAAAGCTTCAGCAGGCAAGCTGGGACCTACGGGAGGTTTAAACCCCCTCTTCGGCCGCATAGAAAAAGTCGGAAAATCATACAGAAAAAGGGCAAGAAATGCTTCCAACACCCCTCCCTTTGGTAGCTGCCCCCCCCCCCCCTTTTTAATCCAAACTCGGATCCACCCCAGTTGCGTGTCGGAGTAGACCCGTTGCCCATGGCGCTGGCGGCAGTTTTCTTAGTTTGTTCATCATATTCCCAACGTCAAACTGGCAACAGAAATATAACTATGTCGTCATGTGATTAAAAATGAATTTCCATCGATGGTGATTTCCTACGGTTTTCTGTCTTTGGTAACGAATAAAAGGTTGTTTCGCTGAGAAAAAAGGAAGTATGTTTTAGTATTAAGAATGTTCTAATTTACTCTTAAAATGGCAGCAAGCGCTATGATATTAGTAACAAGTGCTTTATAGGTACCCGTTTTATTATTATTGACAAAAAAAGATTAATATCAAGTTTGCTCCAGCAGCCTCGCACCCCGTAATCCACTAATTTGACAGGAGGGAGATATAGAGACGCTTGATGTCTAAGTTCAGCACATGGCTCATCCGGCACAGATATTGTCAACTAAAACTAAAAACGCAATCACCGTCAGTGGGTCTTCTTAACTTGTACATTGCAGTGCGCAATCTGTAGTTCAAGTTTTGCGAGTCACAATCAATTCTAAGCATACATTTGTACCTCGCGCGCGCTGTTTTCCAGCTAATGCACGCGCGTGACGAATGCTCGGAACTTCCTTGGGTAGCGCTGTCTATTGTTCCCAAGACTGGATTCGATCCATCTTGTTGAAAACAGCCTCTACTGCCACCGCGGCTTAATTACTGCGCTCGTCAGGGACTGGCTGTATAACAAGCATAGAGTTCCAAGACTTGGACCAAGACAAACCATACCCCATGCAAGGATTCCTAACAGCTTTAGGTGCCAGAAATGAAATGAATGAGACTGTGCAAATGCACACACAACCATGTTTTTTAATCACTTTTATAAACATGACATGTGAAGTCTACAACAGATCTGTGCTTACACGGGAGTGGAGGAAACACGTGTGCCAGATAAATAATAAATTAAATACAGACAGGCAGTGCAAATCAATGGTTGTATCATTGGCATTATACCAAAACAAAATGGTTTCTCATCAGAGTAGACCCTAAGATTGTTCCAGGAAGGGTGCTTCTGGGTGAGAGACCTCTTTAACAATATTCACAAGCGAATGGTCTCTCACTTGTGTAGACCCTCTGATGTTGGTGTGGGGAAGACTACTCTTGCACGAGAGACCTCTGCTCCAAAGTCGCAAACAAAGGGTTTCTCACTGGCATGCAATTTGGTATGAGTTTTAAGGTGACTACTCTGTGAGAAGGCTCTGCCACAGATTTCACAGAGAAATGGCTTCTCATCAGTGTGGACCCGCTGGTGTCTTCGAAGGTCATTTTTCAGTGCGAAGCATCTCCCACAAGTACCACAAGCAAATGGCTTCTCATTAGTGTGGACCCTGTGATGTCGTTGTCGGTGGCTACTCGTCGTGAAGCTTTTGCTACAAATGGTGCAAACGTATGGTTTCTCTTTAGTGTGCACCCTCTGATGTTGTCGTATGGTACTTTGGTCCGAGAAGCCTTTGCCGCAAACGTCACAAATAAACGGCTTCTCTTTAGTGTGCACTCTTTCATGAGTTTTCAGGTGACTCTTCTGAGAGAAGCCTTTGCTACAATAGCCACAGGTGAATGGTTTTTCATTAGTGTGGACCCTCTGATGTCTTTGAAGGCCACTTCTCCGTGAGAAGAGACTCCCACAAATATCACAAGCAAAGGATTTCGCATTTGCGTGGACACTCAGATGTTCTAGTACGGCACTTCTCTCTAAGAAGCCTCTGCCACAGATGCCACAGAAGAATGGTTCCTTGTTAGTGTCCACCTTCTGATTCTGTTGAAGCGTAGTACTCAACGAGGAGTCTTGGCCACAGATGTCACTGGCAGATGTCTTTTCCTGTGTTTGGGTCCTCCGAGGATGCCCCTGCTTTCTCTCGCGGACCTTGCCACCAGTGTCATGACAGTTTGGCTTGTCCTCTTGTTCACCCTCGGCCTCTTGCTTGGATGTTTCATTGATGGCACTCATTGCACCAGTGCGGCAGGTAAAGGCCCACGAGAATGGAATGCAGGTTTGAGGCTACACACGAGTGGGTTCCTGGATGGTGAGAAAAGGCATTTTGTTGGTCAGGTGTCAATAAACAGTGGATAAAAAACACATTTAGTAGTAGTACTGTCCAACACTTTGTTGTCTTGATAGGTCCATTCTATTTAGGTACGGGTGAGTTTGTGTAACACAAGGCCATAATAATGGCATTATGTTAAATTTATAACAATTCTTCTCTTGAAACTTTTAAGTCTAAAATCAACTTTTTTTTTTTTTTTTTTTCTTTGGTATTTTCTAAATGCCATGACACTGCTGTACTGAACTCAATTGAATTGAGCTCTGCAATAGCTCGGCTACAGAGCTGCACAGCAGTTAATTGCATGCCATTGTTAAAATAATTTTCAATTAGTTCAATGCACACTCCATGCCGTCAAGTATTCGCACCATATGCACTCCCCGGGATGCAGACACGCCATTGTAAGCATGCGCATTCTTAAAACGTTCACCCCAACATCAAATTGAGATTGGCATGGTAACATGGCATTTGGAACAGTGCCATGGCTTGGTTTTCGGAGCAAGGATAGAACGAAAGGCCCTGTCAAACCAAAAGGATGGTGCTGTGCCGAACTCAATTTGCAGAGCCAAATGGCTCTAAATGTCGTGCTATCACCATGCCAAATTAAAGTAAGGCAAATGAATTGTGTTTTTAAGTCATTACGGCAACAGCACGGCATTTAAATAAAACGAGCTTTTTCCCCTTCTGATTACGTACATGTACTCAATCTCATGTGACGGTGTTTTTAAGCAGTGAATAGCTTTAAACTCCTTTCGTGTGGCAACACATGTACATGTATGTTCTATTACAATTAAATTAATTTGCTATCCAACCATAAGGCCCCCCCCCCCCCCAAACAAAGTTTCTGGTTTCTGGTCTTCGCGTGCGTGTCGGCAAAATTGAAACATTTTTTTTTTCAATTTAGCTTCAGAACTTTATCAATCTACTGTGCCAAAAGAAACATGTGGCAAGTTAGGAACTAGGCCTAGTCTCTATTTACTACACATTTCTCCATACTGTAGATCATACTAGAATGGCATTGTCAAATCACCAGACTAATCACACACACTGAATGAAGAGATCAGTCTTTTCAAATGTATATTATTCCAACGAGTCATAGAAAATATTCGGAAACAGTATGATCACTGAGGCTACCTACCGCTTTCGACGAATGCGTATAGCGAACCTAGAACTAGTAGTAGAGTAGAAATCGAGAAAGCGCTAGTGATGCACAGTGCATGTTGTGTGTGGCCTTTTGGTCAATCACTTCCGGACCTAATTGGCCTACACTTATGGAAAGCCGTGTTAGACAAAAACGGAAATATTTTGATGGAGCCAATTCGACTGATTTCATTTGATCAAACAAATACAATTATTAAAAGACAGGAACGGTTTGTGTAAAACATGTATGTGAGGAATAATTCGACAAGATGTAGACATTAACTTGACGTCCACATAACTATTCGAATATCCTACATCTACATAAATAATGTCAATTTCTGTCCAGCATGGCTTGCCATACAAACTAAAACTACGGTACAGACTACAGAGGGCGCTATTGCATTTTGATGTACTTTTGGCATCGAGTTGTAAATAAAGTGGAGTCGTGCCACTCGTGGCGGCCTTCGGTTTTCCCTGAAATTTGTGAAAATCGAGATTTTCCTGAAACTGTGAAAGATCACAAGGCGAGTCCTGGACACTTTGTTAAATGCATGAAGGTATTTTATTCCTTGAGATTTCTTGTCATTTTTACCCCTTTTTATAATCATTTTATGACATAAACAGATTTGGAGATTTTGGGAGTTTTGACTTTAGCATCTAATTTCACGTGTTTCCAGTGGGATGGCGCACCCAGGCTTTGGCTGGGGGGGGGGGGGGGGGCAATTTTTTTCTCCCGAACGACATCCGGATATGGATGTGCGCTATGGCGTTTTGGACTAAACTTTTCTAAAAACTTGAAAAAATATGTAAAATTAGGCCCTACAAAAAACAAATGAATTCGAACATTTTGAAATTCGGACTAGGCCTATAGCCTAGGCCATATTTCCCTTTTAAAACATGTAAAAAAATCCTCCAAAGCCTCAGGTTGGAAAAGAGATAAAATTCAGGTGCAAAACCGTGTTTCGAACCCGCAACCTCGCGGTGCAAAATCACAACCCTGTATCGACTGAGATATCGCAATTAATGTACCCCTAGAACTAGTATGAGGCTCCGCGTGAATCGCAGTGCTCGCTAACGTAATAACGTTGGGAGAAAACAATTATATGGGGGGCCTACCTCACCTGCGTACGCATCATACAAGTAACTTAGAAGTTAGAGGGCGCTAAATAACCATGTATACGGATGTCGTTTGGGAAAAGAAAATTCGCGGCCGGGGGGGGGGGGGGGGGGGGCTTCACACTTTTTTTTCCAAATTGTTTTGAAATCTTCCAGATTCACGCATCAGAAAAAAAAAACACTGCAATTACGGAACTAGGATTCGATTTAAAATGATAAAGGAAGAAAATTCATACTTAAGTTTAGGAAAAACGAAAACGGTCATAGGGTTGTCCATTTTCGAATAATTTACTATTTTATTTGATTTATACTCGAAACTGCATTTTCAAAGACCAAATATTTGGATATTTGAAACTGCCAGCTGTAATTGCGTGGCGTGCCGGTCAAGCGTTGGCTGCTGGAGTGTTTTGCAGTTATCAGTGTGCGTTTAATTTTGGTGCCCAGTGGATATTTTGCCAGAGACCTTTAGTAAACGTTAGCTTGTTGGATATGCACTGAACATGTACAGTTACTATTTTTTTTGTACTTAGACATTTTCCGGTGACAAATTTTAGTCTGGCTCCATGCCAACATTATTGTTGTAACTTCGTATTCACAAGATGGGAATCAGACCATTTTACAATTTCGGACATTATTTCCCTTTAATAAAAATCCTCCAGAGCCACAAGTCTGAAAAAGAAAATGTAATACCCTGCAATAAAATGTTTGAGACATGTTAAAATAATAAAAGAAGAATATTCTTATTTTTGGGGGATGGGGAAAAAAACCTTAGAAATGTCGTCAGCGGGGATCGGGATCAAACCCGGGTCTTCCCGGATCCCGCTCATGAGATCCGTTGCTTATCCACTACACCAAGGGTGTAGTCCTCGACAAAAAAGTGGCACCTGATAATAAAGCAGCGCAATTTTACGATAAAATAACATCACAGTCGTGTGTGTACCGGTACATGCCTTTTTTTGTTGTTGAAATATTCAAACCGGCAAAAGCAGCATCACTCGGATGGCATCCTCCCCTCCCCCCCCCCTCCCACTTCCATTCAAATCGGTCCGGTGACGCCTACAGGGGGGGGGGGGGGGGGCTGATGTCATCTGATGAAAACACATACATGTATTCATTAGCATACTTATGTACCAGTTTTCATTGGTTGCTTCATGTACATGTATGTTTATTATTCATTTGCACTCCAGACTCAAGAACCATGAGTTTCAACAACATCTGGGAGCTACAAACATGTAGATAAGCCATTTTGGGGGTAAAAAATCCCAAATTTCTGTGCCCACCTATACATGCACACGTATGTGTGATCCTATGGTTGCAAGCTCAATTTAAAGGACAAACATGTACGTCTACATTCATGACATTGTGAAAAAAGTGTATCCTTTTTCCATAATCTCAATATTACTTTCTCCATAAATAGCCTGGTGTGATGAAAGACATTGCTTCAAGCACACATCGCTGAGTATGGTTTTCATGGTAAGTTTTTGAATACATGTACATGGTTTGTATTAGTTTACAAAATAGTCCGTTGAAAATGCATACAAGGCACATTTTTTTGTCTACCCAATACTATTCCAGTTACGGGGCCATCAAATTAAGCCAAGGAAAAAGAAAGTATACCAGTTGATCGTCCCTGCCCGCTTCCTTTTGTGAGGCTGCATCATTTTTTAACTATCAGGCACAACATTTTCTCAAGATGTTTCAGAAGTTCAGATGCTTCTATTAGCTTTACGAATGTTCAATAAGCACTTTAAGGTTTGTGACCATCAACTACTGGTATTGGTAGTAGACAACTACATGTACACAGAACTATCAAATTAAAGGATTCCTCCTTTTTAAGGCATAGATCGTGTATTTAAGCTAAAAATGGCTATTTTAGCCTTTTTTCAATAAAAAATAATAAGGCCCTCATCCTCCTCTTTTTTGACAAAGCCTGGAGGGTCAACTGGTGTTTTTTTTTACTTCGGCTAACATGTATTTAGCAGTATTCAACATCAGTCTGTCGTGCCACATAAGTTGCAATTCACTGTACGAAATCGGGTCCCACAACAGTGGTAAGCATCCAATTTGAAGCGCTATTTTTGAAAAAGAAAAAGGTGGAAATCAAAGATTAGTGTCTGTGTGCCAATTTGAACCACAATTTTGTATATATCTGACATTACTTCACGTGATAATTACACACACACACACAAAACCTGCATTTTTTCAGAGTACAATGTACAGGGTTCTCTCACTGACCCACATGACCCGGCCTGCTTCCGGGTACCAGAAAGTCAGTGTCGCTATTGTACATGTACTGGGCAAAAAATAGTGTATCACCACGCATAGCAGGTACATAGGCAAGCCTTGAAAGCTGTGATAGATGGCAAAAACTGTGAGAAAAGTGGTAAATGTGTTCACCGTAAATATGCATTTTCGAGCCAAAAGGGTGGGATTCTCTTGAAAGTGCTCTTTAATTAAAAGCAGTAGGATATGTAGCATGAAATTGGCATCACGCCAGGCATGCCAGCTTCATTCACGCATGTGTTCTTGTTGTAGTACTCTTGATGATTAATGTGTTGGTCATCACCTTCATAACTTGGTCTGTGCACATTGGTTATGCGCATCATACATGTACATCATACACATGTACAGTACTGATAGGTCTCTTTCATTTTGACAGTACACGTACGACGGAGAGATAATGGCCTTGAGAATGGCTAAGGGTAGTGGGTGTGACCCTGGCAGTATGCAACGGAGCGTTCAAGCAATGCGCTGTCAGACGTGACCTCGATTACAAATAGACATTTATTCCATTTTTTTAACAGAGCAAATTTTGGCACACTGTATGAGGTTTGAAGGGGGGGGGGGGGGGGATCAAGGTGAATCTAGGAGAGGGGACAACATGGGGCCATCCCCCCCCCTAAAAAAAGTTTAAATTTTGTTTTAAAGTTAAAAGAGGCATGAAGGTGACTGTATTAATAATGCTACTCATCCCCTTGGCCTGTACGGATTTGTGAATTATTGCTAGAAAGAGGGAGATAAAAAGTAGAAAAGGGCGCCATCAAGTGAGGAGTAGCTCACATCCTGCCCCCCCCCCCTTTGAATTTGAAATAGCCGGCCGGAAAATAGGACTTGAGTCGGACTCCAGTCCGAGTCCAAGTCTGAAGCATTTGTCATCATGACTCAGTCCGAGTCATGGAAAATGGGACTCGAGTTAGACTCGAGTCCGAGTCCGAGTCTGAATCACGAGTCATCCAACTCTGAGTTATAGTGAATGAATGTAAGATCATCACAATATGTGAAGTCATAGATGTCATGTCAGGGAACCACTAGTACGTATGTAGCTCTGACATGCACCTGCTTACGGATGTTTAACCAATTGCAAATCAAATGTGGACTAAGTAAATTTGGTAAATTGGGGGCAGTATTTGAAAAAAAAGTCAATCGGCCGACCATCGTTGGAAATTGATGCAAAAAAATCCACTTTTCTTGAAAATGACAGCACATTTGCCGCGATTTCACAGGCATGGCAGGATGCTTACTGTCAAGGGGGGGGGGGGGGTTATGTGTAGTTTTGTTTTTAATGTTTGCCAACGTTGTACAATGCATGTTAACTTTAAAATGCACGAACAGTTTCAGAAAAAAACTACTAGAAACATGCAAAAAATGAGTCGAAACATCTACTAAATTTTAAGGTACCACTGCAGGTAAATAGGGTAAACTCATTTTTATTAATGATGTATGAACGGCAAATATCAAAGTTCAGGCATAGTGGAAGTTGGAAAATATCCAGTGCTCAACTGTAATTTCATCCTCTGAACATGCTTACTGCATTCAATATCTACTGAAAACGGCTTGATTTCAATCAAATTGACAGTCGCAATCCACGGAGAAGAATCCCTGGGTCCGAAGAAAAGATTTCCACCCAGCCTTTTGTATCCTGATAAATACAGTTTCCTCCCCAGTCAGGCCCAAGAGCAATATTCTCGTCATTGTGAGTAAGATCTGACATTCACAATTACCGGTGGTTTCCCTAAAATGTCTGCAA